GATATAGACATATATACAAGAGATTACATATACATATATATAGATACATATATACACATAGATATACATATATATACATATATATACATATATATACATAATACATATACATATACATATATATACATATATATACATACATATTACACATATATACATACATATACATATAATACATATATATATTATATATATATATACACGCACAAACAAGAACATGCCTCTGGTCACAGTTATTATTATATGAATAAATGAACACAAGCTTAAATTACTCCCCCTTACATCACATTTTGTCTTTACAACTTTGTCTGATTTTTAAAAAGGAAGCCACAACATATTATAAATCAAGTTAGATAACTATTAAAAGGGATAATAAGTCAACGTAATCTTGTCAGTACCTGGACTCTGACGTAGACCACCACATCCACAGGGAAGGAGGAGTAGGCGGATGTGGAAGAGGAAACCAGAGAGGTGGTGGATTCCTCCAGCTGCTCCACCGGGTCAAACTGACCCATGTCCTCCTCCTGGGTCGCCACAGCTGGAGGGGGGGGGGGGTCACATAGATATGCAAGAGTTAACGATAAAAGCCAGATAGGCAAGAGCAGCATTGCTGTCACTGCTTATGTCAAAAATAAATGTTTCTTTTAGGTTTTAGTATTGTTTTGACTAGCTGCAACAACTGACCTGCGTAGCCTCTCTCCACAGGAGTGATTGGTATGGTCTCCAGCGCTTTCTCCAGGAAGTCCAGCAGACAGGGGCTGATGACCATCTCCTCCGGCAGAGTCTGCAGGGCTACCCAGGCATACAGCTTGGCAGTCTTCACGCCCCCACTGCCCTTACCTTTGGCTGCAAAAACACATGGGATTCTAAATCATCTGCACCTTGGACTATATGTTGTGATATAGGTTTAGATCAAATGGAAGCATTTTTAAACACTTTTTTTCATAGTCTTTGATGTATTCCGTTGGCATCAATATGCATGAGGTAGTTGCTATCTGATATCTGATTTCATGCCCGAACCCTTTGGGAGGGTATAAAAGTCAAGTTTTCTTAATAAATGTATGCATTAGCTTAAACTGAAAAGATCATGTATGATTAATGCTTCTGTCAGAATCAAGCTAAATAATCCTCTTGATTTTGCATATTTTGTTTAAAATGTGTACAAAAATAAACTCCTGCATTAACACTAAAAAACGTAGGAGCAAGAAGTACTCTGAGAACCAGGGTTACTCAAGTGACCAGTGATGGGTTTTACTGCTGAATATTTAAACCCATAACTGAATGGCAATGTTTATTTTTTCGTTTTATAAATATCTCTTCTAGAAAATATTAAATCTTTAAAGTAACTAAAGCTGTAAAATACATGTAGTGGAGTAAAAAGTACAATGCTTGCTGCAAAACTGTAGATTAGAAGTACAAAGTCACTTAACATTTAAATATTCAGGTAAGCACAATTACCTCAAAGTTTTACTTAAGACTTGCACTGTATATAAATAAGACTGCAGCGGCACTTGCACCTACACATAGGAATGTATATATATTCATTCATTCTTAAAAATATATCCACTCATATCTGTATTTATGTACAGCTATGTACTTCTATTTAGCTACTTAGTGTTTTAATTGTATTGTTTTATTTGTACTCATTCATTACACCTTAATTTTCCTAATAAAGGTCTATCTTGTGTTATTATTTTATCTTAAGTACAATACTTGAGAAAATGTACTTTACTACATTCAACCACTGATTACATTCGGATGCATGCATTTCATTGGTCTTCTTTAGGATGTAAAATCATCACTGCAGAGTGCTGAGGCACTGTGGTGTAGGTGATTACAGACGGTTCTAGGGCATGCAGTGTAAAATGAGGGAATGCTCAGTACCTGATGGAATAGGTGGGGGCGGGGGAGGTAGGAGCGAGTTAGTCTTGCTTTGTTCTGCATTGGGAGGGTTGGGAGGGCTGATATCTTTCATACCATACAGCTTCGACTCTTTGGAGAGAGTGCGGGGGAGGGAGGATCCCCGGGAGGCGTTGGGCGACTCCGTCTTCAGCATCTTGGAGTTGTAGTGCAACTGAGGGGAAGGATAAAGCCAACATTCATAATTTAAAGAGGACATATTATGCTCCTTTCAGGTTCATATGTGTATTTTGTGCTTTTACTCTGACATTTGCATGCTTTAATGTTCAAAAGCTCTTTATTGTTCTCATACTGCCTGTGCTGCAGCACCTCTTTCACCCTCTGTCTGAAACCAGAGCCCAGTCTGCTCTGATTGGTTAGCTGGCCGGCTCTGTTGTGATTCGTCAACTGCTTAGAGATGTGTCATAAATATCCCTGCCTTAGCATATCGTGTACAATTTGTCCGAGCGCTAGCCAATAGAAGCGCAAATGTAACATAGTGATGTCACTATGTTATGGAAATAAACAAAGGAGTCTAATGGACCAACTACACGTATGGACAACATGTTTTAAAAGTTTCCAAATATCTGACTGTGACACTATACTACAATGTCAAACTGCTAGAATCATTTTTATTTATTTATTTTTTGAAAAAAGTTTTAAAAAATGATATTAAACAAATAAAAACATGATGCATATTGTCCCTACAACATACTTTCTATAAACATTTTTTATTTATTTTGGACATTGAACTAAATCCATTGTATTGCTAAAATAACATCTTTGGAATTCAAATAGTAGAAACTTGTGGAAGACTTTGAGGTGGAGGGAGAAGCTGACCTTAACGTCTACTCCTGGAATGTAGAAGACTGTGGTCTCCATGTCGTTGGATTTGGTCTGCAGGGAGGAGGGACACTTTTTCCCGGCTAGCAGGTGGGTGGTGGAGGTGTAGGTGGGCTGCAGCTTCTTCTTCTTAGGGGGAGACTCCTGGTCCAGACTCCTGAGGCTGGGATCACAGCTCCTACAGAAAGGTTGTGTTGAGTTGTCTTATTTATATCTACAATGGATAAGCTTCATCTTCCTTGGATTTCATAATGTCGATAGCACACGTCGTAAAAAGTAGGAAAAGTTAGTCAGACTTCCTGTTTTCCTCGGGTCCTATTTGACCCTGACAATGTTTTTATGTTGGAATAAGGGGTAATGTCATGTAATTGCCACAAAAAGATGGTTTCATACTAAGTTCTTAAGGTTTCCAAGAAAACTCAATGATCATTACTTGCATCAAATGTGGGGTGTTTTATTTATACTAATAGCATCTGGTGTTATTATGTGCTCTCATTTGAACGAGTTTCAAAACAGAATCCTAACTAAACGCTGACGTATACAAGTCTGTGATCATTCATAATGACATGTTCCTCTAATGTTAAGCATAGTCCAAATAATTCACTATTTTTGCCTATTTTTTATCTCAAAAATGTGGTTTTGTTCAGAGTAATTTGGTCATTGGTTTAAAAGGTGTTACTCAGATTTGGGTGATGAATGATTTATACAGTATATATACTGTATATGCTTCAGTATAAACCACTATAACAGTTGTTTATAAAAATGTGCATTAAATCGTACCTCCTGAGGGCAATGTCCTCGTGCTCTGGCTGCTGAGTGGTGGGGTGAAGGACACACTTCCCACTGTCGATCTCCACGCGGATATCCAGCTCAAAGTCAATGTTTCTCTCGGTTGTCGGGCCGCTGAAGCTGCGGTTGGCGGCGGTGCTCGGCCAGCGCTCGCTGAACAGCTGACTCACAGCAGAGAAACCCGAGGGCTTCCTGTGAGAAGCTTGGCTGAGGAGAGAGAAGAAGGGCAATGTTTGGAAAAGAAGCTTGTTTCATAACAACAAATAAAGCAGAAAAGAAGAGCTTTCATGCAAAAGAGTGGTGGAATATGAAAGTAAGGTCTGCGGCAGGATAATCGCCACAGATGAACACTTTTATGAATTTTGTAGCATCAATGCAATTGCCGGAAGCATCAAGCTAACGTTAGGCTTAAAGGTGGCTAATGTTCGAATGTTGGCAACTACCATTTTAATGACACATAGAATCTTGGAAAATTAAAGAGTGGGATATTAGCATACATTTGTTATGTTGTAAAACAAAAGTTGTGTTAACCACAGACCTTATTGCCTTATAGCCAGACAAAAACACTTAAACACAAAAATAAGGAAACCGGAAGTGCTGAAATGCAAACTTCCGGGTTTAAGGACTCATTCCTGCAACACTATAAAGTAACCTAATGGTGCCTCATTTCATCTAACACTCATCACAACAACTCACAAAGGCCTGCGGAAGCTCGGTGGTTTTTCCCGCTCAAACTCGTCCTCCTTCTCGGAGTCTTCGGAGGAGGATGAGGACAGGTCGTCGCGCCTCATGTCGTCGGGCTGGAATGGAAGTACGGGTGAGAAGACAGCGGGGGTGCCAGGGGCACTGAAAACTGAGTGATGGTCCTCCATAACGGATGGAGAATGGAGAGGATGGAGGTGATGATGAGGGTGGGATGGCTCGTCGACGGTGACCGACAACAGGTCCACCTCTGTCTCCTCAGGAAACTTCAGAAGAGGACAGAGTCAAACTCACACAGGAAGTGCTTTCTACTTAAAAACATGTCTTAAGTAGGAAGGGAACCACGGGGTTAACACTTTGAAGGAGGTAGTGTTCTGGTTATTGGACCACTAGGGTTTGTCTAAGTAGTTTATCTTTAAATACTCAAATTAGATTGTAATGTTTCTGTTTCCAAAAGTCCTCTTTTCTGGTTTGTATGGTTAGGGTTGGACAGTTCATTTGATGAAGTGAAGATTTCCGTCGCCAAACCGAGTTTATTTTAAGGTTTATTGAAGTTACACATGACCTGTTTGTCCAATTAGGCAAGTGAGAGTTGTTCTGTAGGTCCGTAGCATCTGGTAAAACTAGTCATCTAGAACATCTTCAATAAACCTCAAACTAAACTGATATAGTGACTGGTATCTTCTGTATTGTGTTTACGCACAATCACTACAACCAACTACCTGTGTGTTGACGACAACCAGCAAAGAGGACATAGGGACGCGGAAAGATTCCCCCTGCATTTAATCAATGCCACCTAGTTTACAAAATAATATTGTAAGATATACTTAACAAAATGAAAATACAAAGACAAAAAACACCATAAGTGGTTCCTAGTTTTCTGACATGTCCAATGAGAGAACACTACCCGCCTGCAACAGTTCCCAGATAAGATGAGAGCTCATGCACTGAATGAAAGACAAACAGGAAGATGGGGACCCCGACCGGAGAAAAGGTACACATCTGTCTCAAGAGAGGGACAGTGGAAAGATGCCCAAGAAAGTTTTACAGGTCTTATATCCTTAATGAGCGCTGGAAAAAACCCAATCGACAACCAACAGAAGAGGGGTATTGACTGAAAGTCGGTTAAAAGTGTGGAAATGTTTGCTGAATGCCTCTGAAACTAATCCCGACTTCAAATGTTTCCGAGCATCAACAGTATTTGTCTTTTTGTGGTTTCTTTTCGCTGACGGAGAGTATGTGGGTGTTAAAGGCCAAATGACCATGAAAACACGAACAACTGAGGTGAACTGGTCATGTGGCCTCAAGCAGAGTGAGACCGGGTCATTATTAGAGAGTGGATATTGGAGGAGTTGAGTAATGAAAACAATTTGATCATTTCAGTAAGAATTTAACAGAAATGTAATCAGGGTCGGGAACTGAATGACCTCACTGAGCAGTTTCATAAAATTAATTCTCTGAAGTTTTCCTTGCTAGTAGACGATATGACTTTGTTTGTTTTTTGTCAAGTTCAACATCACGAACTTGCCAAAGATCAGGGTAAGTAAACAGTCAAATTCAGTTATGATAGTTCATTATTTTTATATATTCTGTTTTTATTTAGTATTTTTAGGAAAGACAGTTTTTGTGTTTCCTTTGAGTTTGAATGCAGCGTGTTTTATGTCAATGTAAAATGTATGTTTCTGTCAATGGAGTCTGCTGGCTTTAAAGTGAGCATATTGATGGAATGTTTTGTACGTTAACACATTGTAATTCTTCCAAATCCTTGTTGAATTTATTGATCATATACATTTAAACATGCGTCCCCTACTAGTCATTTTTACACTACAGAAAGTGTGCGTTTTAGGGGCCAATATGAGGATTATGTGAACAAATTAAATAGCTCATTGTTATATACCTGTGTAATTCTATTACAGCTTGTTTGAATGCGTATTATCTTGGCTTTTGAGAAGTTGTTTTTTAATTGAATGCCCAAGGTACATGCAGTTGTGACAAACAGCAGCTGATTCAGAGCTTCACCATGCAGAGCTGTTAGAAAAATCCCTCCATACATTAGAGGTTGAAGATTTGGTTGTGTATGTTTTGATTTTGCATTTTAGAAGAGAAGAGGAAACAGAAGTATTTGTTGCCGTTGGTTATTTTTGATTAGTTCAATTTCAAATTGTCAATGATATACCTTGAATATCTCTCCAGGACTGACGGGTGAGTTTGCAGCTTCGAAGGCCTGATTATTTATCTTCAATTAAACAAAAATGTTATTAAAAACATCCAAAATGAAAAAAATAAAAACTCGGCTTCTGCTTTTGAGCCAAATTTGGAGTAAAACTGCAAGAATTCTCAACCAGATGACATACGAGTCCAGTATCATGTAAATATATGGTATGAAGAACATTTACAGTGACACAATGAGGAATGAGATGATGATTTATGAACTCTGAGATCAAATATCGACTTTTATCACAGTATTATTGTGGTAAGAACAAATGTGTCAAGAGCATATTTCTGCTAGCTAACATATGTGAATGTCTTACGGGCCGTCTCCACAGCAGCGTTAAAAAAATCTTGAAACGCTTCTGCCCATTCACTTTGAATGGGGTGACGTCACTTTCCCTCACTTTTCGCCGGAATGCATTGTGGGCAGGCGAGCGGAGATTCTCAGGATTTTCAAGATTCAAAGTTGAACAATGTTCAACTTTTGAAGCTGAGGTGGAAGCGTCAGCCAATCAAATCCCGTGTACGCAAATCTGGCAGTTCAAGCTCTAGCCAATCAAACGGCGTGTATGCTGGGAGAGAAATACCGCAGGTCATTTCCTCATATTCCAAAAAATGGAGGAGAAATTAGCGGTAGCGAATCAATCACCCGGTGCTTTATGACCAGACCTACCGGGATATAAACCGGAGGAGCCAGGCATGGAGGGAGGTGGCAGAGACAGTGGTATGTTTTCGCCTGTTTTGGGGAGTTTATATCCAGTTTACTTCGGGCTTTTTGGCTTCGTATGTCGCGGGCGGGAGATTCATGTGATTGGTTGATCGCAAAAAAATCCCCAAGCCTCAGATACGCCCACCTCCAAGATTTTTTTAACGCTGCTGTGGAGACGGTCCGTTAAGGCTTACTCTGTTATTTCAAAATTGGGGATTCATAGGAGAATTTTTAGAAATGTGTTTACCGTGTCCTGGATGTTGAAGGTGACCCGGGGTCCAGGAGAGGAGGCATCCACGCGCATATCTGGTAGATCATCCAGATCTCCTATTCTGGAACTATGGACACAGTGACGTGATTTAAAAAAACATGAATACATCTAGAAGCATCGAGAACATCAGAAGATTGTATTTTGTCTCTATACAGTTCTTAATGCCTTTAACCTGTCTGATTCCCTGCCAAATCTGACAAAACTGAGTAAGAGTTTATAGCTCTATCCCAATCCAGTGTTTGCATTTTTCAAAGGCTACATTTTTATGCACATCCTTTCAAATGTAAGTACTGGGTTTCAACTAATTCACATAATTAATGACACAAATATCAAAACCAATGAGCTTTAAAACTTATATTTTCTTTAAATAATAGGCTAAATACATCACGTTGGTAATGCTAATTAGCTAGCTAGCTGGACACTGCACAAATAGAGATTTAATTAATGATAGGCTGAATATGTGACGTTAGGAATGCTAGCTAGCTGGAGAGGCTACGCGAAACCGATATTTTATTAAAATTAGGGTAAATACGTGATGTTAGTAATGCCAACTAGCTAACTAGCTAGCTGGTTGGTTGGATAGGCCATAACTTTTACTGTAGCCTGGCTGCCCTCAGACTTTACAACATTATCTCAAATTAAAACTGCTTAATGTAGGAGGTTGACTTATATCTTACAGAGATTGAAGCAATGTTATATATTACACTTTCAATTGCGTACATACAGAACATGGACCAAAGTAAATACATTTAAATACCCTGAAGTTTTGCCAGTTAAAGGTAGGGTAGGTAAGAACGGAGAAACCAGCTCGAGTGCGCTAGAATTTGAAAGTACGCAGCCGAAAAAAATCTGCCCCTTCCTTCAGACTTCCTTACAGAGCCCCTCCTCCAACACACACGGACGCGCACATGACCAATGAGGGCACGAGATAAGTTTGTGCACAGATGGAAGGCTGACAGGCAGGTAGGCCATCCAGTTATTTTAGCCGGGCCGAGGCAGATGATTGGTCGTGCTTTTTACAGCGCCACGGCTTCCACAGATGAAATGTTTTAATGTATTTATTGTCAAAGCATTTAATGTATTCATTGCTATCGGGATGTTAAGAGCATTCCATGGAATATAACAAAAAGTGTTTCTGAAGTGAATTACCTACCCCACCTTTAAGCTGTTTTGGTTTTTCATGATGACATTTTTCATTGTTTTACTCTTTATTAAACTCAAGTGGCAGAATTAAATTATACTAGCTCATTTATTTCCTGCTCAGAGTTAATGTTTTCCGGTTTGCTTTAGGTCTTACAGTGTGTCGACTGTTACCACATTATTACAGGCATCTGCATAATTACTATAAACAAATGGGAAAAACACTTACTTTCCTCTACACTACGTTGTAATTTGTGAGTCATTGCATCCTCTTTGTGAGAAGGTTAATGGAGAAGGTGTTTCAAAAACATGTCGCTCCATCAGCACCAAAGATTACCAGGGCTTGTTTGTTTACAGTAAATGCTGGATAAAGCGCCATTGATCGTGTAACTTCAATAATAATAAGACAGCAGGGAAAGTGGCTACTGCTGCCCTTGTTACCTCTGTCTTTCCATCCTTTTCAGAGGGGGGCGACCCGCTGCCGCCGAGATGCTTTTGGAGCGGTTGTAGCTTGGTTTGTAGCCAAGACCCCACTTATCCTTCAGAGAGGCCGCCTGGGGAGGAACAAACACCAAATCAGAAATACATTTCTTTAGCCATTAAGAAGTTGCTCTGAAATCAAGCTAGGCTATAAAAGCCTGATGCCTTCTATAACATGTTGGGCAAATTCCTACTTTTGTGGAAAGGAACTAAATATGACCTTGTCAATTAAGTAAGAAAGATATGATTGGATGTGATGTAGCTTCTTATTTACCAGCTTGAATTGAACTTGCTGGAAAACCAAATGCGAATACAAATGTTGAAAAAAAGATGCTATGGTGTGCTAGGAAGACATCATTGTGCACATAAAATGATGTACTATATATACAAATGAATTAAAACATATTTTTTCAGTGCAGATCCCAATGATCTTTTTAAGTGGGTTGAGATTTACTATTCAAGAACTATCAATTCCTCCTATATGGTAATTGCAACATCAGTCCAAATAACTGTAAAAAGTGATTTTTTCCAAATGAAATGTCCTTTTTTGACTAAGAAAGGTAAATAGTGGAGCATTCACCCTCATGCTGGAGCGGCGCAGTTTCTTTCGGACGTCTCTCCGGATGTCGTTGACGGCCACCAACTCTAGCTGCTGGTAGCGCTGGATCTCCTGGTCGATGGTGCCTTCGCTGGCCCCCAATTTCCTGTGGAGAAGAAAATATATTAGAGGAAATATTTTTAACACCAACGGAACAATTTTAATTATTATTATCACAGTGAGAATCAACAAGTGAGTACGCAGGAATCTCACTTGAGGTCGTCGATGACCTTGGCCTGTTCGTTCAACTCTCTGATGTCCACAACCCTCTTGGTGAACTTTCTCCCGCGGGCGTCGATCACCTGGTTCCCCATGGCCATCTGCCTTCTGGGGTCAATGGTCTCCTGTTGGGTCACAGCAATGAAGCACACCAGAACATATTTATGCGAGAAAACTGCAAATTAAGTGAAAGAAACCTGCCGATTAAACCCCAAAAAAAAAGTCTTGAAAGATTTCCGCCCGGCAAATGCTGTGAATAGGAAACCCAAATCAATCTGGTGAAAGGGGAAGACATTTTGATTGTTAGATCAAAGTATGACATGTAGTCCAATCAACACACCAGGTATCAAAAGCAAAGAATGTCACTGACACCACCACCACCACCACCTCCACCAGCAGTACCACAAGAAGGGAAAGATGATTCTCCTTTGCCACAGGAAATCTGACATTTCGTTTCACCCGCCAGTGAATCTTATAAAGGTGGGCAGTGAAAGCAAATGTTAACAACACTATTTTCCGTTAGCTTAAGCATGAAAAAGCATTGCTCAGCCTTTGGAAATCCACAACCTTGATGTGATAATTGCTGTGATGTGATTTAGTCAGCCCAGAGAAGAAGTTTCACACTGTGGTGGGCTACATGTACATACACAGGCCCAGGAGACAGGTCTTTGGGCCCTGGCACTGCCTGCTCGGAGGCGAGGCGATGAACAGTTTGAGTCGTCAGCGGCGACAGACACACTCTGAGGCCTGGGGCTGAGGCCCAGGATGTGGTTTACCAGACGCTTCCTTAAGGTGAGCCGAGGGCTGAACTGGCTCCCTGGACTCTGAAAACAATGGGACAAATGGATGCAGAAGTGGAAGAAAAAACGACCACTGGAACCAGACTTTAGCTTCTAAAGCTTTAGGGTGGGCCAGGTAGAATCAATTAGGGTGTCTAACCTGCCTCTTATCTAAAGGACAGGTAGACGAGTGTTATTGATCTTCCCATCTAACTCACAGCAAGAAAGCGAATAGGTTTATGTCCATAAACTATTCCATGAACTCGTGACAACCACCAGATCTAGCTCTGAAAGTCTATTAATGTTGTTAGAAATGGATTTTACACATATCATTCGAAAAGTCCTGATTGGAGCCGGATCTGATCAAATGTTTCTAAACAAAACAATGTGTGTGACAACTTATTCAAAAGTGGTATTTAAATGACAATGGAATTGGCTAAATCTAACTGTGGAGAAAAACCAAAGTATATCCTTCATACATTAATCCCACAACAAACCAGGATGTAGATTAACCAAATATGGACTGACCATGTGGACGGTGGGTGACATGGAGTCGGCTTCATCCTCGTCCGAAAGGTCCGCCATGTTGACGGAGTTCAGGTCGGCGATGTCGTCGACGTCCTCCTCGCCCGTCAGAGACGTCAAAGTGTTACCCAGCGCGTTGAGCCGCTTGCCGATGTTGGGATCCATGTGGACGTCGATACCGCACATCTTCCAAAGCACGTTCAGAGTCCAGGTGCCGGCACTACTGCTCTCTGTTTTTATAGGAGGAAGCCAGGAGGGTTAGGAAGGAATCAACAGAAGAGGAACTGGATGCAATGTAATGCATAATTACATTTCCTGACAGACGTCTCAAGCTTTTATGCAGCTCTTGTGTGTGATGCATGTTTTATGGACCAGAGCTTAGTTAGAACTTGCCTGCAGAAGGTTGCCCTGTAGTCCTGGAACAAACTTCATAAGTACCATCAGGGACTACACCTGTAAACAGACAGACATACAGACCACAGCCAGTCAATATTTCAGAGGAGCTGCGAGCATACCAGACAAGGGGAACAAAGGGTGGCATTCCAACTCCTGTGTCAGTTATGTGGAAGATGCAGGGGTATTTTTATTCCTGAAAGTAATGTCAATTTGGCTTTATGAGCCACTGAACAACTTATAAAGGAATGAACGTAGGAGCAAATATAGAACAATTATAAAAACGAAATTAAAATGATGACAAAACAAATATTTGTAGAGTTCAAACCTGCCTGCAATTATGGCAACATTTAAATAAAGACTAAAGGTTCCATACTTCACTCAATCAATCAATGTTTTTCACAACCCTATAAAGCCCATAACCAGTTGGTTGAAAGGCAGGCTTTTTGGTTTCAAAACATTGTCCAAATGACACAATTTATCATTTAGAAAATGAAGTTCTCCATTGTAGTCAAGAGTATGGGGTTTTCTATAGAGGCACAGAACTTGCAGTATAAGACGAGTGATTAAAATGTGCTAAAATGGCCCAGGTTCAAAGTGTTAAGGGTGATAAAAATGAATACAAATAAGTTGTATGCAGGTTAAAATCCACAGTTATTAAATATAATGCATCCCTTACAAGCATTCATGACCATGTCCCCTCTGATTTCAGGCTTCCAGTCGTCCCAGGAGGTCTCGAAGCCCTCGGCGAAGCGGATGCAGAAGTTCTTGAAGTGGCCTTTGCTCACCAGGGACTCTGAGGAGCAGGCGGTGATCAGCGTGCTCTCGATGGTCAGCACCATGGCTGAGCCCGTGTCAAAGTCTATGCTGTGGTTGGCCTGGCAGAGGAGCAGGGAGAGGGGGGGTTAACCAGGCCTCAAGAGAGGGGAGGGAGTACATGGAAAAAAAAACACCTCCATTTGTTTCTCAAAAAGGCAGAATAAGCTGGTAACACTTCACTCTACTGTACTGTATATCAGTTCCGCATCAAAGCATCACTGCCATAAATACTCAAAATTCTTCTGATTGCGTAATAGTCTTTTTACTAAATAAATTCTGCTCCTGTCAAGACACCAATGAGTGAAGTGTTCCCAAGCTTTTCCCTTTGTTAGAATATGTTTAATTGCAGGATCGAGGGAAACATGTGCCCTGAATTTCTGGATGAACTCAATGGTCCTAAAATAGGGGTCTGATTATCATCCCAGTTATAATCATGACTGGAGGCTGGTAAGGCTCCTAACTAATAGATGTTACGTTATGAGGGCTGCGCGACTTGGAAAAAAGAAGGAATATGTTTGACTCATGTTACCATTGCGATATGATCTTTTTTGCGTCGATATTGTCATTAACATTAAAAGGTATATTTTTGAATGATAATGGTGTGAGAGGATCTGTACCAAACAAAGATGTATTTAGTTTGTAGAATACCATTTATAGGCCAGAATATATGGCAACCCTTAATTCAAAATGAAAACTAACGGGCACGGAGAGTGATGCACTGGAAATGAATTATTGTGTCGTGTTACTCGATATCATGTGTACAGCAGATAATAGTTTTAAATCGAATGATGTTTGCCATATAGAGATGACTTCCTTTTAAAATGAGGTGGTCTAGACTCCTATCATAGACTCTTACTCAAATATGCTACATTTGAGTAAGTATGCTATAGTCAAGTTATAGTTTTGAATGGTACTATCCAAATTGGACTGCATGAGGAGTTCATTCAAATAAGGCATGTGAAAAGTGCTAAATTGTTGTGTTTACGATATGACAACAAGAGGCTTATTTGTGGGTCTCACCAAAAATAAAGACTTCCAATAGGTCTTTTTGTCCAACTGTGTCAGTGTTCGTGCCCAAATAATAGTAATAATAAATATTGCGCTCCTTGCAATTTGAATATTGCACTTGACCATATTGCAATTTCAATTACATTTTGCAGCCCTATCTGTTATTATTACCGAGTGAAAATCAGACCACAGTTTTGGAAAGATCCAGGTCTTTTCTAAACATTTTCTCTCAGAAGAATACACAGAGTCTGCCATTTTTGCATTAGATTTGACATTATGTATGCAATTTCATGGCAGTCTCTGAAAGATTAGATCAAAAAATGCTCATTCCATTTTAGCAACACATAGGAAATAGTGTGGACACCAACTAGCATAACTTCTTTCAGTATGAAGTAATTACACAGCCCAGACACCAACTTCAGCTTCATTAGTTGCCATTTTTTAAACAGAGAGCACTCGTGATGCAGTGTACAGTAAATCATTGTCCCACAACAAGCCATCACAGGAGATGTAATAAATCGTAGGTTACTTTTCGTGCATTTTTATGGCCGCCTACTGATGAGCTGGCCCCAGCTTCAGAGTGGATGCCCTCCGTAGCTGCTACTTGTCCTCTCTATGGAAATAAGTGTGACATAACAGCTGGTGTATCTTGTCTCTATGGAAATACTGTAGTATAGCAGAGTATGTAGAAAAACAAGACAACCGATACAAACCATTCATTAATATCCAGTGTTTCCCCTAGGAAGTGTGTGTAACATTTGAAATAAATAAATAAATATATATATAAATAATTTAAAAACACCTTTTGCAATAGTTGAAGGCTACAGAAACTCAGTTTGATGAATCCAAAAAAGAAAAAGAAATTATCAATATTTTAACTTATTATTAATAATCTATGGTACATTCAAATTCAAATGTGTCTAGCAATTAAAATACAGGCCAGCCAGAACTCCTCTTTTTATAATTGTGTATCATATAGGTGTTTTTTTTGCGTTGCATTAAAAGAGTAGATTTGAGAAGTGATTGAGTAATGAAGGTGTGTGTGTGTTGGGGGCAGATTAATGGACATTCTGCCCACTTATAGCTAAGGTAGGGGAAACACTGATATTGAAACTTTTTAGAGAAGAATTGTTCTTTTATTGTGTCTTAAGAAAACAAATAAGAATCCATGACCACTGGTACACTTAATGTTGCCAAGTGCTGATTGAAAATGAAATATGATTATCACTGAACACAAAGGGGGGATGACTTAATTCAACAATTTAAAATAAAACATCATTCCTGTGTGTGCTTTTAGTTAGAATTTGCTTACCAATAAACTGGTTCACACTGGTTAAACTTTGGTAGTTGTTATGTGCATTTCATATGCTAAATTGCACCTTGATTGAGGTGCAGGAATGAGTCCTAAAACCAGGGAATTAGTTAACATTTGCCAATTCAAGTCAACAGTTGTTTTTAAACATGTGTTTTGGTAAGATGCCTGAAATAAGATCTGTGGTTAAAACAAGCTGATGAGATTTGCATTTTATGATCTATGACATGAAATACGTGGGTAAATACCCCATTTGTAAATGTCCGAAGCTTCTATATGTCTTAAAACGACCCTTGCTAACAGTTGACTAAATGTCATCATTGCAACATTAGCCGCCTTTAGCTTAGCGGTGGTGAGGTGAAGTCATTCCATTGTGATATAGTTTGTTTTTAGCCTAATGTTAGTTTTTCACTTCTAGCAATTGCATTTACGCTTCAATTAAGACTTTTCGTACGTAGAAAAAATTTGATGTTGGTTAGATTCCCAAAAGAATATCTGTGGTTAACACATTTAAAGACACTTCTTGTTTGTTGTACGACATCAAATACGTCAGTAAACACCCCACTGGTGGATGTCTGAAGCTTCTTTGTGTCATAAACATGGTGGTTGCTAACAATTGCAAAATGAGACTTCTAAACATCATCAGGCCAAACATTAGCTGCTTTTAGCTTAGCGGTGGTGACCTTAAGCCGATTGCATGTACACCTCAACTATTATAAAAGTAGTGTTAATATGTGGAGATTATCTTGAATGTGTTTGCTGCAATATTACAAATCCATTGGAAAAATCCCTTTGGCTTTTGTCATTGAGATGCTAACTTTTTGTTCGGCCTACAAAAACGTGTCATCCCTGCACCACTTTGCAAACCATGGCTTTCAATATTACGGTGAAACGGTGCTAAAAATGTAAGCATGGTATTTTAATGCCAATCAAAAATGCTCAAAAAGTTGTTAGCCTTCTGATTACACTGTTTGCATTAAACATGAAATTACATATGTAAATGTGAACTTTGAACAGAATAACCTTGAAGCCAAGTGATTGCAACCCTGCTATAGAGTGGTGCAGTGATGAGGTTCTTTTGACCCTGAGGTTAGCATCACAAGAGCCGCGTTCACACCGGAGTACTTTTATTATTATGTCGCGTTCACACCAAAAAGAGCACTTAATCCCGGGAACTTTTACCACCATTTTTAGTGCCTGCTGAGAGATGGTACTTTCCTGTGGGAAAAAAGTGCCCCAGTTCTGATTGTCTGGGCGAATTGCAAACCACGCCCCGTACAACTCTGAAATGTTTTGTAGAGCCGCCATTTTATTATCCTCGCATTAGCATTATTAGCATTAGCATTCGCCCAGCGCATAAACGCAGAGAGACTAATTTATGGCAACACAAAATAGAACATGGGAGCGGTAGAGATGAGGAGGTGTCGGCTTTCTGGCGATTTACTCGGAAGGCTTCCGTAGAAGCTGCTGGGAGTTCCAGCAGCTTCTACTGAAGCCAGTCCCCAACTCCGGGGACTTCCGCCCGGGGACTCCAGGTGGCAGTATACGCCGTGAAGTTGTTTGCGGCCTGCCAGTAAACCCAAAGCAGAAGAAGACGAAGTGACGTCAGCGGCTCATTTGCGTAATCTTCCCTCAGGGAACTTATTCCGGTGTGAACGCGATCTGTACTTAGTGCCCTGGGGTAATAAGTGCCGGGGCACTAAGTGCCGGCACTAAATACGGCAAAGTACTTGGTGTGAACGCGCCTAAGGGCTCCTTGAACAAAAAGCAATGGGATTTCCCCATCACATATTTCCATTGGATTTCATAATATTCAGGAAATAAAATCACATATGTATATGTATACTTACATGTTTTGTTCAGATGGATAATCTTCATATATATTAAACGCTTTTATATAATTGAAGCGTAAATGCAACTGCCAGTTGTAAATAGTTAAGGCAATGCTATAAACAAACTACCTCATGGTTGCATGACTTTATGTTACCACCGCTAAGCTAAAAGCAGCTAATGTTTGGTTTATAAGTCTTATTTAGCCCTTCATTAGCAACTGCTATTTTTAAGAAGTGTTGGACATTTACCACTGGGGTATTAATTTGATGTCGTAGAATTTTCTTTTTATATATAGTATGCTTGTCTAAACCACAGAACTTATTTCAGGAACCAAGAACAAAAACTGACTTCTAATGGAGGGAACCTGGAAGTGCTGAAATGCTAACTCAGGTTGAGGACTCATTCCACCACCGCTCTGTAGTTTATACAATTAGCAATATGGACATATGGACATGGAAATGTACTTATATAGTGCAAATGTCAAAATGTTACAGATCCTAAGGCGGTTTTGCAGATTACCTGGGAGGTGTTGGTGATGGGGAGGCAGATGCCCAGGTCGTTGACGGTCAGCTGCAGGAAGAGGGTGCTGAAGGCCTGGGCGGAGGTCTGCTGGATGCCCGGCAGCTTGTCCACCACCTCTTTAGTGGCCATGTGGATGTCCTTGTTGAGGGCCAGACGCTGCTCGTTCCAGTTGTCGTACGCCGCCTTGTAATTCAGCCAGAAGAGCACAGCTGCAGGAGGGCACACAGGTGGGTGGAAAAGAACTTAGAAGTTACATCCAGAAAGTCGTGTAAACAAGTCTCATTAGATTTAGAGATGCTGCAGGTTGTTATTTGTCGTCTGTGAAAATTCAATTCCATCACTCAGCGGATCAGTGTGGAGTCGGTAGAATACTTAATGGAAACTGCGGGCAGTGTCATAATTGGTAACCAACAAACAAATGGAGTTCCTTGGACACATTAAAAAATAACAAACTAGAAAACATTTAGCTAAGGATAACATTTGATGGCAAAAGGGTATTTCTTTTTTTCAGCCATGTTTTTGATTGCAAATAAATAATTAGCTTGTTTTTTAAATTGGTCAAGTATTGAGTTGCAATTAGTAGCCGCTAAACAAGCTACAATGTAATCCAATAGGGTATTTACGCACCTTCAATGAACATCCACTAGATACTAGACACTTGGTAATACTAAGTGTCTGACAACTTAATGGAAAGGATTCTACTCAGAAATAAAATGTTTTCTTTCAACTTGTCACTTGATTTGTAGTTCGTTTGTTATTGTGTCTTACTATGCTTAAAGAGGCCCTATTATGGTTTTTTTTAATTAACATTTCCTGTAGTGTTCTATAGGTTTTTGTGCATGTAAATGGTCTGCAAAGGCCAAAATCCCAAAGTTCCCGGGCCAGCTAACCAATCAGAGCGGACTGGGCTCTGGTTTCAGACAGAGGGTGATGTAGAGAAAAAGCGAAACGAACCTCTGTCAAACGCCACTGGCTGGGCGAAAACGATGGGCCTGTTGAGCGTGATGAGGACGGCCTCCTTGTCCGAGGAGCCGCTGATCTCCTCCTGCAGAGCGTTCCGCAGACCGATTCGCGTTCGGAAGTACGCCACCTGGTGGAAGTCCGAGCCAGCTTCCTCATATACCTGTGAAGTGAAGAGAGGAAGTGCGTCACGCTGAGAACTATGACAGTATAATCAAGCCCAAGAGGATCATCTCCACATATTAACACCGTGTTGGGATTTTTGGAGCATAAATGCAATCGCAAAAAATAAAAAGCTAATAAGGCTATAAACAAACTACTTCACGATCACATGCCTTCACATCACCACCGCCAAGCTAAAGGTGGCTAATGTTCAGCGTGATGACTTTTAGTAGTCTCTCTTCGTCACTCGTTAGAAACTGCTGTTTTTATCACATACAAATGCTGCAGTCATTCATGAGTGAGGTATTTACTGATGTTCTTTATCTTGTCGAACAAAACATGTAAATGTCTTAAGCTTGTCTTAAACACAGACCTTATTTCAGACTCCTCACCAAAATGTTTTTCCAAAAACCATTGACAAGGGAATTGGTGAAATGTTAACTCATTTCCAGGTTTTAGGAGTCATTCCTGCATCACTTTTTGGGCTTCAAATTATAAAAAATGTTTCTCGAAATTGCAATATGTGTGCATTATTCAAATGCCAGGAAGCACATAATGTGTTAAAGGCTAAATATATGTGTAAAAATATCATTTTAAATTTGGTAATATGCTGTTGCAGAGATAATCAAGCCTTGAAGTTGTATTTTAAAGAATTGCCAAAACAGATTTGTTCGGTTGAGTTCCTCTTAAAAAACTCATACCATGATCATTTTAATATAGTTCAGTGATAATGTGAATAATGATTTTAAAATCTCTCTAAATAATCCAAATAGTTTTTTTTTCTCCAAATGGTACCTAATGTTTAAACTGTTCTGTAAACGCTAATGTAAAATGGGAACTCCGTACACAATCAACATACACATTTTATTTCACTAACAAGAGGCTGATCTGTACCTGGTGCTTGACTATCTGTCCCAGAGCCAGGTGGAGATCCACTTGGCACTTCCCGAACAGCTTCAGGTAGCTGCTGCTGCCCCCGGGCTGAGCCTTGCACTGGATCCTGTTGGACAGCTCCAGCTCGATGAGGCCGGTCTCAAAGCGCACAGCACGCATGGAAGGAGTGGTGGCTGTCATCTGGATCCCCTGGGAGCGAGAAAACAGCATTCAGAAAACACATCAAAACTTAACTGTTCTCAGAAGTACAAGCTTGCTCTGTGCTGAAGGTTTCAGGTGTCTTTGGATGTTCAAGTTGAAAGACAGAGAACAAGAGATACCTTGAACATGAGGCTGAGAGAATAAAGCAGGATTTTTGGCTTGTCTGCGTCTGCGGAGGTGTCAGGCTCGTTCCACAGCGGGATGGGCTGTTCTCCTCCTGTACGCATAGAGAGTCAACAAGTCAGCCTCACAGGTTCACACACTGCTGTGAACAGGCTTGGGGAGTAACTGATTACATGTAAGGGGGTGATGTATCTGGAGGCAAAAAAAAGATAGCTGTATTCCCTTAGAGTTGCTTAAAAAATATGTTATTAGATATTGTTACATTTAAAAATAAATGGGGATAAGTAGCAGGATAACATAAATCAATATATTTTACGATCACATGAGTACACCTCACAACACTTGACAAGTTTTTTTTAAAGTTTCTTTTAGTTTTTTGAGAGGACATACAATGCTCAGTTTCAGGTTTACATTTGTATTTTTAGCCTCTACAGTGAAATATTCAGATGCTTTAATGTTCAAAAAGGTCTTTATATTTCTCATACTGCCTGTGCTGCAGCACCTCTTTTCACCCTCTGTCTGAAACCAGAGCCCAGTCTGCTCCGATTGGTTAGCTGGTCGGCTCTGTTGTGATTGGTTAACTACTTAGAGATGTCCCGCCCCTTAGCCTATTACGATTACAATGTGTTGGAGCAATAGCCAATAGAAACGTGTAATGTCACTATGTATGGCGGAGTGTGTGGGAGAGAAACTCCCTCTGGAGGGAACACAGGGATTTTAGCCTTTGCACAAAACCTATATAACGCACTACAGGAAAGTGAAAACCCCCCAGAACACATTAGGGCCCCTTTAAAGTCACCCTCCCAGGTTGTGAAGAGCTCCATAATGTGTGATAAAGGGGGATTATGTTGTCTGAGTACCTGTATATGCCGCCTGAATGGCTACCACACACCGTTTTCATTATACTTTCCCGTAAAAAGGCTTAGTTTTCTCTCCTTGGCAATTACATCGACGAAGCTTAACGAGATAAACAAATGAATATCAATACCGTTGTGGGAAGGAACACGACTGAATGCCTTGGGCATTGTGTGGTGAGGAAAGCAATACTTCCCATCGACTTAAATAGCAGCTCTAGGCTACACAATATTGTCGGGAACAATCAGATGTTTAGGATTAGATTAACTTTATTGATCTTAAGAGGAAAACTGGGCCATTACAGCAGCAAAGCAATGGATGCAGTTTTGTACAGGTTTCACTTTTTGTCTGTTAATGCTTGCAGCAGAGAATTATAAAAGATAAGAGTGTTGTTCAGACAGTACCTGAGACCTTCTGAATGACCTCGTTGACCTCCTTCATGAAGACCTTCTGCAGGAACACCAGGTGGTTGAGCAGGTCTGTGGTCAGGTTGTGCTCGAATGAACCGATCTGCAAATCAAAGAAGAGAAGTTCAAATCAGCTGCTTTGTTAATCCATCCAACAGCCTTTTAGAAAAGAAAGATGCCTGTAAGCAAAGTCAATTGAAAGGGACAAGAGACACGTTTCTCCCTGCCAATTATGTATTTTTCTTCTTCCTGGTGTGTCACATTTAACATCACAAACAAACAGTGGTTAGTTATTTTTTGTATCTCTTATTTATTCCATTTCTGTGGAGACTAGCAAAGACAGATTTGATTTGGTTTCCGTAAGATTGAATAATGTGTGTTTTACGGTGATCGGGAAGGAACATGAATGTTTCTGTCAATAGAGTTTGTGCCCATCCATGTTGATTTGATATATTGTCTTTTCACTTGAATGTGGGTTAAAAGTCTGTAATGGGCGTATCCACCGAGGCTTTATGTTTCCATTGCTGCCTATCGGAGCTAGAGCAAATAAATAAGCAATCACAATACTATCCCATGGAAAAATGGGTTTTGGGAAAGTTGCGTCATTTTAAAATGAACAAAAAAGATAAATGAAATACAAAATGAAATAAAAATATGTATTTAAACATTCAGAGTTAAAGTAAAAATGTGCAATAAAAAGAGAAAATAAAAGATTAAATACATTATAATATAATTAATATATAATGTTATATAATAATACATATACAGATATGAACATAAGTAGTCTAATAAAAGATCATTAAGAATAAAACAGAGTATATATTTTTAAATGTATACAAATATTTACACAGACATATTGTGTAAAGTAAAATATCCAATAAAAAAAATAATAATGTATATAAACAAAATAAATTATAATAAGAATGGGCAAAAGAAAATAAATAAAAATAAACATAATGCGTTGTAAAAAAAATATTAATTTAAACATAAGATAAGTTAAAATGTGCATTAATGATGATTCATATGTAATAACAGTATTGACTGCTGCAGAGTGTCCCAGAACAAAAGGCGGTCGAACCATCAGCACTAAAGGTCAGACTTTTGTTGCCTAGCAGCAGAGGGGCTCAGTTAGCTTCTCCTAATTCTCCTGGCATTCCACTGTGAAGCCTCTCTCCTTCTTACCTCGGCTACACAGCGCAGGTAGTTGCCCTGCAGGTAGTTCCCTTGCTTTGCTGGGAAGTCGTCGGGGGCCCAGCCCTGGTCCGAGTGGCTCTCGTGGTCCTCCATGATGTACTCCCCTGACATGGTGACCGGAGGCAGGGTGAGGCTGGCTGAGGGAGGCATGGTGGACATGTCCACCGGGGACACTTTGGACTGGAAGCAAAGCTTGTGGTTCGGCAACTCGAAGGTGAAGCTGGTTTGTGCCCCTAAAACAAGAAAGCATAATTAGTAAAGGGAATATCGACTCTTCTGTGTGTGGAGTCCTAAAATCCAGAAACGAGTTAGCTTTGTACCACTTCTGGTTCTCTCATCTCAAAGTCAACCTTTTTTTTTTAACGTGTTGGTTTGACATTTAGACGAAAAATTTAAGTAAGTAAGTTAAAACAAGATGAAGAGAGTTATCTTGTTAAAAATCTGTCAGTAAATACCTATACTGGTGAATGTCCGAAGCCTCTTTGTGTCATAAAAACTGCGGTTTCTAACAAAAACGATGAGACTGAGACTACTGAGGCTACTTGACATCATTACGCAGAACAGGATTCAGCCTATATGACCATGATGTAGTTTGTTTGTAAATCATACAAGTGGTGTTAATATGTTGAGATTATTCTGCAAATCCTCCGGGGTGGGCTTACAAACATATGTCAAAACACTCGTCTATTCTCTAAAAGTGGCTGCGCTGCCCCAGAAACCACCACTGTTCGCCAAAGCCTATTTCTCATTCTGGGTAAGTCCATTTTTAACAATAATGGGGACAACATTTAATGTGTGATGGTATGTGAAATCTGTCTTTTCTTTACGTCATTGTGGGAATCAATGAGAGGGATCCTCTCACACACTCACCTGTCATGCCATGGCTCTTCATGCGACCCATCTTGTACTCGGCTTTCAGTGAGGGCAGCAGGGCGGCCCCGATGGTGATGCCGTCCATCATGGCGCTGAACTTGAGCACGATGGGCTTCTTCTCCAGGCCTTCGGGGAGCTGAGGGAACTCGTTAGCTTCCACGGGGGTCTGATTGATGCTGGATGCTTTTTCAGAGGGTTGCGGAATGGGGGTGTCTTCCCTATTAGGAGGTTGACTGTGAGGGGGGGGGAAAACATTATTTAAAAGGGTTGACTTTGAAAATATGGAAGAGGTGCTGTATCAAGCAACTGTTGCTATGTTATTTTCTGGGCAGGATTTGCTATTGCGTCAGTAACAAACTGAATACTATTGCATTGATTTAGTTACTTGTGCATCGGTGTATGGGTTTGTGTGTGTGTGTGTGTGTGTGTGTGTGTGTGTGTGTGTGTGTATGTTTTTTATTTTTATTATCACTGGTTCATCTTCCTGTGAACATCAAATTATAGCAAAAGTTGTTAATATCCTAAGCACACCTACAACTCTATAAATATATTAACATAATTCAGACTATTACCATGGAAACAGACCACACGCAGGCTTTGAAAGCAGTTAACTGGCAACACTGTGAATGTGCTGCAGGAACCCGTCACTTTTGGAGATGAAAGACTTCTTATGAGGTTGTTATGAAGTGTACATTACACACTAATGGCAGTAGTGTGTCGCATGATGGATGCATGCAGGGATTTGAATATAGTTACAGGTCAAATATTTAAGAGTCCGCTTTTAATTGCTTTTAACCCTTTTACATCTCCCTTTAAAAAGTAGCTCACATATCCTTATAGGGGGAAAATCTGAAATTATAAATTATTTTAATTTCCATTTTGACTAACAGAAAAAGGCATGTTATGTTCTGTATAATAAACTTAAGAGGGATTTTTTTCACAATCAACAACATATGGGGCGGTGGTGGCGAAGCCATAGGGACTTGGCTTGGCAACTGGAAGGTCACCAGTTCAAGTCCCGGAAAGACCAAGTGCTACCGAGGTGTCCCTGAGCAAGGCACTGCTCCCCGGGCGGCGTACATAATGGCAGCCCACTACTCCTAACACTAGGATAGGTCAAATGCAGAGAAACCGTTTCGTTACATAGTACCTGTACTACGTAATGACAATAAGTTGAATCTTCAATCTTCTATAAGTTTGGATGAATTTTGTGAAATATATAATACAGCAGAAATGAACCTAGTGGACTACAGGGACATGTATAGAGTGGTGCAGGAATGAGTCCTCAAACCCAGAAATTATAGCCTTTGACAACTTCTGGTTTGCTCGTCTCCAAGCCAACCGCTTTATATGATTATGTTTTTATATGCCTGAAATAAGGTCTGTGGTCAACCAAGGATGAAGAGATATTAACGTTTTAATCTAGGACATAAACAAAATACCCCCACACAATGTCTGAAGTGTCTATTTGTCATAAAAATAGCGTTTGCAAACAAGTCACTAAATGAGACTTCTAAACGCCATTACGTCGAACATTAGCCGCCTTAAGCTTGGTGGTGGTGATGCGTAGTCATGCAACCTTGATGTAGTTTGTTTATATCTTATTGTTAGCTTTTTACTTCTGGTAATTGCATTTACGCTTCAAATTGGATATATATATTCATATGGATGGATATGTGAAGAATTATCCTGATGATGAAAACATATAAGTATCATGAATGTGCATTTGCCATAGATCTTATTGTCTGCAATATTCCAAAATCCAATGGAAAATCCCTTTGCTTTTTGTAGAGGGAGCCTTAGCAATTCTAACTTCTGGGCTGGACAAACACAAAGACATCACCCCTGCACCACTCTATCTGCCCCTTAGGGCAAACTGGGCCAATCTGGTTCAAATTGGAGGGTGTTCCTTTTTCCACCAGAGTTCTAGATTGAAAGCCTGGGTATAATAAAATGCATGATTTCATGCTGCTATGGCCGTGGGATCAAGTTGTGTGGTTTTTATGTGTCTTACTGGGGACATTTTTATCGCTAAATGTCTGAGATTATGGTTACCCACTATATTATAGACTATTTTATAGAGGTTAGACTTTCAAAATGTAATAAAACTAAACAAAAGGAAACCTGACATCCTTGTAAAAACAAATGTCATGTTCAAAGCCATAGGGTAAGGGCTAGCCATAAACCTATCTACTGTACCTAGTGAGGCCCAAGGCTTAATAGCTTTTAATGAGACCTTAAAGACAGATATAAAAAGAGGACGTACGCATTGGATGGCTGGCGGATGAGGTCAGAAATCTGTTTGGAGAGCTGGTGGGAGCTGCGAACCATCATGCTGTGCAGCGTGGCCGGGTGCTGGGGGATGTTGATGATGATGGCCCCCACTTTGAAGACGGCTGCGTTGTTGGTTCTCAGTCCTCGCTGGGCGCTGTACAGGGCCTGGGACTTGGCGATGTTGCATTTGACCACGGTTCTGAAACATAAAGTTAAATGGAATGAATTTCATAGAAGTGAAATAAAAAACTTTCGGCATGTGAAGTTGACATATGAAGGGATTCAGTGGAAGTATTTAGAAGACATCAAACAGTAAGACACCATGCAGATTCAGGACAGCATTCACTTTCCTGGGTATGAGCAATCAGAACGGTGACACATGTTCCACTATGAATGAAGGTAATGAATTGTACACGTTCGACGCGGCCAAAATGCAATGCAATACTGAAATATACTAATAACACTGGAATAACATTCAGAAATATCAGAATGCTTGAAAGATATTTCAGTATTTTGGCAGACTGGAAATATTACCCATATTTCATTATGTTTTCCTATTTCAATAACCCCAAACATTTTTTACATATGTTTTTGTAAATTAAAATGTAAAAACATTGCATATTCCACACATATATAAAAGAAAATATATGACTAAAGTATCATTTGTTTATATATTTTTTGGTTTCTAGTAGGTGGAACGTTACTATATACACACACAGTTATATGGAAGAGAATAAAGGCTACATGTAAAAAAAGTATTACCGTAAGTTCTGACCAAAAGTGTTTATTTAGGTTGGATATAAAAGTAAGAATTCTGAAAAAGTTTGAAGTTCTTAGAATAAAATCCGAAATAAAAGTCAGAATTTGGAATTTAAATCAAAGTTCTGAGAAAAAACTCAGAATTCTGAGGAAAAAGTCAATTCTGAGATTAAAGTCAGAATTCTGAGAATAAAGCCAGAACTCGTTGACAATTTTAGAATAAAGTAAGAATTCTGAGATTTAAATCTGAATTCTGAGAGAAAAGTTGAAATTCTGAGGAAAAAAGTAAATTACGAGATTAAAGTCCAGAATTCTGAGAAGAAAGTCGGAATTCTGAAATTTGAGTCAGAATTCTAACTTTGACAATTCTGACTTTAATCTCAGAACCCAAAAAAAGAAATCACTTTTGATCGGAACTCAATACATGTTTTTCATGTGGCCCTAATTTACTTCCGTAGAGTTACCAAGGGGAGTCGTGAGAAAATGTTCAGTGCAAATACACACGGATGAAGGTGACTTAGACAAATATAGGATGTAAAATCAGGGCAACTGTGTTTCCATTGACTAATGGATGTGAGCCCTGAATGGTAGCAATAACATACAGAAACTCTTGTTTAGCTGTGCTGGTGGGAGATGTTGGGAAATCCTCCAGTCTATGCAAGTAGTGCAGGAAGAAAAAGCAAAGGAAAAACAAAAAGGAGAAGAAAAGCAGAAGAAAGTTTGAAACAGTTCAGAGACACCATAAACTGAAAAGAAAGTTTTATTCAAGCATTGAAGAGCCATTTCAAAAGGAAAATGTGGTTTGCTCTATCTCATAATTATGACTTCATCTTGTAATTATAACTTTCAATCACAACATTTGTATCTCCTGAGTGACTTTTTATCTCCATTTCGACTATTTATCTCATCATTATGACATAATCTCATATTTATGACTTTGTATCTCATTATTTTGGACTCTCCCATCTCATCTCATAAAAACTCTTAAATATGACTATCTCATATTTTCAAGTTATTCTGTCATAATTATGACGTTTTATTTTATAATCAGGACGTAATCTCAATTAGATTTGTATCTTCTAATTCAGACTTTTTATCTAACAATTACTACTTTGTATCGCTTAATTATAACTTTTTATCTCCTAGTTGGATCTTTCTATCTCAAAACGATGACTATCTGATATTTATGACAGTGTTTCCCCTACCATTGTCTTGGCGGGGCGCTGCGCCCTGCCAACGGAGCCCCGCGCCCCGCCTGAAATTCAAGGGGTTTTATTTTTGTTTTAAAAAAAAAATTAAATTAAAAAAAAATATATATATAGCACCAAATTGCAACTGAAGTAATCTATCTACGGTCACTTTTCACATTGAACATGTGCTCTTTTATTAAATAAACTAAACGCCTATGTTATTTATCCAATGTATGTGCATGTTTCAGTGTCCACTGCTTTGCGTATTCACATTCTCCCTCCGCTCTGTTTCTGAAGGGCTTATTAACTTATTAAGGCTGTTGATTGATAAAGAACTTACATTCTAACCACAATAAAATGAGCCCTCAAGGATAACCACAGTTACATTTTGTTGCCAGAAAACTGCATCTGGATTTTGAAGAACTAGTCTGCGAACATTGCAGATACAATGCTTTAACAGGCACCCAACAGACTTTATTGGAGCCTGTTGTTGAATATTGACTTACTATGTCTTTGTCATTCATTTATGTCGACCATTCTTATATACATCTGAATGTGGGACAATTTAACACATCAGTAGCAACTACAAAGCACCAAGTTAAAAATGTAAAGACACAAGTGCAGTTGAGAGCACACTGTATGAAAATAGGATTAAGTGTTAGTTTTACATTCACAGCGTCTGTTAAATAGAAGATGAAAAAAAGCTTCTTATTGAAGCAGCAGTAGAAACTGAATCATAGCAGCGTGGAGATGCATCAGTCTGTCTCCGTGCATGACTACGAGGCTTATAACTTCATTAGGGTGCTTATGTTTTGAGGAAATTGCTCGCAGTGTAAACAAAAACTACTATTAACATTTCCCAGCTGCGAAGGACTCTGTAATTGGCTCACGCTGAGCGGCAACGCTTGTGGAAAACACTGCATCCGCTCTTTAGATGACACTTACAAAGGAAGTCGACAATAAAGCATCTACAGTATGTGCGAGTTCTGTTGCTGTGTTCTTATATAAGTTAAGATATTCTTCTTTGACAACACTCACTATTTAGATACCTCTTGTTTGGGTATCTTAAATAAGGCAATACATGTTTCAATAATACTTTTGAGCTGAGAAGTTCAAAATCCTTCCCGCAGGTAAATCCAATAGTTGATGTATTTTTGAACATTGAATACATCTTAATGAAATATAGTAAAAAAACTAAACTGATTTCAAACTTCAGAAAGCAAGGTTTTGGAGGAATACACTGTTAAAAATGATCGGTAAACTTTCTTCTCAAAGCATTTCTTCCAAGATGAGACAAACACTTGACATTCTAAAAGAGTGGTGCAGGAATGAGTCTTAAAACTTGGAAATGAGTTAGCATTTGACCACTTTTGGTTCCTTTGTCTTGAAGTTGACATGTTTCTGAACGTGTTATTGGTTAGATGCCTGAAAAAAGGTCTGTGGTTTACACAAGCTGAAGATATTCTCAAGTCTTTTTCTACAACATGAAAACGTCAGTAATTACCCCACTTGTGAATGTCTGAAGCTTCTACGCGTCTTGAAACGGTGGTTGCTAACAAGTGGCTTAACGAGACTACTAAACGTCATCACGCTAAACATTAGCCGCCTTTAGCTTAGCGGTAGTGACGTGAAGGCATGCGATTGTGATGTAGTTCGTTTATAGAATTAGGTTAGCTTTCTACTTTGATTTATGGTTAAAATATGTTATTGTGAATATCTTCCTGCTGAACAAAATGTGTAAGTATCATAACTGTTTGCCAGAGATTTGTTTTCTGAAATATTCTGAAAAGCCATCGCTGCACCAATCTTAAAACAGACGTTAAAGAGAAATTGTACGTACTGGATGTCGGGGGTTATGCCCTCCAGGAGAACAATGTTTACCCCCCCAATGTGAGCCGAGGCACACGTCTCTGTCATCTTCTGGTGCAGGATATCTGTGGACACAAAAATGAAAAGAAAGATTACATCAAACAGATTTAACTTTTAATCAGAATTGCTTTCTGCCAGACAGAAATAAAATGATTTTTATTGCCTATTGATGCAATGGCTTTAGAATGTATATCTTAAAACTCCTGAAAAGAAGAATAAATGGTAAAAACAATTCAAGGCCAAAGTCTACAGATATTGTTTATTAAAATGGAATTCATCCAAAAGACTGATTTTCGAATTATTCAAAAGCTTCATCGTCATACAGTATGCACCAAGGCTACAGCTTGGCATTGGCCATGAACATCTTAAGTCCCAGGATCCTCCAACAATAACTTTAACATTCAAACAAAGAAGGCATTAAAGGGAGGAAAATAATACTGAATTATAAATAATGGTGCAAGTAAGGAGAAGAGTTAGGCATATTAACTCTGTTAGAATAAACTGTGATGTGATCCTACAAAATGAATGGACATTATGGTTACGGTCGAATTGTCAGCATTCTGAGAAAAGCTCAGAATTCTAAAAATATCTAAAATCACAGTAAAAGTTTCTCTGACTTTAATCTCAGAATTCTTACTTTTTCTCAGAACTCAAAAGATAATTCACATGTGGCACTAATCCTCTTCCGTACATTATCAATATCAAGGTATTTTGTCCAAAATATCATGATATTTGATATAATCCATATTTCCCATCACTACTTAAGACTACACCAAACACAGGGCTTTTTTCTTTACACATCAGGGAATTGAAGGTAAGTACAACTATTTCCGATGAGCACCCACACAGATCTCCGCCTCACCTTTCATCTTCTCCTTCAGTGTGAAGCTTCCGTGGATCTTCTTGAGCTCCGCCTCCATGGTGAGCCCTCCGATGTCGGCCTCCAGGTGTGTGCGGTTCACCATGCCGATGCCGAACACGATGAGCGTGACGTGCTGCGGCTCGGAGCTCACCAGGCTGCGCCGCCGCCCCCCTGAGCCCGGGGGCTTGTTGGGGGTGGAGTTATCCTGCTGCTCGTTCTCAAAGATCACTTTACAGAACGGCTCCGAGGGCCGGCGGCCACCTTCTGCAAGGATAAGGTGAGTTTGGTAAATACACATGAAGAAGAGATTTAAAAGAATAACTCAGTTCAGGATCAAGTGCTTGTTGTTGTAATTCTTATTTTGGCCACAAGGGGTAAAAGTGCACTATTTATATAAAGCATTTTCTATTTTCCCTTAAAGTCGATTCATCCCTTCCGTTTAGTTTTTACACTTCATCCCGTCACCTCTGTTTGCCACAAAATAATTGTACTATTGTTTATAAGAGTAATTTTCTTTAAATTAATTATTCGTTCTCTCGATACAAAAACTGTGTTCGTAAAAAAAAGGTTTTACGAACTGAGAAAGATTATTCTTCGATCATCTTTTTTCCACCCATTCTTAAGGCAAACGCACAGAAAAGAAACCATTTTAGATCAGAACAAAACATTTGATTATCAGATTCTTTTTCTCCCTCATTTGCATCTCAGGGCTTCCATATAAATCCTCTATTCTCTGATATCATCAACACTAAATTACATGAGAAGAACATGATTGAAGTCAAGATTCATAAAATACACCATAAAAACCTTTCACTACATAATTAGAATACTTTTGTGAAGACTAGACATTAATTGTGGGATGTTATTTTATTACACTACGGTGAAGTGTTTGTTTAACTGTAGGTTTAGCAGGATAACATGAGGCTATTTTGGACCTGTGACAATTACTGTACTGTAGTTTAAAACATAACCGAGCAAGGTTTAGTCCCACAGGAACTCATTCTGTCATTGTATCAAGGTGTCCCACTACTACAGGCTCCTCTCATAGTTAATGAAGCCCTCAGGGAATTGTTGCATCTACAGCAGCAAAAGGTATTATCAGGAAACATTGACTGAAAAAAGAAAGAACTATAGAGCTAAAAGGAAGTAGCGAACCACATATGTATGATTGATATACATTACTGTGGCAAAAGACAACGTTTTAACTTCTCCTGTCCCTTGTGTTTCAAGTGTTCACTGTAGAAGTTGTCGCAAAGACTAACATTAAGGTTTCTGTTTTTCTCAGCGTCTACTAAAGGCGACAGATATTGTCAGGTCAGGGAAAAAGTAAGGAATATATTTAGATATATTATCCAACCATCCATGCATCCATCATCTGCCGCTCATCCGCTAAGTGTATGTATGTAAACATCAGCTGAATGACATGTAATGGCATATATTGTTTGTAGTGGTAGATACTTTGGAGAAGAGTTTAAAACACTCCACAGCATTGCATTTTGGTTTTCATGGCGTTGTGCCATAATAGAGTCTTCATTATCCTGGGAGATGGTACCTAGTGGCACACAGATTTGAAGAGTGAAAGTGAAGCTAAATGCCAATGGTGTCTTTTTACTACATTACGCTATGCAATCAACATTTACTTGATCAATTATAAAGGTTAAGTATTAGTATTTCAGTATTAGTTAGAAAAATGTAATGTAGACTCTATGATTCAGCTTTTAAAATGTTGTTTTTCACCCAACAAAATAATGCTATTCATCATCTGTGGACTATTTTCATCCACACAGCATGAAATGGGACAAAATAGGTTGTGAGGAATAGTGGGATTATGTGGGGGAAAAAAAATCTCTGAATGTCACGTGTCCACTATTGGTTCTTGGAGATATCAGATCATATTAGATTGTCAACGTAGTTATTTGAAATGTCCTTAACTCTGTACTATATATATATATATTATTATTATTTTGTAATGTCATCTCCTTTATATGTGTCCTGCCTGTATTTAATAGAAATAAATCAGTTTTTTGCCATTTAAACTAAGAGCACATTATTATTATGATTATCGTTACCATTATTAATGGAAAATAGAGTATTAAATGCATAATTGCATGCAACATACCAGCAGCTGAGTACTAACTTTTGTGTAGGTAGCATGCATACAATGACACATGCAATGTATGAGTATAAAGACGAATGCATAGTATTTCTAGAGTAGGGTCAATAAAGTGGTCATAAAACAGTAAAAAGGCATACTTCAGGTTGGAGAGGAGGAAAGGAGGAAGAGGGAGGAGAAAATAAAGATTTGACAGCAATAGAAGGAAGAAGAGAAATCACAAAGAACAACAACAATTTGTTCAAAATATAAGGAGATAAATTAAGCTATAAACTGTAGTTGTGCCCAGTGAAGCAGAATGGAAATACATGGAGGGACACCAGGAAGAGGATGAGTGGCCGGGGCCGGCTCCCACCTGACAGACAGTTCTCTGGGGAGCTCTTCTCCAGGATGCCGGTGGGGTCGGAGATGAGGGAGTAGAAGTTGAGCAGCTTGTACATGTTCTGCCAACACTCTGCCGACGGCTCGCTCTGCTCCGACACCGTGATGGAGTCCGAGTCGTCCATCTGGATGGCCATGTGGTCGGCCACGTCACGAGAGCCCTTCCTCGACACCTGAACACAACACTCCACGTTACTAACAAGTAGAAATGTCACAGCTGTTTTCCAGGAGCCACTTACTGCCAGACAAGCTGATAAATATTGACATACACATCTTTATTAGCTTGTCACTGAATTTGACTAGAATGGAAATCCCAGAATAGTCCTCTATCTGCCTTACGGTATTTTCGTTTTACTTGAGAAGATAACATTTGTGTGGCTCTGTGGATTTCATCTATAAAATGTCAGCGCTTGATAGTACATTTTGACAGCTTTTAAAATCTCCCCTGAATAGCAGAGGATAATATTTATTTAATTAGTATTTCATACACTATTATAAACTGTTACTTAAGGTTGTTTATTTTTAACACCTTTTATTTATTTATTTGTTTAGTTATGTAATAATTAATCCGTCTTATTTTCCTGTATGGGCTCATTTTTCAGTTTTAAATGTGAAATAATATTAATAACCTTTCAAATCTTTTTTTTTTATGTGATCGATAATATTTCTATCCTTTAAAATCGATCTATCCATTTATTCATTCGTTTATCTGTTGATTCATTTATTTATTATTCTCTTAAGTTGCTTTATTTTCCTACATGGCAGAACTTCAGTGTTAGTATTATTAGATCTCAGTGGTGCGTTTGACACTGTTGACCACAACATATTACTAGACCGACTGGAAAACTGGGTGGGACTTTCGGCAACAGTTCTAAATTGGTTTGAATCCTACTTAAAGGACAGAAAAAACTTTGTTTCTATAGGTAAATACTAGGGATGCTCCGATCGATCGGTCACCGATCGAGATCTGCCGATACTCACTCTCTACCGATCGATCGGTGCTCTCTAAACATGCCGATCGCGAGGGCCGATCGCATGACGTAAAATACATGACACTTTTCTCTGTGCGCGGCAAAACAAGCTCGCCAAAATGGCTTCACCGGTCTGGCATTATTTTAAGGTGTCCGAAAAAGACAGTAAAATAGCGGTATGCAACGTGTGTGTGAAGCAGAAACCCTGCAGCTCCACCCGCTGTGACGGAGCGGTGAGCGGAGCAAAACACACAAGAGTTAGACCTAACACACTTAGCTATTTTATCTACTTCTGGAACAAGCTAAACTAGTTATAAATATGTTTATTCTTCACTGTCGGCCTCACACATTACTGGATCAGCGAGCTGCATGAGACGATACTGACGGGCTGTCAGGAGAGGGAGAGCGGGGGAGAGAGAGGGGGAGAGAGAGGGGGAGAGAGAGAGGGAGAGAGAGAGGGAGAGAGGAAAAGAGAGCGCTTGCTCATTTCTCCCGTGTTATTATCCAAAGTGAATGTAAACTTGAATAATATACATAATTTGAATGTAATAATTAAGTTGATTGTTGTTTGTGGAAGCTCCAGTGAATGAGCCCCATTAACTGAGTTTTAAACATCACTTTAAATGGAAGATTTAAAGTGATGTTTAAATCTTCCATTTAGGCCCCGCCCACTCGATCGGATCGGCGATCGGTATCGGCAGATACTGATTCCGGCGATCGGCGATTGGCGATCGGCGATCGGCCCCAAAATTGGCGATCGGAGCATCCCTAGTAAATACACATCTCAGTTGACAAATATGACATGTGGGGTACCTCAAGGCTCCATCTTGGGGCCTCTTCTCTTTAACATCTACATGCTACCACTGGCTCAGATAATGAAAAACAACAAAATAAGTTACCATAGCAATGCGGATGACACACAAATGTACCTAACCATTTCACCAGGAGACAATGCTCCAATTCAAACACTGAGTAATGCGGCTTTTACACCAGCGCTTTTCCCTTTCTAGCTCCTAGCTAGAGCTTTTCTGGTTCAGCTCCGGTTTCCCTTTTCAGCTCCCGCTCTGTTCACACCGCCCAGCTGCCGCTGCTGCGTCATGACGTCACCGCTTACATCGCTGATTTTCTCCCCAACGGAGCTCAGAACAACAACGGGGGGGGGGGACTGCGTCGGGTCGATGATCGTGTTGCTTTTAATCATACGAAGCCAGATTAAATTAAATAACGACTTCTCCAACCTTACACTTTTCTCCAGAGTGCCGTGGTTCATTGTTTATTAATGTGTTTCAGCGGCATTTACCGACCGCTGCAGTGCTGGCTGCTCTTCCACGGGAGTTTATTCTCCCGTTAGCTCCGGGTTAGCTCACACGGCTCTAAAGTATTCACTGTCTGACTGTCACACAAGCAGCTGATACATATCCCCAGTTCCCCTTAAGTGAATGTGTGTCAGTCTGAATTGACGCTGTTTGGCATCACAACGCTGTTATGAAAGTTTCTCTGGTATAACATGGGTGATGTTAGCATAGCAACCGAAGCTAAACTGACTACTTGCTAAGCCGTTTTCTACAGGCACATTTTACCAGCGTATTTTTCATTATGATTCTACTTGTGATAGTCGGACATGACTGCTTGTAGGCAGGCATGACGAGACTCTTCAGTCGACCCATGTTCAGGGGAGGTGGGTTTAGTTTCCTGCACGCCTCGACGTAAGAGAGACGTAAGCGACGCCGCGTCATAGCTCCGAAGCTCTTGCCTCTAGACCGACAACTTTTTGGAGCTGGAAGTGAACCGCATTCCGGAGCTATGACGCGGAGCCGCTGCGGTGTGAACAGGAAAAAGCGCCGGTGTGAAAGGGGCATAAGTGCATTGAACAAATCAATGACTGGATGTGTCAGAACTTTCTCCAATTAAACAAAGATAAAACTGAGATAATGGTTTTTGGAGCCAAGGCAGAACATATAAACGTTAGCGCTGAGCTTCAGTCTGCAATGTTCAAAACAACAGATAAAGCCAGAAATCTAGGTGTAGTCATGGACTCTGACCTGAGTTTCAACAGTCACATTAAAACAGTTACTAAATCAGCCTACTATCATCTAAAGAACATATCTAGGATTAAAAGACTAATGTCACAGCAGGATTTGGAAAAACTTGTCCATGCTTTTATCTTCAGTAGACTTGACTACTGTAATGGTGTCTTCATAGGTCTCACTAAAAAATCTATCAGAAAGCTGCAGCTAATTCAGAACGCCGCTGCTCGAGTCCTCACTAACACTAAGAAAGTGGATCACATCACTCCAGTTCTGAAGTCTTTACACTGGCTTCCTGTGTGTCAAATAATTGATTTCAAAATACTGCTGCTGGTTTATAAAGCACTGAATGGTTTAGGCCCAAAATACATTTCTGACCTACTGCTAAAGTGTGAACCATCCAGAACTCTCGGGTCTTCAGGGACTGGTCAGCTTTCTGTCACCAGTCAGAACTAAACATGGAGAAGCAGCGTTCAGTTGTTATGCTCCAAATATCTGGAACAAACTACCAGAAACCTGCAGGTCCGCTGCAACTCTTACTACTTTTAAATCCAGGCTGAAGACTTTTCTTTTTGTCGCTGCTTTTAATTGAGCTATTCATATCTTAAACTGCACTGTAACTTTTATTCACGTGTTTTTTTCTTTTAATGTTTATTTTAATATCTTGGCTTTTTAATGACTGATTTTAAATGCCATTTTGCCGCTGGTTTTAATTGATATATTCAGGCTTATTATTTTTGGGGTTAAAGTCCCCTACGTGTATTGGGGTTAAAGTCCCCCCGTAGGTAGTTAAAGTCATTATTGGGGTTAAAGTCCCCTCATAGGTGGTTAAAGTCCCCTACGTGTGCCGTTTTGGTTTCAAGACCCTGGTTCGCGGAGAACACCAAAAAAGTCCTAGAAAAGACAACTTAAAAACTAATGTGCATTCATAAAAAAGAGGAATAGTTTTGGCGAAAACTAAAAATCTATCTTACAGTAAAGGTCATTTTATACCATTGCTTTTAAATGAGTGTTTTTAAATGTCATTTTATACCATTGCTTTTAAATGAGTGTTTTTAAATGTCATTTCATAATATGTTTCTTAGTGCTCTTAATGTCTTTCATTTTTGTAAAGCACTTTGAATTGCCTTGTGTTGAAATGTGCTATATAAATAAACTTGCCTTGCCTACATGGAATCAATTTATTTTTGTATTGATCTATTATTCAAATTACAATGCAGGGGGTGCAGGGGATGGGTGGGGTGTGGGTAGGGTTAGTGTATAAATAAATGTCACATCATGGAGCTGAGGGGTAAATATCTGAATCATTTCTCTTTTCATTGCTCTACTGTTTACTGTCCTGAGTCAGGTAATGAAGACCCCCTGAACTCGTGACATTGACTCCAGTGAGCAGGAAAGTGACTCGGTCCTTCTGCAGAGAGAGATTTCTTGGTTTATATTTCTCGAAGGTATTGTGGCATCTGATACCTTGTCTACTTTGATATAAATCCCTTCACTTCAAAGCAACAAGTTTGACGTACATGTTCCAACTGTCAGGAGAAAAGAAAACTTCCCCTGTGAGAACTGTCGAGTCAAACAGAGCTGCGGAGAAGACTCTACCAGAGACTGAATGAAAGACTCTCCCCCCCGACAGCTGACTCTGTTCCTGTCTTACTATCTACTGGCTCCCTCTACAGTTTGAGTGAAGAAAAGTTTCAGAATGATATTTCTGATGTTACTAAACAAGTCTGAAGGACTGGACAGGTTGAATAATTGAGAGCATTTACCACTATCTGAGAAAGATTTTCACTAAAGACCTCGGGAAGATACTGGTTGTTCAAACTTCAAAAAAACGCAAATGATGCAATTTAGGAGTTTAACTACATTTCTAATTTCTTTTGGTGGCAAAACGATTTGGAAAACAAAGCTATTCTTATTATAAAAATAAAAACCCACTTTCTTACATAAGTTATAGGTAAAATGCAACAAAGAAACAAAAGTAAAAAATAAAATAAAATAGGAGAACAAAATTGTTCTAACTATATGGGGCTTGAAATTGTTATTTTTTTCAGCATTTCAATTATGAAGATAGACAAAAATACGATGGACTTTTTCACAATATCTGGCATTTTATAACCCCAACGATTGACCAATTAGTTGAGAAAATGATCTGCAGTTGAATCCAAAATAGAAGTAATTCAGCTAGTTTCAGCCTAATTTTTTTTTCTTCCTGTTGCCACATAGCCAATATCAAAATGGAGCATGACAATTTGAAAGTCTAAACACTCACTACGAACATAGGGTTATTAATGCAATATTGCTGAAAGTTGAAATCTTGAAACGTATGGTCACGGTAGTATGTATGGTCATTTTTGAGACTTCAAACTCCCAAAAATAAATCTGAAAGCACTTTATTTATCATGTTTTTTATTTGAATTTGACTAATGGGTAACTAAAAGCATTATTAATGCAGTTTCTGAGATTGTAGACTTGTATATCTTTTGTTATTAACACGTTATGTTTTGAATCTATAAATACTAATATACTCCACTGTGTACTAGTTGTATACAGATGAAGAATGTTTGATTTTATTGACATGTATTTGAGCCTTATTTAACCCTTTTGTTTTATTCATAACTGATTATAATATTATTCTTTTTTTTAAACAATTTTTCCATTTTTGTTTGACTCAAAAGCAACTGTGTGCTTTTGCAAATGTTTATCATAAGAAAGTAAAATTGAAATACATTTTTAAAACATGTTTCTCGATCATGATCACCTTGGAGGTGCGTCGCTCCGATCGTCCCAGGGAGGTGCGTCCTCTCGGCTCCCTCCTCCCCAGCGTGTCCATGCCTGACGGAGGTCCATTGGCCGGTAAACCCCCGGCGCCGCCTGCCCCCCCTCCCCCTCCTCCCCCCACGCCTCTCTTGCTCCTCAGTGTTTGCGTCCCGCTGCGCCCCGCCCCGTTGATGCTTCCCCGGGAGCTGCGGCTGAAGTCCGTCGACCTGAAGTGTCGGTACGGCCGCGCCTTGAAGGTGGGGGTGGGGGAGGCGGAGCCGGCGGTGTAGCGGCTCAGCTTGATGTCCGTCTGCGTGGCCTTGATGTCGTCGATCATGGTGCTGAACTGGTGGATGAGGCGCACCAGGGCCATGTCCACCCGCTGGCTGATGGCCTGGCAGGCGGTGGTGAAGTCGCAGTGGAAGGTGTTGTAGTGGCGGCGGTTCAGGTCGTGGAAGGACAGCGGGGCCGCGGTGGGGCCCTGAGGAGCGCTCGTCGACTTCTCCATCACCACCGCGTTCAGGCTGAACGTCTCGATGAGCAGCGCCGGCTTGAACTCCAGCGGGGGGAGGTTCACCATGCCTTGTCTGAGGACAGAGGGAGGGAGAGGAGAGGGTTATGTGTGTGTGATTAGCTGACATACTGTCCGGGCTGCACATTTTGTTGATATCGCAATTAGGGCGAATAGAGTGATTAATTGAAGATGTATTTTCGTAGGCAGACCTGGAAGTAAACATCTCAAGGGTTCCAACAAAATCCAATGATATCCACTGGATTTTGCAGTGCTGGAAAAGGTTCTAACTGTGGCCAAAATATACTTGCACATTTTGTTCAGCGGATTGTATGGTAGATGTTTTATCTCAACTAAAAAGCTAATGTTAGGCTGAACTAGCTACTAGATGATCTTATGACTTCAAGTCACCACCGCTAAACTAAAGGCAGCTAATGTTCACCGTGATGATGCTAATCAGTCTCATTTTGCAACATAGCAACTGTCTTTTAAAGACACATAGAAGTGTCAGTGAGCTAGTAACTGACGGAACAAAACGTGAACATCTTTTAAGCTTAAAAATCATGCAGCCCTTCATTCTATATTTTGGTGAAATCAAAATGTCAACTAATTTCCTGATAATGGAAATAAATACATATATAACAATATGATGACACTGAAGTCTTATTGTTGATTTATTGTCAGGATTTATTTTACCCCCTGAATATTTTGTTTTTTTCCAAATCAGTTTAGCTACTGCCTAGGGTTGATCGTACCTCCTGGATCTTTTGTTCTTCCGCTCTTTGGAGGTGTCGGAGTCCACGATGTCTGCCCTGAGACACTCCAGGTTTCCAGAAAAAGACAGATGCTCTCCAAAGTACATCTTGTAGCTGAGAGGAGTGGCGTCCTGGGCCTGGATGCCTGTGTAGCTCAGCAAAGGCTTGAAAACAACCTGAGGAGGGGGAACGGAGATCAAGACACACACAAAGAATACATGTTTTCTCAGATTGTGCAGATTGTACCACCCAGGAAGATAAACATTAATCAAGGCAAGACAACGGATATGTAAAGAGTACACTCAAATATGCTAAGTGCAAATTCACTGTTTCTACTAACAATTATTAGTTTTTCCACCTAGCATAGGTTACATTATTAACATAACATCATTAGCATTGGCGGAATGTAAATTAAGCACATTTACCCAAGTATTATATTTTAAGTCCAATTTTGAGGAACTGGAATTGTTTTACTATATTTTGTTCTAAAACCGAGTAAATGTTTCCCCCGGGATTATTTACTAATGTAAATGTACCTTCCTCATTTAAATTCTAATGTTTGTATAAATATTTGTATTCCATTGTTGATGTTCACAGCACCTGAGCGTCGGCCAGCTGGACAGCGGCCGGGCACTGGTTCCCCTCCTCGATGTCGGCCATGTCGTCCTGGCTGGTGCTGTGCTGAGAATGCTGGGACTGCGTCCCGTCCAGGGTGTTCTGGTCGCTGGACAGCACCGTGTTGAAGTCTGAGGCAGAGGGGATTGTGGGTAGGTTGCACGCCCCACCTGCAGGTGTAGAAGAGATGATTAGGATACATGTGGTGTGAGCTGGAGCTGATGCTGTGTGATGTCTGCAGGACGAGTTCACCCCAGAACACGTGAGCGGCTCAGGGTTTACTGTTAATATAGGGTTGGGCAATATGGATTCAATCATATATACAATACACAGAAACTGTACTTATTTCACAATTACAATCTTTATACACCACTGCATATTTTGTAATATACATATTGTAGAATGGCCATACTATTAATTTATCTTCTTATGTTTGTGGAATATTCTTACTGTATTTTATTTCACAATTTCATTTAAATGTATGATTACATAAATATGATATATATATTCTATTTTCAAATATGTAATTTTTTATTACACATTTGTATCTAACTACTTGGGTTAATACGATTTTTTTTTATTGTATTATAGCTTTGCACATTTTATTTAACTTCATATTTTAATATGAACATTTTATTATATATTTTATTGCACATTTCTAAATAACCTTTTATGCTTACATAAATATTTGTATTCTATTTTATCTTTTTTTGAACATTTTCATTTAACTTCTCCTGTTAATATAAATATGTAGCTATATTTTTATTTTAAAATATATTTGTATTGCCTACGTTTATTACAAATAAAATAATAAATATATAAAATATATATATACTCCCTATATTTAAATAATATATGTCACAAAACCCTCATTCTGATTTGATGAATTTTGCAACAATATTCTAGGGTGGACTGTTGGGTCTTAATGTTATGCAGCCTCTAAAACCTTGACGATTATGACACATAAGGAAATAATATGGATGCATCAGCCAGCCCGATGGTAATATGAGCAGCAGAGAGTGAGCAGAGTGCCTCAGGGTGAACCACTTTACCTCTCCGCCTCCTTATAAACACAGATGTTAGAGTGAATTAAATGGAAGGCAGGCGTCACATTAAACTGAGCGTAAAGAGGAACTTTATGGCCATTTTATGCAGAATTTGGAAGTGTAAACAGCCACATCTTATTCCTTTAATGTGTCTGTGTGCTTTGCTGCCAATGACTGACACCTAGGTGGGGAGATAACGGCAGCACTTATCATCATGGGCTCATATCCAGCCGTTTTTCATGCAACATAATTGCACCACCACATCAGCTAAACTGTGCAGGTAAGATGCATCTTCACAGAGATCAAGTGACTCAGAAAATGAGAGGAAGTACAGATGAGCAGAGGCTTCGTAGATTCTAGGTCGCTAAAATCCCCTCAAATGCTCTGGTTCCTAAATAATGTTTGGAAGGAGCAGTGAGCGAACAGCACAACTGTATCCATCCATCACACTGCTGCAGGCCAGTCAGAGAGTTTAACACACTACATATCCACTATATAAGTACATGTGGGGTACTATGTGATCATTTTAACGCAATTTTCAATTGTTTGAAATTAATATTGAAGTGGATAAGGGCCATATGTAACAATGTTTTTGGAGATCTGAGATAAAGTCAGAATTCTGTCTTGAATCTCAGAATTCAGACTTTTAAAAAATAAAATAAAAATAAAGTATTGTGAATATTTCCTCAGATTTCTGAGTGTAATCTCAGAATTATTACAGAATTATTAAATTAAAACAAATGTTGTGCAACACATGATTCGAAGATTGCACTAATCCATATTGCGATTTTGATATCATTTCAATAATTTGTGCAGCCTTAATGACCACTATTAACCTATGAGGTGTAAAGATTTCAAACTGATCAAAGGAAAAAGAGCCCTGGTGTTGGACCAAAAACCCAATGTATGGATTGCTGTAGATGGTGCAACCAAATGAACACAATGTATTGATTGAGAAACATTATTGTCTTAAATGGTATCCTTGTCATATTGTACAAAGTCATTACATGTAGAGAACAGCTATAGACAACAGTGCACACTGTAACTGGGTGTGTCTTATTTTTCAACAGATACAAAGGTCAGAATAAAAATCGAAATAATTTCATATAGACAATAGCATTCCTTGTTGATAAATATCTAATCAAGTTCCCTTCAGCATAAATGAAGGTCATCTTATTTTATTTGCACAACTAAAACTATCAGTTTCATTTTTTGTCTGCAGGAAACACTGACACAGAGTTCTAGGTGACTATTAAACTACCAAAGGGGGACAAGCTAACAGCTAGCTAGCTAGTTGACCAACACCGTCAGCACAACACTGAGCAACACTCCCTGACCTTCTTCTGGACTGATAACTGACGGCAGAGGCTGGTACTGGTAGTGGTCGACAGGAGAGTCCGGCGGGTCTAAAACAGCAACATGATGTGAGTTCTGATCTGGTGTACATACTGTGCTTAGTGAAGCATGAAGGTGGTAAAGGGAAAGTTGAAATTGTGTGGGGTTGTTCAATACAATACATTTTAATTCATACATTTTTGTCAATGGAGTCTTGTGTATTTGAAGAAAGGATAACGGTGTTTGTTCCCCTTTAGAAAGGACTGCAGGATATTGCTTAGCTGCAGGTACTTCTGACCCCTTCTCCAAGTATTCTTTCAAATAGAACCCCCTAAAAGCACACGCTGTCTACCTGTCTGCAGGCTGTTGTGCTGGGAGCGGTTCATCGGGGAGTCCTGGACCGCCCCCCCGGTCCTGTTGCCCACAGCGTTGGACATCCAGTTGTAGAAGCTGACGGAGGAGGGCTCCGACAGCAGCGGGTGCTCCGTCATCATGTCCGTTCCTAAACTGTTTCCTGGGGACACACAGGAAGGAGATGGAGAGGTCATTAGAGAGGTCATGGAACAGATGACGGATCATTTTTATCTCGCATCATTGAGGCACATGTGGTAATCAAAACATAAATTGGGATAGAAACAAGATAATAACTTAATATAATCAGAGGCATTTTGGTCAAAAAAAAATACATATATTGGAATGGACCTGGCTTTGGTCATATTAAAACAAAGACGTAACATACAGCAGTGCACACTAAGTTTGTCAAATGTTTAACAAAATAATCAGAATACAAATTGTAATAATTGTAGATACATAGTGGCTTCAAAGGGGCCCTTTAAGAATCATTTTCAGGTTCATAATAGTGTCGTGTGTCTCTACTGTGACATGTCTCCATGCTTTAATGTTCAAAAAGCTCTTTATTTTCCTCATACTGGCTGTGCTGAAACCAGAGCTTAGTATGCTCTGATTGGTTAGATGGTCGGCTCTGTTGTGATTGGTCTACCGCTTAGAAATGTCCCGCCTCTTAGCCTATCAGGTACGATGCGTTGGAGCGCTAGCAAGTTGTCTTTACAGAGCATTTGCATGCACAGAAACCTATATTCCACACTAGAGGAAAGGGAAACCACCGAAAGAATAATAGGAACCTTTTAATCCACAATATAAAGCAATCATGGTTGATCTATGTATAATTAACTACCCTCCAGCGTTAAAAAGGCTAATCTTCTTCGATATATATTTATGATTTGTGATTCTGATTACCATAAACAGTGATGGTCTTTTACGGCAATCAGGAATCTGTTTTCTTCCATCGCTCTATTTCTGGTGCATTTTGTTGCAAAAGCTTGAATATTTCAGCCGGTGATATGATCGGTGTTTGCTTAATGATTAGAGCGTTAAACAAAGCAAACAAGTCATGGCAGGAGCACTGACTCTGCATATTGGTTCACTGTGGGGATGTGCTTAAGGAGAGGACATGCTGTGAATCTATTTTGGGTTTGTTTCCCCTCCCATCACTGAACGGTAGAGGTCAGCCTTGCAGCAGGGATGGCGGCGCAGCGTTGTGAGGTACCTGTGCGAGTGAGGGAGTTGCTCTTGGCGTTGGCGGCGTTGGCGGCAGACGGCTCGTTCCTCTGGGGCATGCCCTCCAGCAGGTTGTGCAGGCTCCTGAAGCTGCCTGTCAGATTGCTCAGGAGGCTCTCCTTGCGCGGGCTGTCCTTAGCTGGCAGGCCTACGCGGCTCACGTGGGCGGGTGAGTCAGCTGCCGTGTCACCGCTGGTGTAGCTCAGCGACTGGTATGGATGGGAGCCCTGTGTGTGACATGGTACAGATTATGTTCGCCTGTGGGGTTTTGTATGAGAAAAGATGAGAAGTTTTTTTTGGACAAAGATACAGAAAAGCAGCCCCTGAGATCGTTTAAAGTTCCAAAGGACTGTGTCCACATAATGTATGACAGAAGAGCTTCAACTCCTTGGATTTTATTATCTCTTTGTGCTACTTTGTATTTGTTTGACACCCACCCGAAGGTGCTTGTTCTCTCACTTTGTATGAATGAGATTCCTCGCTCAGTCTAAGAGCCATATAGCAATATGCGTACGGAGATAAAACACTACACTCAGTGTCTGTCTGGTCAATCTGCTACAAAGAATGGCTCTTTGGTCTCTGTTATGATAGTTTTCGTATGAAAGACACGCTCAAAAACAAGCTTTTTTTTCCTCCAACTTCTAAAGTGACATCACTAGCGCATTTCGGAAAATATGTTCAACTCGAAGAAACCCACATGCACTCTATTTTCAATGGAATGAGTTCAAAGGAAAGACTCTGGTGCCGTGTTATTGTGTTGCTCTGTTGGAGGAGCCTGTGTCCTAAGATTTCCATCCACATAACTAAACTGTAGCTATGTACGTATGACTAATAAAAGCCTTGAACCTTGAACTATGTAGGCACAGGCCCATAGTCAGTACTTGTGCTTTTTAAGGGTGCAACTCATGATACCTTTTGTTATTCATGATTCTGCTGATTATTCCTATACAAATATGACATTTAACAAAGGAGGTACAGGGTTGGTCTCTGCCTAATTTGTACAAAATTGCTTGAAATGAAATGACATGCAGACTATTCCTTGTCTGGAGCTTCTCAAGGTGAACCTATTGTGTTTTGCAGACCATTTACATGCACACAAACTTATATCACACACTACAGGAAAGGAACAAAAGCATTATAAGGCCTCTTTAATAATTGTGGCATGTCAAGGTTTTATTTATTAGTTTTGGACTGCACAATTTCTTGCCATTCGATATAAATGTATAACAGATAACTTTGGTATGAAGATACAAGGGAAGAGTGTGCTGAATCCTGCACAGATTGTAAAGCCAGCTGAGGATCGGTTTTAATTTGGCTCCATAAATACATTTTGACTGACTGACTGACCTTTATCCTGAGTGCAGACTCGTTGTGTGCGTGGGACTTAGACAGCTTCCTCATGATCTCCACCCCGCTGACGGGCCCCGTGTTGGCTTCTTTGGGCGGGGGCCGACTGCTTGCTCCCTCCAGCAACATGGTGTGTTCACTCACTGCGGCTTCACAATAAGCACATCAAATAAAACTCCTGGAAGAACCGTACCAACCTGCTACAACAGTAGTGAACATCCATGCTAGTCATTCATTCTAAAATCTCCTTTCTGTTATTTAAATGTGTGCTAACACTGAGTGAGAAGCAGAGGTTAGAATAGCCATCTGTGCTGACAGATGGCTGGGGGAAAAAAGAGTGTTAGCACTCTGACAGCTGGAAGTCCCCACCTGCATCGAATTCAAATTCAGCTCCGTCGGCGCTGGTGTCGCTCTGCAGCGCGGCGCCGTTGTCCAGGCCCACCATGGTCTCCACCAGGCTCTGGTGAGGCTCCTTGGGCTTGGCGAGCTGGTTGGGCCTCATCAGACCGATGGCTTTAAAGCCCTGAGTGACCACTATAAACTTCATCCACTGTCTGGCCAACGCAACCAGACCCTTCTTTAGAGTCACAAGGGCGGGGACGCCATCATTCTGGAATAAGAGGAGAAGAAGAGGAGAATTAGTGCTACCGGTAAGGGACTCATTAAAAAAGCAAAGCAGAGCCAAAAGCACTTAAGACCACTTAATATAATTGGCATTTTTCTTTAAAGTTCCAATGAGGCTATATAAATAAAAGGTAGCCATTTAACCAGCTATGGTCAAGTTGGAGTGTTTCCTAAAATAAAGGGAATAATAAAGATTTAGACAAAGGTAATACAAATTGGCTTAAATAAGCAAAAACACACTTAACAAATGACACAAATAGAAATATAGTAGATTTTGGAGTATGAAAATATAATGTTGTTAAATGATCCAATGAAAAACTTAACCTTAAAAAACCTATGAGATTTCTTAATTTCAATATCTTAATTATTATCTGGCCTACTCACGTCTATGGTTTTTCATACCCAGTTTAGATTTGGACATGCCCACTTCCGCATTATGACAGTTATTCAGGGCAAAGGTAATGGAGTCTGGATGGGGCAGATCTCAGGTGTTTAGGAAGTTAATTCCAGATCTACAGCGCACAGAAACTGAAAGCTGCCTCTGCATGTTTGTTATTTACCAACAAAACATCAATGAGTAGACGTGTCCCAGATGATCTGGGTGGCTTGCAACAGATCAGCACATTTTACGTGTATTGTGGCCCAGATACCAAAGCCAAAACAGAGCTGTAAGAACTGGGGTGATGTGTTCTAAAAGACTCAGAGGCCTGGCCTTACCATGGTCGCCTCCTCGATGACGGAGTAGTCGGCCTGCTGCAGGTAGCGATGGAGGATGTTGCACAGCATACAGGAGGGGTTCTCATGGAGGTAGCGTGCTCTTTTAGTCACGCGGTTGTACTTGCTTCGGATTGGGATGTGGATGCTCTTTTTCTGTTGGGGAGCGACAAAAATAACTTAATAAAACTTGCAGACATAAAATCTGCAAATCCAGATGTTGAACCCCTTGACATTTGCTGGTCAGTCTGGGTGTACAGATGCACTGCTGACCTCGAGAGCTTCGGTCATGATGCAGCCCATAACGGCACACACGCGCAGAGTGCCCTCCATGTCCAGTTTGCGCAGAGAGGACTTGAGCTGGTCGATGGGAACCAGCCAGGCTCCGATGGCAGGTGTGGCTGTGCTGAGCAGATTCAACTGCCTGTGAACACAACAGGGAGTCAGATGGTTGATCAATATATCCTACAAATATACCTTATTCTCCCGTTTCAGATCAAACACTGAATGTAATGTATCATCATGATGTCAATAACTTTAGTCATGAAATATTTTTCCCGGTAATGTCAATCGCAGACATGAGACATGTGTTGCAATGAAACCATGCTAAGCCCCTCCCTAAAACGCCCACTGTCCAATCATTGTTAGTAAATAGGCGGAGGAAGCATTTTGAACCTGAAAGTCTGACAGCAGATGTCCTAAAGATTTTTTTTTTTTTACCTTTCCGAAGTCAAAATGCAAGAGGCGATGCGTCATCAAAAAACATCTTAGCTCGCTCCAAAGGTAAGACGCTAATAATGTAAGATAGCTTAGCACATTATCCAACAAAGGCGGATTAAGTGTATGGATGAGGCCCACAATATGTGAACAATATGCCGCTTAATGAAAAAGCTGGAATTTAGTTTACATTAGAAAATTACAACTATTTAGACACAATAGAGTGGTGCAGGAATGAGTCCTAAAACCCGGAAAAGAGTTACAATTTTACCACTACCAAAGTCAATGGTGTTTTAAAAGTGTTTGTAGGTGCCTGTGGTTAAGATTTTCACGATTTTTTCTACGACATAAAATACATCATAAAAAGATGTCCGTAAACATCTGGGAGTCTTACCTGGACATGGCCTGGGAAGGTGACCGAACGTTTGTGGGAGCTGCAAAACTGAACCAGATCTCCCTGATGGTCAGCTTCATGCTGCTGGAGTCCGGAGGGGGGGGGCATGAGGGGGAGGTCTTTCTTCAGGTCGTCTGACTCCACTCCTTCGTCCTGCAGAGGAAAAAGAGAACAGGATTTAAAGGGTGGAGGGGGGGGGGGGGGGGGGGGCTGCTGCTGGAGGAGCCACAACACATCACTGTCAGCCTGATTATAGCTTGGATTTGCCATCATGGCTTATTTTCAAGATCACAGTGAATCCTTTTCAGTTTGATGACTTTAGCCTCCTGCTTCTCCTCGGATCAGACTTTATTGGAAATAAAAAAATGTTGATACACATCTGAACAAGTACAAATGAACTCATTTAGTTTGAACAAGACATTTAGTCAAATTGGAATCAAAGACTGCCAACAGGCAGTGAGTTGCAAATAAAATACAAAGAAACAAAGAAAAAACAGATCAAAACAGATGAGAAAGATCAAATCAGACAGGCCGCATGTTAGCCTGTGGAGCTTTGATTCTGTTCTGAATGGGTCGCCCCGACCTGAATTCTCTAAGACATATGAGAGCTTTTAAGCTTTTTTTAACAGTTTGCAAACAGCTCGGATAGCACAGACCCCCAATGGTGCTTCCCTGATGGTCCCATTTCACAAGTCGTTATTCCAACTTCAAAACGTTAAGATTATAATTTAGATCACTTTTTAATGCCGGAGGGGAAATTCAGTTCAACGCACATAGGCCCGAAAATACACACATGCACATATAGGACCTTACACTCCGTATTTTCGTCCGATCGGGACTTGAACAAGAGACCCTTAGCCAAAAGACTGAGCTACAGCCGCCTCAACTGAGCTTCACGTGTTTAACAACATAGACACTACAAAGAAGGAATGCTGTAGCTAATGTATGATTGATACAAATAATCAAAATTCAACAAATGTACCAGTTACTACCAACAGGAAAACATCAGTGCTGTAACTGCATCCATTTTGATGGACTCCCAAGGTAAATGGGTTCTTCCTTGGCTTCACCTTTTCACTAGAAAAATCAGGCCAGTCGTTTTTCTGTTATCATGCTGACAGTCAGACAAACAAACAAACCGAGCCAAGAACATAACCTTCCTATCGAGGTAATGAAGAAGAGATTGGCTTAAATAGGATCCAAAGTGAAAGTTTAAAGTCGCTGTCAGCAGAGCTTAAAAGCTTTAATGTGTCAGCCTTATCAAAATGAGGGAACAGACGGTGACAGTCCAACGCCACAGTAACATTTCAGGAATGAACTGGTTTTGACCTTCCCAAGCTCTTTTTGTGCGGGTCTGCCTAGTTTACACATGGACAGTTGATTGTGCTAAAGCCGGTTAGCATGGTGGGCGGAACAACTGCTATCCCCACTGAAATCTGGAGAAGGACACAGAGGATTCAGGTGGTAAACCGAAGAGAAGAATGAGGAGATTTTGATCCAGATTTATGGAGAAAAGGAGATATTTCCATGTCTCCCCCCTCTCATCATGGGCAACTTAAGACTGGCTGGTGGAATGGAGCAAACGGCGTAAGCTAGGAGTCAGGTGGAATATCTAGAGTGTAATTGAATGTGTTTTACTGAAACATGGCTGCTCCAGAAAGTATCTGACGGGTCGACAAGCATTGCACCAAGAGCCTCAGCATGTCTTCACCATGAGCCTGAGTCTTCATCATGTCTTCATCATGTCTTCATCATGCCCCACCATGAGTCTTCTGAGGGTCCCTGTGCCTTGGAAGACCTCTTGCTTCATTCCTGCCTAAGACGCTGTGTCCCTTTGGCTTTTATTTTATTCTTATATGGTGCAACTGTCGCAAAACTTAATTAAGGGGATTAAGAAAGTATTTGGATTCAGATTAACAGTAGAAGACTCAGCATTTCTCACCTGGTCATCTGAGTCAGAGTTTTCGTTGGCATCGGAGGCGGGGCTGACGGCATCATTAGGGAGGTTGTCATCGGAGACGTCGGTGCTGTACCCGCTGCCCGTCTGAGAGCCGGTGGACCCGTTGGACTTGGACATGCCCGTCTTCCCCACAGTGTCTGAGCGGCCCATCACTCCGAAGGAGTTGTAAAGGATGGCTCCTGACTGACGGCCCCCTGCAACACAAAGCGTAAAACACTCACAAGTCTGTACTCTTCATGCCTTTTGATACAACGTATTTTTTATTGTTTTCATATCCCTAGGTCTCTATTGATGCTTCTCTTACCTTTGACCGTGAGGTTCTCTATGCCGCATTCGAACATGATCCATCCCCATTTCTCAAGAGACATGGCGGAACGTCCGAGATCGCCTGCTGTGTTCTGGGCGTCCGTTTCATCCACCATTGAGAACTCTTCCAATTCCTCCAGGCCAAAGAGCACTTTGGACTTCTCATAAGGGATTGCTGTGATGGCGCATGTGCCAATGTCTACAGAAACAGAAAACAACCACATTATTAGGAGGTATCTAGTTAAATATTATCACCAAATAGTGGGAAGAACAAAGAACTTGAAACAATTAAAAATCTATTTATGAGAAAACAAAATGCCCGGAAAGGGTTTTAAATACCGTTGCTTGGTACAAGAGGTCAAGTGAAGTATTTGTACAATTAATCAAAACTTTATTGAAATAGCAATATGGAGTAGTCCAATTTCCAAATCGAAGTACGATAAATATTTGGTAAAGGGAAAATACGTAAAAATATCTAAATATAGTATAGTATAGTATTATGGATCTACCGACTGAGGTTTAGGGTTAAGAATCTTCTAAGTAATGTTTAACAAATAGTCCTATATGTAGAATCATTTCGCAATGGCAAAATCAGTCAAAATGATCGAGTCAGCCATTTTTTTCCACCCCAAGTCAAGTGATGGCACTTGTTCACACAGTCTAGGGGCAGCCATTACAGCTTGTTAACATGTAGGTACCTCATGTTAAATGCCAGTGTACCACTTTAGGCACCACAAGGGATCAAACATGGCTGCCATCCTCCAGAACCAACCTGTGGAGTCGAGGCCTCTCAGTTGGCTGTGGATACGGTGGATGTTGAGCCTGGCGGCGATTTCTTTTCCTTTCTCGATGCCGGCGTTGGAGCGTAGCGAGCCCGACGACTGCGGCTGCATCTTTGTGGCAGAGGCGTACTTCTCCAAATTGACGGACGGTCGGCCATGTTCTAAGGTGTTGGGTGTCTCCTCCACAATCCCCCTGAAAAGAGTAGGAAGACAATGTGCGTTAGCTTAGATGCTGTCACTTATGTCAGATTTTGTGAAGACAAAGAAATGTACTATTTTGTAGAAAAATAATAAAATAAAATCTGTGGCAAACACACATTATACTTACATATTTTGTTCTGCAGGATATTCTTCACATATTAACATCACTTTTATTATAGTATAGTAAAGTATAGGCATGTAAGCAAAAATGCCATCTCCAGAAGTAAAAAGTCAACGTTAGGCTATACCAGACTAAATGACGCTGGCATGACTCCACGTCAACACAGCTAAGCTAACAGCGAACTTGTTCAGCGGGATAATCTCCACATATTTACATTTATTTTTTTATAGTTAAGCATAAATGCAATTGCCAAAAGTAAAAAGCTAATATTTTACTACATCACAGTCAGTATCTTTGCATCACCATTGCTAAGCTAAAGGGGTGGGGGCTAATGTTTGTTGTGATGACGTTCAGCAGTCTTAATTAGTCACTTGTGAGCAACCGCCGTTTTAAAGACCAAGAAGCTTCAGACATTCTTGGATGGGGTATTAAGTTGTGTATTTTATGTTGTAGAATCCAACAAAAAAATCTCATAAACAAAAACAGAGAGACAAGAGAGCCATGAAGTGCTAAACTACTGACCTATTTCCAGTTCTAGGACTCATTACTGCACCATTCTTTATTACAAACATGTTGAGCTGGCAAACCTACCCTGAGCACATATACTGTAAACAGCTGAGTCATTGTAAACGCACACCCCACACAAGATGACAGAAGGAGCAGTGGAGGCGTTACCTGTTCATTCTGAACTGGGTGGCGATCCTGTCGAAGCACAGCGCCACCAGAGACACGTGTGTGACGCACTTACTGGAGCTCGACGGTGACCCCTCCTCTACAGAAGCCTGCAGCAGGCAGAGGTTCACCTGCGGGAGAACAGAAACAAACAAAGGCAACTCAACCAAACTCAACTAGACAACACTGTGCGGTCAAATGTTATTATTCCCTATTTTAGGTGACACAGTGGAGATAAATTAGAGCGCTGCCCACATGAAACTCTTTAAAAAGACACATTATTGTTCCACGGAGACGAATAAAGCAATGAAAACATGATTAACCTGTGTGTGAGCATAATATTCCCATATGTAAGATTGTTTGGGTATTTCTGAGTATGAAGATATACAGAGGGCAGTGGGAAAATCAATATTGCAAGAGCAAAAATGAGTCCGACAAAATGATTATGTATCCACTATCATTTCCATTCAGTGTGGCTATATAGCTCAAATAGGATCACTATATTGTTAGATAGTATGACACATTTCTAAAAGAAAACAAACTGTCTGGTTTAACCCTAGGATGTCTGATCATTACCATCAGGATCATTGTAAAAACGATATTACAAACACATTTTGAAGACAGATCGGTCGTTGGAAATGTATTGTAGGATTGACCAATTATATGCGCAGTCGAAATTCAGTTTTCCTTATTTTATATCCATTTTCTTTTATTTATTTACTCTCAATTGTATATTTATTATTGATTGAATTGACCGATTGGATAAATGTTAAGTTTCCTATATTCCAACTTCATGACGTTGTTGCTTTTATTTTGATTTCAGTTCTTCTGCCCTATTACCGTAATATTAAGTGTATAGAGGTACCACAACATATTGTAATGGGCTAGTATAGGACTTGTTTGGGCACGTGGAGGAATCAACTGCTTAACTCACTGAAGCCAATGCACTTAGCACTAACAATAGTTTGCCTAATTGAATTGATTATTTATATTTTCTGTCCAATATACTTGTTATTAAAAGGATATTAAGAGGGTGAAATATAATAACATACCCTTAAGACAAGAAATTCCCGTTTCTGGATTCTGTCTTTTATAAGTTTGTATCTCTATGGTTGAATACACCTAATGTGATCATCTTTGGATCAAAGCATCAGCTAAATGAAATAAGGTTTACTGTAATGCAGACATTTACTACATCCCACGTATAAAACGCTGCAATATGTTGAGAATTCTTGATGCATCACTCACCATTAATTCAGTGAAAAAAAAATGGTATATGCTTAATTACACAGAGGTATTATTCGACACAAATGCTGACTGCACTGTATATGTAACGTTTGAATGTGAAATGCAGTGCTCGTGATTTGGCGCTGGCTCTCCTGGTTAGAGAGAGATTGAGGAACTCTTCTGGCCTCTCATTATTCCGGGTCAGGGGTCTCACCTTGGGGATGGAGACGTTGGCTTGGAGGCCCTTGATTTTCACATTATCCGGTTTGACGGACAGGTCTGTCTGGCCGTGGGTGATGTTGAGGGAGCCGGGGGTCGTGCCCTCCGTCTTGGACAGCTTGGGCTCCTGCTTGCCTGTTTGGCTCTGTGCGGATCCAAAAACAGTTTAATCATCGGGCAACAATTGGGAAGCTGTTTTCTCTCAAATCTGAAAAACATTTTCAATATCCATGCTTCCATTATCTGTAATCCTTTTAATATAGAAAGATTTTATTATGCTTGATTAATAATTTACAATTTTCTGGGAATAACATCCCTTAATGATTTGAATAAACTCATTTGAAAAGTAAATTGCTCCTAAAACACTTTAATTTAACTGCATTTCCTCCTACATGATGATGAATTATTAACAAGGGCCTCTACATTGATATGATTACTCTGGAAACCTCAACACATTAAAATTATACATATTTCAAATGAATCTCGTTAATAAGTTTGACCCCAACCCCGTATCCCAGGACGATGGTTCCCATGGCAGTGAAAAGGCAAAGAAAGCAGAGGAACCGACACATGCTAAATGTATCGCAGTGACTGGACATCATTAAGAATCATCAGTACCTCGGAGTAACCACACACCTAATCATGACAAATGGTAACCGCACTCATATGCCTAATTCTTTGGTGTGAACGGAGAACACAGTTGATAGAACTGGCAGAGGAGTGGGAGATAGCGGACAGGGTCACCACTGTAGGAACGGATAGATGCTTGCAATATGATAGCGGCAGCAAGAATCTACCATACAAGCATACGTCATGTGTAGTGCACAATTGCTCTTTGTTACAGCTGCTGTCGATGCTTTAGCCAAGTGTCGGAAAATTGTCGGACGACATGCCGATAATTCGGAATGCATGTTATAATAATGCACGCAATATGATAGCGGCAGATATAATATCATACAAGCATATCCCCTGACAGAAAGTTAACCACCAATAATAGAGCATTAGCCCTGTGTAGCACCCATTATACAGAGGGTAATCACAGTCGCTCTCTGTGACAGCGGCTATGTCGATGCTTTAAGTGCTGGAAAATGGTTTGACTTGATGCCAATAATACAGAAAGCTTATTATAATATTGCTCAAAATATAATAGAGGCAGCCAGAATACTACCATATGAGCATATGTCCTGCGTAGCGTGCATTATACAGTGACAACGGCATTGTCGGTGCTTTAGCTTAGTGTGGAAAGATTGTCCGACTTCATGCTAATAATTCGGAACATATGTTATGATACAATCGCAATATGATAGCAGCAGAGAGATGGTACTACCATAACAGCATATACCCTGCACATTATACACAGGGTGATCACAGCTGCTCTCTGTGAAAGTTGCTTTGTCGATGGAAGTGCCAGAAAAATGGACTTCATTCCAATCATTTAGAAATCCTGTTATAATAAAGTAAAAGGCCTTATGATATCTGTCACATATTTGTCATGCATTTCTTGAGTTAACACCATAAGTGTATTTGTCTTATCTCCTCTCTAAATACTTTTATTTTAAACTTGTGATTTTTGTATAATATATATATCTTTGCATTGTTGTACTTACGGACTCAGTGACTGTGGACTTGCTGATCTGGTACGCTTCATTGAGGACCTTCCCATGCAGGTCATCCAGAATGGCTGCAGGGTGACGGATACTGGCAAAGTGCACCATGGACTCGATGTACCTGAAACACACCCAAACACACACAGATGCAATACAACTGTTGGAGCTGTTCCTTCTTTTGAATTATTCAACAGTCAAACATTTTCTTTCTTGGGTATTTATAAAGACAGATGGAGTGATTGGGCACCAGAAAAGGCATTTGGAGGACAAAATATTGTTATTTGATTGTCAAAACCTAAGGAGAATAAATTAGATCAACACATTTCTTGCCTTGACAGTGATTTTTAGCAGCAGTTTGTGTTTGGTTTTAGGTTTAGGAACAAATCAAAATACACTCTCAAAGGGTTAGAGATCTAAAACCCATAGATTTTAAAACGCTCCCTCTTTTACCAGAACTGATTCAGATATTAACATTTAATCACATTTACTGTGTCTTGGCTTCTTTTCCACCTTCTGGCTACAGTTTACCCATCTGAACACTGCGCTAGCCAAGAGCTAAGTGTGCATTGTAAACCCAGCAATGTTAGCCTTTGGCAAAATAAATATTAAAATTGGTAGAGAACCAAGAGCGAGAGCAGACTCTGAAGCACTGTCAGCAGCATTTTACATCCAAGGTGAAGTGTTTGGAGGGATTCAATTTGCTTAAGATGGCAATAGACAACTTATAATTATGAATTACATTTTTATTGCACAAAATAATGGCTGGAATATTATGACACCATCTGTGTTAAGACTGGTTAGCCTCGCTCTCCCTGTGAAATTCTGTCGGCCTTCGGGTCTAGATCTCCATTTCACAATGAAAGCCCTAGAAGAATACACAGCGTCACCACCTACCAGAGAGCAATTTGCTAAAAACCTTAGAGGGACGAGGGACAATCGTAAAAAAATGCTTTCTACCAAGTTGGATCTTACTTTCAGTTTAAAAAAAAAAGTATTGGCACAATTCCACCCCCCCTCTACCCCAGCTTAACACTGTTAGTTCTGTGAGCCCTGTTGCTGTTGGTAACACTGTGAGCAGGCAATCCTGGCCCAGACCCTGAATGTATAGCACCAGGGTGATCCATTTTCAAATGTAATGAGTTCCTTGGCCTGTGCTACACCCTATCCACCAAGTTTAATGAAAACTGGGCCAGTGGAAAAACAGAGAACTGTTCTGAAACTAGAAGAAGTAATTAAAAGAAAATACTACACGAAGCGTAGTTCCTACCTGTCCAGGGATTCGGCCACGAGTGGCGTGAGCACCACGTTGACGGCCCCCTTCACCTCCACGATGGCGGTGGTCCTGGTCTGAGCGAGGGGCTGCTCCAGAGTCCAGTCGTCCGTCGTGGTGTCCTCGTCCGTGTTCTCCATGGCCCTCTTATCCAGCGGGGTGTATGGAGTACTGAGGAGGAACAAAGAGACAATCTCTGATCACACGGCCCCTCGTCCTATTGTAAAGCGTCCTAGGGTTTCCTGAAAGGTGCTACACAGACTAGTTTGCTACAGTGTAAAGTGGTGGATGCTGATGAGAATACTAAGATACTATATATAAAACATACTTTGTTAAGTGGATTTTTTTTTGTTTTTTTTTTTAAAGTAGTTTCAATTTCAGCAACTTATAAAAAAAACATTTCCCCTTTTGTTTACTGTTTTTGCATTTTTCCTTTAACGGTATCTACATTGTTGTTTATACATAGAAAGAAAATATGAGGGGGGTGGGGGTTCTAGTAATCATATTTAAAAGTGAAACGCCAACATACAGTATGGTTTCCTATTTGTGCACCACATTTCTACAACATTTATTTGAGTTTGTTTGTGCCCATTTGAGCTGTTTCTGGAAAACTTTCATGATTTGATTTGAAATTGTTAATATAAGAACAAGATTTGTAGTAGCATACCTGTTGTGTTCCCCCATCAGCTGCAGTCCTCTGTCCAATAGAGAGCTGGCTGAGAGGCCCTGCTTGATCACCTGTCATGTAAAACAAAATGTTGTGAAGTTAAACGGATGTCCTGAAACTACATGTATATACAATTTCTACTATTTGTTACTTTGGAATTTTTCTAAATTCACTGTTCTAAATTCTGACCTTAAAGCTGGGAACAGAGAGCTGGTCGAAGGAGGCGCCGCTCTCCTCGCTGGTGGGCGTGTCCAAATCTAAGGGGCGGTGCAGAGAAGACTTGGAAGTCCTCTTATTGGTTGGCTGCTTCACAGACCAATTTGAGACCTGCCACAAACAAAAGTGTTCAAATTTGACCAAAAACAGAAAACATAATAAGAAATTATGAATTTGAATCCCTTGATGATGTTTTTATTTATGATTTAAAGTCTTCATATCAATTGTTTTAAGGCTAAAAACTGTACACAGTTCATATTTGACTGGAATTACTACCATTTGTCCGGGACATTCAAATCTTCCCAGTCACATTATTGTATTGCTTGTCTACACGGGCATATGGATTATTTGTCTAGATTATTGAAAGACCCTAGTTTTTATAAGTAGTTTATTCGACCACATTGAAAGAGTTTACCTGGTAGTGGGCTAGATAATTCTGGTAGCATGCCATGACGTGGGGTTGCCGGGTTACGGGGCCGGGTTCAGCCGTCTTCTCCGCCTCCACGGAGCTCTCCTCATCCATGGCTAGCGCGGAGACGAAGGAGGCCTGGGACGTGTGGCTGGGCAGGGGGTGGGGTGGCAGCGGGGGTAGGAAGGGGGGCATGGGCAGGGGCCGTGGCTCAGTGATCAGCTCCCCGTTGAGGACGTAGGTGAGGGGGCCCTCAACACTGTGGTAGATGGAGCTCCGGCTGGGGGGGGGGGGGGGGGGGGGGGTAATATAAATATGAACACATAGGCATCAAATGCATACATCAAGGTGTGCTTCAAGCTAGATACAACCAATATAGTTCATAAGCATTGTCACTTACACATGAAATCTTGTTTATGTCATTACAAACCTTTGACATTTGATGAGTTTTTCGTTTCATACCTTTGCTATTAGCCTCATGCTATATATCGAATACACCCCAGGTATTGCGTTTGTTTGGATGTATTCAATCACAAAACTCAAGTGCATGTTCCACTTATTGATTTAAGCTAGCAGCATTTCCTTTCTCCATATACCAGGCAATAAAAAGAGGGTGTAAGAAATGACTTCAAAATAAAAGCGACCTTCCAGTGAAAAGTACAATCTCACATTCAAACAATAAAAAAAATAGCTCAATATCAAGACATTCGGGTGTGGAATTTTGAAATAAAAGCCCTTTATGATGTCATATACTGTACGAGCTGTGTTCCCTGTTCATTCAGATTAGTTCATTAAAATGGTATGCTATGAATGCTAATGCAGTGCAGCTTTAAGCACCTTTTTAGTAGGATGCCAGTCAGAATGTATTATACTTTTTCCCTTATAGAGCTTTAGATGGTTGAATTACGCCTTACGATTTAATAGGGTCGTGCCAGTTGAACCCTTTCATGAGTCTGAATTGATTATTAGAGTTAGTGCGGAGGCTGTATCAATCAAAAATGTGTTGAAATCAATGTGAGAACATTTTGGGGTAATAAATGACAAGGTATTTGCAGAGCGAGACCCAAATCCAATTTGCAAAAACACAGCGGCGGTAAGTGGCTGCCCATGGATCAAACATCTCATTTGCTACAAGCCTTCTACATCACACCCACCCCTGAACGATCCAGTCACAGTAATGAATGAAAGCTTGTTGAGCTTCGGGGCAAGTCGCTGAACACAATGAAATGCTTGTTGGATATTAAACATAAACAATGCGATAACACAAATGCATTCCTGAATACTGTGCCGTAACGACGTTCCACATTGCAAAGATATGCATGCGAGTCATCAACAATTATTTAACGCAGTTTTTTTACAGCCCGTTTCTCTTTCTAATTTGAGATGGTTTTAAAGAACATGCTGTTAAAGACATGGTCATATTTTATAATGCTAAATTACCTTTCACATATTCACAGCTATGTCCCTTTGAACTACAGGAAGTTGCAAAGAATTTAAACATCAAGTTGAGGTCATACAATATCTAAATAAATTGTATAACGTAAATAATGACAGAATGGCTCCTATTTATTTATTTGTTTACATTTTATGCTACATATTCTTTTACTCCGGGGTAAAAACAAATGATATTCAGGTTCATATTAGAATGAAGTGCCTCTCCTGTGACATGTCTCCATGCTTTAATGTTCAAAAAGCTCTTTATTTGTCTCATACTGCCTGTGCTGCAGCACCTCTTTTCACCCTCTGTCTGAAACCAGAGCCCAGTCTGCTCTGATTGGTTAGCTGGCCAGCTCTGTTGTGATTGGTCAACCGCTTAGAGATGTCCCGCCCCGTAGATAATCACGTACAATGTGTTGGAGCTAAGAGCTAATAGTGTGTGAGAGAGAAACTCCCTCTGGAGGGAACTTTGGGATTGTAGCATTTGCTGACCATTTACATGCACTATAACATATAAGACACTACACTGTAACTTTGATCCATGTATTTTCTTTTTTATGTTTATTTTATTATCTTTGCTTTTTAATGACTGTTTTTAAATGCCATTTTCTTAATGTCTTTCATTGTTGTAAAGCACTTTGAATTGCCTTGTGTTGAAAGGTGCTATATAAATAAACTTACCTTGCCTTGCCTTACAGTAAAGGGTTAGACCATAGTATTTCTTCTGTCACTCAAGTAAAGGATCTTCTCCAACCAAGAGAAGCACTTCAAGATTTCGAACGCAGTCAGAACTTGCTAGACAGGTCATTAATTCATCTCCTTACAGAAGAGGAATGAGAGACTCTTTGATGTTTCTGTGAGCTGTCTAGACTCGAGCATCACCTTTATCCTGTGCTTAGCTTTGTACTACATCTGACCATCCAGCCAGACTCCTCTCCAGATCCCAGACCCTTTCACTTTGAGAACTACAGAGTACACATTGCACGCTCCATGTTTTAAATGGTAAATGGACTGTACTTATATAGCGCATTATCTAGTCTTTACGACCCCTCAAAACGCTTTTATACTACGACAAGTCATCGTTCACCCATTTACACCCAATTCATACAGGGCTTGGCATTTGCTCAACCAAGCTAACGTTCATACAACACATACACACACCGTTGGCCATGCCATTGGCGTTAAGTGTCTTGCCCAATGATCCAGTGACATGGTAAAGGTACATTATCATTGCTCTGCACTGGCCCCATAAATCATAGCTTACAAAGCTCTTCATTGTCTGGCAACATTATATCTTAAATAGCTCATAGTACCCTATTGCGACACTAGGGCATTGCGTCCCAAGAATGCAAGGTTATTAGTGGTTTCTAGAGTCTCCAAAAGGAAAATAGGAGCAAGACATTAAGCTATGAAGCTCCTTTTTGGGAAATAGACACCCTCTCCACATTTAAAAGTAAGCTTTTAATTTTGATAAAGCTTATAGTTGGGGCTGGCTCAGGCTTGTCTTGAAACTGCCCCTTGTTTTTTTCTTGCTTCTTCCATTTTTACCCCCTTAATTGTTGTTTCTTAGTGAGTTTGTCATTGTATGCTGCAACGTTAAAGGGCGTTGTATTTAGTAGGTACTGTATAGCCCATAGATGTGTTACTTTTGATATTGGGCCAAATCCCATAATGCTGACCTGTAGTTATCCATGTGGTACGGGGGCTGCTGCGGCTGCTGCATCTGCTGCCTCCTCTTCTTCTTGCGCCCCGGGTACGTCCCCGGGCCCTCGTCGGCGCTGCTAATCGGCTCAAAGTCCTCTGTGGCGGAGAAGTAGGCCTCGCTGTCAGCCACAGACATGCTGGAGTCTGCGGAGCGGTACTGGTGGAAGGTGTTGGAGTCCGCTGAAGGCGTGAAGGGGAAGGAGCCGTAGCTCCTGCGCTGGCGGGGCGAGTCCAGGACGTTCTCGTCGCTGCGGGACACATCGCTGCTGAACTGGACGCCTCCGGACAGCACCGGCGGAGGCTTGTCTGTGAAGACGGCGGCTGACAGGCTCTTGGTGCTGCCCAGTCGCCCCGAGTGTACGGAGGACTGGCGCTTCAGAGGGGAGCAGCGGGGGGAGCGCACTGAGGAGCGGTCCTGGGAGCTGTTGGGGGAGACCGGAGAGACCTCTGGGACTTCTCCTATGGTGCTGCGCAGAATGGAAGAGGAGAAAATAACATTTGGAAGGCATAAGTGATCAGAAATATATGGTTGTATTTACAAGTGTCAAGCTCAAATTGTTTTTATTAAATGTCTACTATTGCTGAATGAGGTAACACAATGGTAACAAGCCTATTCCCAGATGATGAAAGTATTGAGTAATTAAAAGGTTTTGGCAGCATAACTTCCTGGGTGTATGAGGACAAATCCCTGAAAAAGGCTGTATTTTTAATTGACTTAGTTTGTCATAAATGTACTTTGTTAAATAAAAAATATGGTTTGATTAAATAAAACAAAAACATTTGAACAAGTCTTATCATATGCTTTAAATCGAAGCGTTTTTTTTTTTACGCGATGAAAAACTAAATATATATATACACAATAAATCATTGAAAAAAAAGAAATAATAGTTTAAAATGTATTCATTCTTTTAAATACATTGAAAATAAATTGAAATGTTTATAAATAAATAATATTGAGGAAAATAATTTTAAAAAAGAAAGCATATATTAATTTAAAGGGGACCAATCATGCAAAATGCACTTTTGTACGTCTTTTATACATGAATATGTGTCCCCGGTGTTCCAGGGAACTCACCAAGTGTCAGAAAACACAACCCTCTCTATTTTCCTCCATACCCAAATCTCTAAAAAAGGGTCTGCAACGGATCTGATAAAAACTGATCCAGATTTGAACACTGTCCTGACGTCAGGACAGTGGCGCTACGGCTATTGGGCCAACTCCACCAATCAGGAGGAGACAGCCACGGCCATTGCCGTTCGAAAGCGCTGGAGACGCTGTAGTACATATGCCAGGCCTGTAGATGGTGCTGTTTTCACAGAATCTGCCCTTGCAAAAACAGAGCTAAAAAATGTCAAATTGAGCAAAATGAGGCATGGCTAAAATGCATGATCTGTTTGGTATTTTGAAAAAAAAAAAAAAAAAAGTATAAATATGCCTTATATAGGTATGGTCCTACACTATATTATTCAAATATAGCATGATAGGTCCACTTTAAAGACACTGATGTTTACATACTGTAGGAGGCTACTGTAGGATATGTCTTCATAAAATCTTCAAAGAACTTCCTCTTGACTAATTTCATAATAAAACATTCCTTTGTCAAGGGCCGAAAAACATATATATGAATTTATATATATATATATATATATATATATATATATATATATATATATATATATAAATATTTGAAATGCTTTATTAAAGGTGGGGTAGGTAAGTTTGAGAAACCGGCTCGAGATACACTTTTTGTTATATTCCATGGAATGCTCTTAACACCCCCGATAGCAATAAATATCTTAAGTGCTTTGACAAAAAAATCCATAAAAAAATGTCATCTGTGGAAGCCGTAGTACTGTAAAAAGTACGACCAATCATTTTAGCCGGCCCGGCTAAAATAACTGGATGGCCTACCTGCCTGTCAGCCTTCCATCGGGGCACAAACTTATCTCGTGCCCTCATTGGTCATGTGCGCGTTCGTGTGTGTTGGAGGAGGGGCTCTATAAGGAAGTGGCAGATTTTCTCCGGCTGTGTATTTTCAAATTCTAGCGATCTCGAGCCGGTTTCTCCAAAATTACCTACCCCACCTTTAAGTTACTGCTAATGAAAGCATAATATGTCCTTATGCTGCAGCTTCACAATTAAAAGCATTCAACTATTAAAAAAAAGAGAAATCCAATCAAACTGTGTTTCAAAGAAAAACAATGTTTTCTTAATTCTTTATTTTGTAAAAAAGTTTGTTTAGCTGCCCCCAATATTCTGGCTCCCATTATATTAATCTGCATTTCCTGTTACCACCAGACAGTAAAGAGTTTTTCATCAAATCTTCCAGGACTTAAACATAAGTATGCCACTTAAAAGAGTAACTGCAGTGAAAATGCTCTTTAATTTACAGTATGTTGATGTTACTCACTCAGCAGGGCTTTTGCAGTTCACGTGGAACATGCGTTCCTCCGTGCTCGGCGAGGGTGTCTCTCTCTCTCCGGCCAGCAGGGGCAGCGCAGCACTGGAAGAACTATTTTCCTCAGAGGAGGAGACGGAGCTGTGGGAGCGATGGGGCACCTGCAGACTGAGGTGCTGCTGACCGCGCCTCTCCGGCAGCTCAGGAGGCAGGCAGGGCGAGTGCGTGTCCCTCTTCAGGCCCACAACTTTCCCTGAGAATACATATATCTGGTTAAGTAACTGTTAATACTTGCAGACATGTATTTTTATTTATAAAATGTTACTTGAACGACACATATTGGGCTAACTTTGCTAACAACATTAGCTTGTGGTAAAGAGTGGTGCAGGAATGAGTCTTAAAACCCGGAAGGGAGTTAGCATTTAACCACTTCCTGATCCCATGCCTCAAAGTTATTTTGAAAGTGTTTTTTGTGAGAGGCCTCGAAAAATATCTGTGAATGTCCAAAGTCTTTGTGTGTCATAAAAAAAATTGGCTGCTAAGTTACAAAATAGGACAGCCAAACATCATTACGCAAAATATTAGCCACCATTAGCTTAGCTGTGGCAATGCGCAGCCATCCTACCTTGATGTAACTTGTTTATAGCCAAACTTTAGCTTTTTATTTCCAACATTAGCTTATATTAGCTTCCTAACGTCAGCTTTGTATTTCAAACATTAGCTTATATTAGCTTCCTAACGTCAGCTTTGTATTTCAAACATTAGCCAATGTTATCTTCCTTACATTAGCTTTTTATTTCTGGTGATTGCATTTAAGCTTCAAAAACTATAAAAAGGTGGTGTTTATATTTGGAGATCATTCTGCGGTATATGAGGGGTGTAAATGTGTTTACCACAGATGTTTTCATGCAGTATTCAAAAATAAAAAAATCTCATAACTTTTCGTCGTAGGAGCCCTTCGAAGGAGGAACTTCCGGGTCAGCCTACAACAATACATCATCCCTGCCCCACTTTATGTGAGGAAATGTGTATAGATATATATTGCATGTGCATACCATCCACTTTGGGTGTTTCCTTGGTAATAATCCACTCCCCTGGCTGTAGCAAAGACTGGCCGTAAGACATGTCCTGCTCCGTGCTGGAAGAGCCGAACGCAGATGAGGAGGACGGCGTCAGCTCTTCAAGCTTGAAGAAGTCCAGGCCCATGTTGGTACCTCCGAAGAACCGGCAGCCTCCGAGACAGCCGCAGCGGTTCCTGCCACGCTTGTTGCGAATGCTGGCATCTTCTGGCCAAAGGAACCAGAGTCTGAGGAGAGGAGGAGAAGGGGGAGCTGAAGTATATAAAGACTTTGTCCAGTCATGCAGACATACCAAGCACAACTTTGTTTTTTCTACCTTTTGGTCTGTGCATCATGAAGCTCCAGAAAATGCCTCTGGACTTCACATTTGGCCGAGTGGTCAGCGGCCAGGGCGATGTCTGCTGTGATGAGGTTCAGGTTGACCGAACCCGCCTCCAGCCAGACAGAGCGCCGCAGCAGGGGGGGCTGGCCCAGACCTAATGGCTGACCCAGACCTTGACCCGGGCCAGCTGTCTGCAGCCGGGCGGCCTCGCTGTGCTGCTGCTGCTCGATGTACTGCCGGATGTTCACGTCCTGCACCACGGCACTGATGCCTTCTCCCACTGCTTGGTTGTGCAGGTTGCAGTTAGCTACGCGAACGTTAGCCGTCTGGGAAGCAGGAAAGAAAACTTGATACATACCAAATATGAAATATGTACATGGATTTCAATGAGTCAAAGTTTCATAACCATTAGGTTAGGTCAAAATATATCTTTACCTTATTCACAATTTATAAACAGTCGGTGCTAATTACCTTGACATTGGCAGCACAGCCATGCTCCACGACGAAGAGGTCGACCCCATCCATGGCCAGTCGGGTCATGGTGTACTTCAGCTCCTCTGATGTGCGACAGTGCCCGGGTAGACAGCTCAGCTGAAAGACAACCATAATTTAGGACCAGAAAACTTTCGATGGTTGCAGGGAAGCTATCTTTAATTTAGTCTGGCTGTGCTTTACATAGCGATACATAGCCTGTAGCCACAGCAGCTCGCTTGTCAGACACTAATGAGGGCTCTCGGGCAGAGATTTTAAAAATACCCTTGTTAGTATTCGCATACAAACAAGACATTTTGTGAAACGGACTTGTTTTCTTTCAAAGTTATTTATGGTATGCTATGCGAGTACATCAATAGTTTCTGTGTTGGAGGCTGTGGCTACAGGCAGTTTCTCTAGCTGCGTGTGCAAGTCATGCATCGTTAGACAAAAGTTCACAGTGGTCTCCTTTTATTATCTGGTGTCATTTGCACATTTCCCTTCACACTGGACGGCTCTGACAAACGTTCAAATCTCACCAAAAATGCCTTTAGCCGTAATGAGCTCATTTAGTGGCTTCAAGATTGGGATTCATGCCAACTAGTTCAAACCGATGTGAGACAGCTACAGCAGATACATTGAAAATGGGAGTAATGAGGCTCAGTGTGTGTGCAGTATTTTATCTTTTACTGCCTGTGTGTACCTTGGCATCGCAGATGCGGCGGTCGACGCCGTGCTGGCAGATGACAGAGGGCTTGGGTTGTTCTAGTTGGAACTCTCGGGACACCCCATGGAAGAGGAAGGTCTCACCCCACTCTATCATACTCGCCACCTAATAATCACAAGAACACACAGAGACATTAGAACTTCAAAACAATCAATAAATAAATGTACTTCTAGGTCAAATACACAGAATAAAAATCAATCAAATGAAACACCAGCACAAGCTATAACAGTAAAACACTATTGCCATATTATATCTAAATGTGGATACTTCCCTTAGTACACTGCCATGCTGTGCACTGTAAACCTCTATGCAGTGCGTGAATTTCAACAGGGTAATGTCTCAAAATGCACAGAGCTGCTGTGCTCTCAACGGGAGAGATGATGGTTGCTGAGGACTTGCTAGAGCTAAAATGCTAAGGTGGCTAGTTAGCTGAATCTTGAATCTTGAATTGAGATAACTAGCTAACAGATAGCAATTAACAGCAACTAGCAATTAACCCTATCAAAAAATGGGGGGCCTTTTAATGACACCAGTATAGTGGTTTGTTACCTAAAGTTGACATTTTATTTGCACAGTGCTGCGTTAACCGGAGCAACAGTAATCGCAGATGGATGCGTAATTTCTGTAACGTAGCCAAGAAAGCGATCATCGAGTGTGAGATGTGTCCAGTGTTTCCATACTAAATGTTTTGACCGTTATGAGACCATCCTCCGGTACTCGTATTGCATTCTGCCGTACTTTGCATTTGATTTTTACACTCAAAACAATGAGTGATTTAAATTCAGAAAGGTTTGATTGTATTAAATAGGAGCTTCATTCAAGACAGCTTACCACATTCACACATTCCCTCCCCCACATCTGACCCCATGATGTAATAATAATAATCTAAAGCTGCACAGATTTATCCCTTAAGCGTTACAAATAACTATTTTACGTAATAACACACACACACACACACCTGTGGAAGAGTGACCCTGCCGGTGAGCCCCCCCGCCTGCATGTCGATGAGCCAGGCGTACTCCAGCGTATCACTGCTCATGGAGAGGCCCTGAGCGGAGAACATGGCGTGGGCCCTCATCTGCAGGCCAGACAGACTCAGGTGGCCGTCCCTCAACACCCCGTCCGCTGTAGGGCGCTGTGGATTAAACACACACAAACATGTTTATTACATCCCTTCCTTGTAAGGTAGGGGGAAACCAGCAGAAACTGAACTGAGCAATCTTTAGCTATGGTACAATTAATAGAGTGGTCTAGTGATGACGTACTTTTGTATCAAGTTAGCATTGCAAGGGATCCATCAACAAAAAAAAGATTTCTTAGGATTTTGGAATATTGCAGAAAAACAATCTGAGGCAAACACATGTATTTGACACTTAAATGTTTTTTCCAGCAGGATAATCACCACGTTTATAATTTCTAAAGCATAAATGCAATCCCCCGAAGAAAAAGCTAACATTAGGCTGTAACATAAAAACATGGCGGTAGCATGACGCGTCAACACCGCTAAGTTAACGCCAGACTCGCGTTTGGTGTGTTTGGTTTAGTAGTCAAAGCTTCAGATGTTAACCAGTAGGGCATTTACTGACATACTGTATGTTGTGTCGTAGAAGAAAATGAAATCTCGAATCTACCATTGACTTTGAGACTAGGGAGCCAGGAAGTGCCAAAATGCTAGTTTCCCGGTTTGGGACTCATTCCTGCACCACTCTTTTGCTTAATATCCGAACATGTGCCATAGAAAAGTGCTTTTCCCATCTCACTGCCGGAGAGATGAGAGCTACACATTAATTGTTGGATTCTATTTGCTGCTCAGAGAGAATATCTTTCCCTAATCCCAACTCGTGGCTAAAGCTTAGAAATCTTGTGTGGTTATACAATATGCAGGTGCTTATGCAAAGATGTGGTTGGTGAAAAGCATGTTTTACATTATGCAACTCTTACTTGAAAGCTTTATTCACAGTGTTTTATAAAGCCTGAGTCACCCTTCAGTAGCCATATTAGAGACTGGTTGTTGTGTTATCATTGTTTTCACACATCTGATGTGCCACATCATTGAAAAGGTAATATGTTACATTTATAGAAAACCCTTGCAATAATTGTACGGGCGCAATTAAGTGAACTGTAGACAGCTTCCTGTTGCTCTTGCATTTGCTCAAGTTCGTGTACATGCTCAAGGTATGTGGCGCGAGTGAGCATCCTGGGCATTGGCCAAAACAGTATGTTACATAAAATCCAAATTACATATTATATTTTAAATATTGTTACTATCCGTAATGTTTGAATATTGGAATGTGCTTCATGATACTTAATAGCTTGGAGTTAGCAAATTACTGCATCAGCTTACGTTATGAAGCAATTTACGCCAGATCCTGGCGGCTAAGTTAAAGCTAGTTGGCAAAGCTTAGCTTAGCTTGGTTTACAGTTAGCCGGCTAACCTTATCCTAGCTTACGTCACAGTTAGCCATTGTTAGTTTTTCACCTTTGCTTTCATCTGGTCTGCATTTGTTATTGGCTAAATTTGACACCGCTTGTCATAATCAATAAGTAAGCAGTATGAATCATGTTTTCTGGCTAGCAATAATGATAGCCAACAAGCTAGCTAACGTTAGTCAGCAAATAACCTCACATACATGTTAAGGAAACACAGAAATGTAGGAACGTCTTTAAATTGAGTTACAATCTGTTCACACACTGGCAACACAAAGTAATAAATATATGTAAAATAACTTACATAGTACTGTACCTTCAAGCTAGTACTCCTAAACTGGATTATGCGCTCTTGCCTAACCTTTTCAATTTAAACATGAATGGAGGAGCCAACATATGACTTTTAATTGCAAAAACAATTTTTGTGCTTCTTAACAAAAAGGCATTTCCCAAAAGATTCAATTTAAATCAGGACAATGACAAATATGGAGCCACAATAAGCAGCACATCACATCAGGCACACATGTATCTGCGTTTCTGACCTGGTAGTTGTCACTGACGAAGATGTGAATGGGAGACAGGAGCAGCTGAAGCATCGTCTCCTTATAACCCTTCTTCATCTCAAAACACAGCCGCTCCAAGAAGCCAGATGGACCTTCGGGACCCTCGCTGCTGCAGTGCTGTAAGGCACCGGGTAAAAAAAAGTAAGAAAATATGTGCATCAAGATTGTTTTCGTAAACATAAACACCTCAACTCAAAAAGCACGGCTGGCAGGGATACATTTAAAAGAAAATTCCATGCAAGCCAAGAAAAAACATGTGTTTAACACTTTGCTTAAATTGCTCCGAATGTAATGTTGGATTGCTACTCCCTCACTGCGAGTTGGACCCAGGAACCCCCATTACAAACAAAAATAAAAATATAAATAAAATAGCACTCATCATAATTATCACTTAAAAATATATATAACTTTTTAAGCAATTTTCTTGTTATTCTGAGTATATATCATTATTGTTAATAGCACTTTTTTTGGTCATATTCTTTCTTCTTTTTTGCCTATAGTATCTTGACACTTTTCTTTTTCTCCTGTGTACAATCATTTGTTTCCATGTCTCAAACGCTCCTCAGTATACATTTCCATCTTTTTGTCAGACTTCATAATCTCTGCTAAAAGCCCATTTGCTAAAATGTTTCACGTAGCTCTGTCTCTTTCCAAACCAAGCTATTGGCAGTCATCAGTTTTACCATTGGCAGTCGGCCGTGGACTTTGTAGAGGTTGATGAGCACGGTGATGTCCCAGGGGCGCAGGTCTAAGGGATGGATGTTTGAGTTTTCCTTATGTTCGCTGTCCTCCATTCCCAGGGGAGACCAACCGAGGCCCGAGGAGGTGGAGGTGGACAGCACGGGGCTGGAAACGGCCTCCTCAAAGTCTGTGTACATGTCGTCCTCACCAAAATAGTTTTCCTGTAGAAACACGAAGGACAGTTGGAGGGGTGTTCTATCAAATCTGGAATTACTCTATACACTTTAGCAGTAAGAGGATATTCGTACCTTGATGGAGATCAGTGCCCGGAGCAAAGGCCCGTAGAGGATGATTTGAGAATCTGGGGACATTTCCATCTCTACGTGAAGTCTGTCGGGGGGGAGCTCCGAGGGTTCCGCGGGCATCCTGCTGTGGGCGGCGGAGGCAGACTTGGAGGTGAAGCGGGGAGACGCGTTGTGGTGCACCGAGGTGTGCTCTGGGGGACGCAGGGCTGACAGCATGGACTCCTCCATCTCCGACACTTCACAACAAACCACAGGCAAGTTAGACAACATTATGCAAAACAGCTTAAGATATACAAGTAAAATGATGGAGGAAGGATTCAAATGAAAGAAAAATGTTGCATTTCGTCCACAGTCCACATTCATTTCGTCATTGTTGGCTTTATTCAGCCTCAACCAAACAGATTCAGAATACTTTATTTATCCCCGGGAGGACTTTGGTGTTGTGTGAGGTGATCCATTTTACAATATAATAAAATAAAAGATGAATAGAAGGAAAGAAATATAAGAAATAAGAAAAATATTTATATAAACATAAAAAGGTGAATGTAAGAATGTGCACACAAAAAAGACACAATAAGATCAAATAGAATAAAAATATTGATATTAACATATATAAAAAAAGATAAAGTAAAAATGTTCACATTGTACTACAATATATAGTATTACAATATATAATGTAGTTTATTATTATTGAGTAATTATTCTATTATTTAGAACATACAACAAATATTGATCTTAGGTGGAGAGCTTACAGGACTGTTTGAGTTGCTCGTCAGCCTTCTGGGGATAAATGGGGTGCCATGTGTAGTCGATGATGAGCAGGAAGTTGGGTACACTCCAACAATCCACCCAGCCGGCTCTGGTGTGAGGAAGAGAAAACACTCTTCAGTACACAGACATAACGCTGAGTTTATCATCCTTTCACAGTGGATTTTACAGCCCATCGTTCGCTTTATGAACCGTTCTCTTCAAGGACGTACAGTAGAGGCGAGAGACAGTAAATGTGTTTCGCCTGAGTGCAGCGGTCCAGACAGAGTCGATCCTCCCCTCCCCGGGGGGTAAGTGGGCCTCTCACAGCGTTACATCAGTAGAGTCTTGCTCTGAGCTATACATAATAAATGATCTGAATCGATGTCGAGTCATCCTGTACAGACTGCACGATGCATAGCGCTACCCCACCAGCAAAGGTCAATCAGCATCTCTTCGAACAATTTCACTTCCTAGCTACCTGTGATCCTACCTAACTTCCTCTACTACAAAATGTTATATTTATCTGAAGAAGAACAATAATAGAAGAGTTTAGCCGTATTGCCAAGCTCTACTACTGAACCCATTACAAGCTTTTTTTAGGCTTCTGTTTTTGTCGCATTTAGTGATGCGTCATCTGCATAGAGGGCTTTTCAAACTACACAAATATCCAGATGTATACGTTTTCTGATTGTTCTAACAGTCTGGATCAATGCTCCCTTACTTATGGATGGGTATTGAGAACCAGTACCGGAAAAATCCTTAAGCTGTTGTGTTGCATTATGGTTGGTGAGAAACACACTGCTCGTGTGATGAATCATTTTGAAAAACTGTTTTAAAATTCTTTAACATCTTTGGATGTAATGTCTTGAATTTCCTTCACATAATAAAGGCTTTGAATGGAAAAAGGCTGTAGTGAAAAGGGCAGGGGTTACACCTCTTATAAAATAATAATATTATACAGGCTATTAATCTCAGGCAGCAACTGCTGAACCACATAAAAAGTGAAGGTTAGTGGTACATTCACTTTATCTCACCACCTACTACCTCTGCAACATTTCCGTTATACCCGATGTGAGTCAGTGTTACGATGATGACTCATCCTGCTCTTTGAGAACGCACTTGCTGTTAGCCCACAATTTGACAGAGATAATTCCCAGGTTGAACTCACTCTGCGTGGGTGATGTTCCTCCAGCGGGACTTGCTGGGTTTGGGAGGGGGGGCGCTGTGGTGTTCCCCCGGCATGAACATGTCTGGGGGAAGCTTAACGTTCTGGTAGTCTTTGGCCAGGGTGAGGAGCGGGCAGCGGCTCGGATGGCACTCTGGCAGGGACAGCCGCATGTCTGTATCCTCGGCCTGAGGAGGGCAACGCACATCATATCATCAAATCAAATTTAAATCGGTCTTTTGATCCTGAAATCCAACCAAAGTCTAAAACACAGGGTCCTCTGAGAAGCTGTTCCACAACCGTGGTATTGCTTTAAGTATGATAAAAAGGCCAGCAGCAGAAGACCTGAGAGTTTTAAAGGGTTCGTAGGTTCAAAGATGATAAATACCAAGGCATATGACCATTAAAAGCTTTAAAAAACAATTCAATTACTCTCAAATAAATTGTATACACACCCACATAGTTAACGATTTCACAACTATGAGTCCGTAGAAATACTGTACATCTTGATGTCAAAAATCAGCTGTGGTGGAATATAACGTACATTTGCTCAAGTACTGTCCTTGAGTACAATATTGAGCTACTTGTAATCAAGATTAAATTCTGAATTCTGAGTAAAAAGTAATAACTGTGGCCCTAACCCTCTTCCTTAATTATTAAAAGGTTAATATATATTATATATAATACAAATTAATTCAAATAAATCCCACATTTACCAGCCACAACATAAAAAAATGTTCCAATAAATATAATAAAATAATATGTTTATTTTGATGCTTTTGTACTTTTATTTGAGTTACATTTTACACTGTAGTATTTATATTTTTAACTTAAGTGCTTCTTCGACCTCTGCTTATCAGTATGAAAACACAGTATATGCAGTCATCATCCGTAGTATCATTTTTCCGGATAGAAAAAAAACGAAACATTTTGGAACCAATCATGTTCACTGGGAGTGTGCCTCACCTGTAAGCTGAAGCGGGTGTTGCAAGTGGTTGGAACAAACTCGTTGAAAGCCAAAGTGAAGTCTATATTGAGCGTCTCGCCACACGCTGCTAGGTACACTATGGAGATCAATAATGATGTTGATTAGTCTGCAATGCACCGGGATGAAGCTGAGTACATACAGTTTGTAATATATCATGACTTAATAAAGTGCAAGTATCCTGTAAGCGTCCGGTGTTAGAGAGGCATTAACTCATCGATTACTTTCATGGCAGGATGTGAATTTATTTTATTTTTTTGCCTTAGGGCTAATGCTAATGCTTAAAAAAACATAACAAAAACTAAAATACATATACACATACATTTGTGATGAAAAAAACCCACTTAAAGGTCCCATGTCACGGCCATTTCTACTGATCATAATTCCATTGTTGAGGTATACTAGAATAGATTTACATTGTTCAATGTTCCAAACTCACATTGGTTTCTCATACAGCATCTCTGTATAGTATGTGTATTCACTCTCTGTCCTACACGCCTTGTTGGAGCTCCTGCCCCCCCCTCCCTATGAGCCCACTGTGCTCTGATTGGTCAGCTCGCCCACTCTGTTCTGATGAGTCAACCACCGTTACATCAGTGATTATGTGTTACAATGGCATTGAAAATGACACCAGTAAGGACAAACAGATGAGAATGCTGCGTGGGGTCTGGGTGCCGTGTTGGCGGGACGTTGCGGGGTTCGCTGCTGCAAGGAGCGGACAGTGTGAGCTGGGTTCATTTCCTGCTTGCTGCGTGGGGTCTGCGAGACAGCGAGACATCGCGAATGGACGCGGGAAGGAGGGGATGCTGAGGGTGCTGCAGCACCCCCATCTGCAAGGCTCCACTAGCACCCACACCCCCCCCAGCGCGTCACAGTTTTGCCGCAGAGAGTGTGTGTGTGTGTGTGTGTGTGGGAGGAGCTCCACGGATTGGTCCATTTGGGTATGGTCACGTCACTGTACCCAGGAAGAAAAAGAGAAATCTCCAACGAGGCGTTCTGGGGCAGCATAGACAGGTCTTTTCTGTGTTAGAGTTTTACTCGCTACAGGGTGTACTTTGAGGGTTTGTGACTCTGCAGACCGTTTACATGCAGAAAAACCTTCATAACACACAAGGGGACGGGTAATAACCGGAAAAGCATGACATGGGACCTTTAAAACCAGCAGGACTCAACAAATGACTAAATAAAACCAGAACGATTAAATAATATATTTAAAAAATAATAAAATAACAATAAATAACAATACAAAAAGAATGAAATTACAATTCAATTATAATGTTTTGCCTTAGTGTGAAGGCTCATGCTAAACATGTCTATTAGGGTAGGTCTAGAAAAACAATGTGTGTCACTCAATAACGTTTGGATTTAAACCTGTCAATTATATGAGATAATATGTCAAAGGGGAGAGACATTGAGTACTTTAGGACCGCACAATGATTGAAAGCACAATGTATTATTGCAGCACCGGCATACAAATGGTAATCTTCAGACTTTATAAGACATCCTTGTTTGGTACAGATCCTATCAAAAAATTAAATGACAATTACAATTATCAGTCAAATTAATTGCAATTAATCCAATAGCCCTAGTGTATTTTACTTCAAAAATTGTTAAATTATTGTGTTAATGGAGCACAAATGTGCTCATTTTGGAGTTCATAAATGTATTTTGTGCCTCTACTCTGACACGAGTCTCTTTTTCCTCTGCTTTTCTTCATTGGCACAGAATGATCTTCACCACATATGTCTCTATAATGAGCCAATGTTTTCTGGTGCGAGTCAACATGTTTGCACATTGTCACAGAAATATGTTGCAGATGATAAGAGCTTTGCACGCATTAGGCCCCTCACTGTATAAACAAGAGATTTATCTTCCTCCAACAGGGAATGCATTTCTGTCTTACTCATTGTACTTTTATAATGTGTACTGCATGATGTATTTGATTAAAGATGAAATATGTCATGCTTTCTTTTCACCGGCTGCTCATTACATTGATAATACACACAGGTTTCGAGTAAAAATATTGATCTACAGGGAGGATGTGGCTGAGTGGGGTAGTGCGCTGATCTGGTTCAATCCCCACTGCAGTCAGCATGTCGTTGTGTCCTTGGCAAGACACTTCACCCCAAATTGCTCTTGTCAGGATTGCCCACATTATTGAGTGTATGTATGTCTCTTTGGGTAAAAGCGCCTAACAAGTGACATACTCTGCCAATTCTCTTTTTGGGTTAGGGTTGCATTCAGCTAGTTAAGATAGAAATGAATGAATGCTGATTTTCTGTTTTTTTTTTGCATCTAGAAGAGCATCTTCCTCACCATTCTCCTGCTGCTTGGTGGAACAGTCCACCCAGTTGTGCTGGTTTGCCGCCCAGATCATCTCAAACTGGTGGAAAAGCACCTTGAACTTCCAGGAGTACGGCACAAAGGAGTAGATGTCTGGGGCGCTGTCGCTCGCCCAGTCCTGGATCAAATCTGAAAAGAAAGAAAGAAGACTGAAGATGCGAAACAAGGAGAGATGCACTGATTTAATTGGCGACCAACAATTGGCATTTATTGTCAGATATAGCCAAAATTAATTAGACTGTATCTGACTATTGCCACACGCCAGGTTATCTACTTTGGGATTTTCTCGATACCGATTAGCGAATTTATTAGACCAACATTTGAGAAATATATATTAAATTAGAATTACAAAACATTGTAATTCATTCCCATGCATGCCACAGGAATGTTATAACAAATATTCACCTGATTAATTATTTGTTTCGTCATTGTGTTAGTTGTACAGTAAGTAGTTTAATCTTATTCTTTACAAATACTGTGTAGAGAATTACAATCATTCTGATTCTTCTTTCATGGTTATTTTCATAACTTGTAATTGTGTGTACATATAGGACACAATTAAAAGTTGTGAAAATAACCATCTAAAAAATAACAGTTCCCTCTATAATTTGATACATTTGACCATCAAAATGCTCAGTGCTTAAAGCTGCATAAGCTGTAGCGTCATTAGGCGCGTTCACAGGCTGGGAGTCCCAGCAGCTTCTATTGAAGCCAGTCCCCAACTCCGGGGACTTCCGGCCGGGGACTTCGGGTGGCAGTATACGCCGTGAAGTTGTTTGCGGCCTGCCAGTAAACCCAAAGCAGAAGAAGAAGAAGTGACGTCAGCGGCTTCATTTGCCTAATCCTCCCCCAGGGACTTATTCCGGTGTGAACGCGATCGCCTCTTAGTTAATGAGAACTAAAGAGTTCTCATTAACCTTTGTGGGAAAAGTACTGCGGTGTGAAAGCGCCTATTGGCTGAGGCAGTTTGCTGCAGGACTCACCTGTGAAGAAGTTTTTCTGGGCGTAGATGAAGTGGTAGGTGGCCTTGTACACCTCGATCTCACACTGCCACGACTGAGGCATGTTCCACACCCGAGGGTAGCTGGCTATGACATGAAACTGCAGTAAAAGAGAGAAATGAAGGACACGATTTCACGTGAAGCTGAGCACTTTGTATATGCTTAATCAGAACCAGGTTTATTGCATAGTAGGTCCTGCATCCTTTATTATATACTTTCACATTATCATATTTTTCCTATGGCAGTTATTATCTTTTCTAATCCATTAACATCTATCTTAGGGTGTTTTGGGGGGAATTGTTCCTTTTACGATGGAAGGGTCTTAGGATAGAGGGTGTTGTATGCTGTACAAACTGTAAAGCCCCCTGAGACAAATGCGTAGTTTGTGATATTGGGCTCTATATATATATATATACACAATTGTATTGATTGATATACATACAAGGAATTTGCTTTGATATATTATCGTGCATACATAGAGTTAACATTCTAAGAGAAATGATACCGTAAAAATAAGGAAATAAGAAACATCAAGCACACACAAAATGATTACAAAAATAAAAATGGATTTGCATTAACGGGCAGCTATTGTAATGATCTACCAATCAAAGGGTCATTGGTTTGATCCCACCCTGTGCAGTTAACATGTTGAAGTGATCTTGGGCAGAATGTGGGTCAGGGTTCAACTAAAGTCGATTGAGAAGTAAATCTACTAAAACTGTACTTACAGCCAGCATCTCGGCCTCCAGCAGAGTCCTGTACTGCATGCTGCTGGTGGTGTCCACGTGCAGCAGCTGCCCTTTGATGGTAGGAGAGTAGCCTGGGGGCGAGGAGAGGCACACAAAAGCACAGCCATCAATTCTCAAAACCCAAAGCTAGGGCTCTGCTTTTACAAATAATGCAATATACCGGCACAAAAATTACATTTCTGCAGACAGACAAAATCACTGACTGATGACCGATACCCTATTTTGAGCTCAGTGTGATACATTATTTACATTCCTCACAACTATAGGCATTTAAAAAGTTGAATGGCTCCCGAGGTCAGCTGTTTTACTCTGGATTGACTGTGGAGTTATATTTCAAATGGTTTGACTTGATGTTGAGTCTGTATTACTGTATAAGAGGGGGAACACTTCACAATTACATTTAGCTCCTTAAGCCACAAGGTGAAGAAAGTGTTACACTACACAAACTCTGGAGTCTTGGGTAGAAAAGTTGAGTGACTTTAGAAAGTGTGTGTGTGGTTTAAAGTGATTGAAGAGCAATGGAGACTCGGAAAAAGACAATTCTTCGTAGTTTCTACAATTTGACCGTGTTCACATTTCAATAATTGCCTCCTAATGAAAATGTAGCACAATGTGTAGAGCTTTTTTCACAGCCAGGTAGTTTACACTGTGATTGGAGTTAAAATGATTACATGTACATTTTAATTAGTGGGACTATAGCTCATGGGTAAATAGGCAAATACCAATCAGAGGGAACTTAACTCCAAATGATTCCCATTGGTATGTCTGAAGTGTTTGTTAATCAATTTGGATACAATGGCTTTGTTGTGATTGGTCAACCACTTAGAGATGTCCTGCCCCTTGGCCTATCATGGTTAATATGTTGGACTCCTTTGTTTCAGTAACATAGCAACATCACTCTTTAACATTCGCACTTCTATTGGCTAGTGCTCCAACATATTGTACGTGGTAGGTTAAGGGGCGGGACCTCTCTAAGGTGGTTGATTTATCACAGAGCTGGCCAGCTAACCAATCAGAGCAGACTGGGCTCTGGTTTCAGACAGAGGGTGAAAAGAGGTGCTGCAGCACAGGCAGTAAGAGGAAAATAAAGAGCTTTTTGAACATTAAAGCATGGAGACATGAAGTAGAGACACTACATACAAATATGAACCTAAACATTTGTATTAAATGCATTCTCTAATGTTTTTAGTGAAGCAATTTGAATTTCCTTGTTGTTGAAATGTGCAATTTAAATAAGATTGTGGGAACTGATACACGTGGTGACATTTTAGTGTACTCGTTTTTTTTTGTTACGCTTACCATTGTCTCCGACAGTCATGGGGATGTTGACTTCCAGGTAAGAGCCTGCGCCTACATTCACATGGATGGCGTTGGTTTCCTAGCAACAGGGATGAAGACAGAGCAAGGGGAGAGAAAGAGAACAAAGAACAGTCACACAGGCTGTCAATTCTTTACTGACACACTGCCTTAAGAATAAAAACCAAAGTCTCCTAATCTGAACTCAAACATGTGGTGATAACATGAGCATCAAGCCATTTCATGTTTATATTCAACAGGCATTTGTGCTGATGTTTAGTATGCATTTCACATACTCAGCCTGGTGAAAATCCAAGCACTGCCCGGGAATGAACATTTGAGAAAGCATAAAACATGAACCGATATCGACGGCTGGAACATGACGAGGCATGGAGGGAATGGAGAGAGATAAAGAAAGATGCACAGAGAGAGGAGTCACCCTGTTTTTGGTGAAGAGCAGATCGATGGTGGCGTCAGCGATGATGTTCATGCGCAGCTCGAAGGCCTGGATCTGCCTGGGTTTGCCCGGCTCGGCATCCTCGGTCACTTTCATGGCCTGGTAGTCAGCTGGCAGGAAGAACTTCCACAGACAGTCCCTGAGGAGAGGGGGAGTTCATTTAAATGCAACACCATCTCTGTACACCCTAAAAGTTGGAGTCTCAAATCTGCCATGCTGGAGAGAATCATCAGATTCCGACCACACACACATTTTGGATATACCATAACATTACAACATTTTGGAATTTGAAACACAAATTTTTGCCAATATTGCTAGGATATAATTTCCCTATCAATTACATGGTGCTGTTTCTGAGAAAATGACTGAAGAAAATCTCAATATGAGGGATGGGTATCTTGTAAAAGGCATAATGGCATAATGTGCCTTGGTACTGAAAAAAAAACGACAGGCTGAGCATGATGCTTACGCTTATTACATGGCTACTTACAAAATTGATTAACGATTTGACTCACAATTCTCTGATGAATATATGATTGTATCTATTTAAGAATGTGTTTTTTGCTTCCTCTAAGAGAAAACAGTCAGCCCAGCGCTTAACGAGTGGAAGTATTACAAGAGCAACGTTAATTAAAATACTGGCAGCCCTGATCGAGGTTTACTATAACTTGTTCCCTATAGTGTTTACTTCCTGTCTGTCTTCTTCTGCTGTTCCCTATAGTGTTTACTTCCTGTCTGACTTCTTCTGCTGTTCCCTATAGTGTTTACTTCCTGTCTGACTTCTTCTGCTGTTCCCTATAGTGTTTACTTCCTGTCTGTCTTCTTCTGCTGCTGTTCCCTATAGTGTTTACTTCCTGTCTGTCTTCTTCTGCTGTTCCCTATAGTGTTTACTTCCTGTCTGACTTCTTCTGCTGTTCCCTATAGTGTTTACTTCCTGTCTGACTTCTTCTGCTGTTCCCTATAGTGTTTACTTCCTGTCTGACTTCTTCTGCTGTTCCCTATAGTGTTTACTTCCTGTCTGACTTCTTCTGCTGTTCCCTATAGTGTTTACTTCCTGTATGTCTTCTTCTGCTGTTCCCTATAGTGTTTACTTCCTGTCTGACTTCTTCTGCTGTTCCCTATAGTGTTTACTTCCTGTCTGACTTCTTCTGCTGATCCCTATAGTGTTTACTTCCTGTCTGTCTTCTTCTGCTGTTCCCTATAGTGTTTACTTCCTGTATGTCTTCTTCTGCTGTTCCCTATAGTGTTTACTTCCTGTCTGTCTTCTGCTGTTCCCTATAGTGTTTACTTCCTGTCCGTCTTCTTCTGCTGTTCCCTTAACTGTTAACTTACTAATGATTTAACTGAGTCTCTTAACCTCTTTCCTTCTCGTGCTTTCTTGTTCAGGTTTCTCTATATTCCCTTCTATTACTTTTCCACAAAAGGTATTCTATGGTGTTTTTTCTAATGGAGGACAACGAATGTGTTTTTTTTACGACAACTGACATTGTTGTCAATGTCAGTTATTTCTGTGGATTGATATAGTAGGACAGCACATAGTCCCTTGATCAAATGGCCTTAGCACTGGTCTGCTTTCAATAAAGAACAGAGTATGTGCATGATCATTACTCACCTCTGACGATCAGCCCAGGGGCCGTAGTTAAAGTCCGTTCCTTTTCCACAGACGATGTCCAGACCCCAACATGGAGGAAGGTCCTGAAGCTTATCGCCCTCACTGCACGTTTCTGCCTCCTCCACCCCCTCCTGCTCCACTGGCACCAGACCTGCACACACACATGTAAGCATTACATTATCGTGAGAACAATTACTAAACAAAAAATGCAAAACTCTACAAAATTATCTTGTAAGGACTTAAATAAATTCAACTTCTGTTAGCACTGAAGTGTAGAGTGTTGTTCCATAGCCAAAAAGAGAACTATCAACATCTGTCACTGATCGGAAACGGTAACTTATTTGACTTTATTTTGTGAGTGTGTGCCTGAGCTTACCGGGTTCATCCTGGTAGTAGTAGATGTCGACATCGTTGGACTGCATGACAACAAAGCCTTCACCCATCAGTCTGGGAGGTCTAGAGGAGAAACCCACAAGATCTGAGTTAAAGTACAGACTATATGCCGAGATTAGGCATTCATCCTAAAAAGATCACAAGCAGGGTCACAGCAGGTAAGGACCCAACGAATCAATGAAATATTCATTCCACATTCAATCAGAAAAGTAATACTTTATTTATCCTGGGGGACATTTTAGAATGGAATAAAAAATACTCAAATTAATAAATATACATGTTTATAAAACGGACAAGTCAAATCAAGCAATCTGATTGGTTCTTATCCGTGGTATACTGAGCGTATACCACGGGTAGAATTGTAAGTTACTTTTCACAACAAGTCAGTATCCCTCCGCGTCTGAGATAAACAGTATACAGTTGGGCTGAAAAGCAAACTCCTTGCAGTTTGCTTTTCAAACTGGAACAAGAAAGCAGCGGAGAAGTAACGGGGCAGAAACCCTCCTTTTTACGCAACGGTCCAGACATAGACATCAAACGGCAAAAACATATTCAGTGTGCATTTCCTTTGGCATTAGGGCAGGGATATTTAGATACTTTCCAAGGTTTGACATAATGAATTGTGCTACTTTTAAAGCAAGCAACGATGTTTTCAAATCTGTAATCAAAAAGGTCCGCAAAAACATTTAAGATAAACTTCGACCTCCGCTTCGCGTCGGGCCGAACCACGCCCCTTAACTGTGATATAATGGCCATATACCACGGCCTGTCGTGAGCTATTGCTTAAATATAAATATAAGAAATTAAAGGTAGGGTAGGTAAGTTTGAGAAACCGGCTCGAGATCGCTAGAATTTGAAAATACACAACCGGAGAAAATCTGCCACTTCCTTACAGAGCCCCTCCTCCAACACACACGAACGCGCACATGACCAATGAGGGCACGAGATAAGTTTGTGCACAGATGGAAGGCTGACAGGCAGGTAGGCCATCCAGTTATTTTAGCCGGGCCGGCTAAAATGATTGGTCGTGCTTTTTACAGTACTACGGCTTCCAGATGACATTTTTTTATGGATTTTTTGTCAAAGCATTTAAGATTTTCATTGCTATCGGGATGTTAAGAGCATTCCATGGAATATAACAAAAAGTGTATCTCGAGCCGGTTTCTCAAACTTACCTACCCCACCTTTAAAGTAAGAATAACTGATAAAAATACAAATGAAATAAAGATATTTATAAAAAGAAGAAGTTCAAGTAATAAGTGTATAACAACATTAAAATAAAATGGAATAAAAATGTATATAAACAAAATAAGTTAAAGTAAGAGGTAAGTCAAAGCAAAATATATATATATTTGATTAAAATTAATTAAATAATAAAAAAGTAAAAAGTAAAATGTAAAAGATATTTGTAGAAATAGAAGAAGTGAAAGTAAGAATGTTTAATAAAAAGATAAAAAATAATAATATTTATATAAAATGAATTTAAAGAAAATACTGTAGGTTCTGGCACAAAGACACTGGTTCCATTATATAAATGCAGCGTCTGCTCTCTTGGATATTTCTGCTTCCTCTCTGTGGACATTTCAGTGAAGCTTGAAGACTCATCAAGGTCTGCTGGAGGTTGAAGTCTCTGCTGGCTCCTGCAGGCTGCAGCCAGGTTTCAATTGAGAGTGGCTCCGTAATCACAGAGGCTAAAGGCAATTTTACTCTCCATGTCCTTTCATTAAGCTCAAGTGCAGATAATGGATTCCCTGCTTCTAATGAAACACCGTTAAAGCTGCCAGGTTTGTCAAGAGACAGGGAGTGCCTATCAAAACATACTGCCAAAAATGATCAGTTGCTCAATTTAGATATAGAGTATACAGCCTGATCTTTCATATAGATTTCAAAACTGTGCCACTCAGAATTGTTCCTTTGAATCCACAAATGTAACATATTATAATTATATAAATATTTTAATTATATTATAGTGTTTATTATTGAACATTTTACTTAAACCTCTAATTTATTTGTCCTTATTTTTAGCTATTCATTTATCTTACATTCTATAATGAAGCAACTGTCCATTCAACGTTTATTCTATCTTTCATTTCTTATGTTAATATAAGTATTTTTGTTCCATTTTTGTTTTCTTTTTTTAATCCATTTTATTTATTTTAATGGAGTATCTTTCCCCCCAGGTAAATAAAGTATTCCAATTTAATGTGGATTGAATATTTTCTCAATATTTAATCGATTAATGATTTTATTATAAAACATATCATGTACAAATTATTATGTATGAATACTGTACATGTATTTTATTTTACATAATAACATTAACCTTTTATGTTTATATCCTTTTCCTTCTTTTAATTTATCTTTTATTTTATTTCATTCTTAAAGGTGGGGTAGGTAAGTTTGAGAAACCGGCTCGAGATACACTTTTTGTTATATTCCATGGAATGCTCTTAACATCCCGATAGCAATGAATATCTGAAGTGCTTTGACAATAAATCCATAAAAAAAAAATTCATCTGTGGAAGCCGTAGTACTGTAAAAAGCACGACCAAGCATTTTAGCCGTTTAGTGTTGTTGCATAGCAACCACTTCGCACTATGTTTTGTGCAGAAGGCAACAGAGGGACTATTTTATTTTGAACATCATTATTTAATAATAACAACTATTTAAATTAGAGTGTGTATTTTTCATTCATATTGCCACACTTGGTAACCGTTTTATAAAAGCAATAGCTCACTTCAGGCCGTGATATATGGCCATTATATCACAGTTAAGGGGGTTGTCGTACATCAAACATCAAAACGTTCAGCTCTTCAAATCTCTTGAAACATTTCTGGGATTCGATTCATGCTCTCACAAAAGCCGTTTTAGACATCGAAATTAGCCTAAATCCATGTTTTTTCCTGTTAAATGACATGCCAAACTTTAAACTGAACCCAAAACATTACAGAATACTAATCACAATAACATATTTTGCCAAGAAATGTATACTTTTATTCTGGAAGAATGAACGTCCCCCAACATTTAAACTTTTCATTGATCAGATAACACATTTTTTTTACCTCTGGAGAAAATGACATTGGAAAAATATAATCGTGGACATATTTTTCAAGCTCTGTGGTTGCCATTGTTTTCTTATTTGGAAAACATATCTGAGATATGACCAGTGATGGAATGGTGCATTCTGTGGCTATTTGTCCTGACGGCCGGAAATACTTGTTATGGTGTTGTCATTGTCTACATTGTCACTGTATTGTATAATTATTTGTATTGTATAATTATTTGTTTGTTTTACTTGTTTGGTTTTTATTTATTTATTTTTTGGTTCTATTTTTTCCTTTTCCTTTTTATGTTTATTTTCATGGCTCTGTTGTTTAAGTTATATTGATAAGCATTTTTTGGTTTTGCTTGTGCGGGTATGTGTTGGTGGAGGGAGGGAGGGGGGAGTGTAGTGAGTGTACTGTGATATTACAATATAAATGAAAGGGCATCGATTACTGTACACTATAATGAAATAAAAAGACTTGTAAAAAAAATAAAAAAAACGTTCAGCTCGGTCGGGAATCAATGGCTATTACTTTTCTTATTCATAATTTTCATGCATTATTGTCTGAAATTCATATAAAGCTTTTAAAAGACAGGTGATTTGAATGATTAGAACTCAACTTAAATGTTTCTTTAATACAAAGCTACTTACTCATCGTTCTGCATGCCGAGGTAGCGTGGACTGGGCACCAGCATGACACGCACGTTCTCCAGCGAGCCTTTGACGATGTGCATGAACTGGTCCAGGTGGCTGGAGGGCGGCTTGGTGGCGTACGTCAGCAAGGCGTCCTCGAAGTTCACACACAGAGTCTGGGGGAGGTAGTGGTTCCCGAACGCCAAACGCCCCTACAGACAGCAAGTTAACCTTTAAGTGTTTTATTTCCATGTATAACCACTTGCTTTAATACAACACGCTCTTAAAGGGATAGTTTGGATGTTTTAAAAAGAGTTCATTCATTATTAGTTTTTAACAAAAAGCTCTTCCTCTTCTATCTTAAATTGTTCTCTTTAAATGTACTTTACCTTCTTCTGTTTATATAGATACAAGTCATCTATGTTGTCATTTATCACATTCTTACAGTCATTTCTTATTTCTTATGTCTGTTTAATCTTATATTATTTCTTATGTTTTATGAATTAATATAGTATTTATTTTATTCTTACATTTAGAAACTTTACCCCGGGATCAATAAAGTATACAGATTTAATGTGGACTAAATATTAAAATATTATTCACCAATTCATGTTTATTTTTATTTATTATTTTACTTGAACTTTTAATGTCTATATAAATAGATTATCCCATTTTATATTTAATTAATTTTCCTTTCTTAAAATGCATTATGTTTATATGAATATTGCAAATGACAACTTTCTTATTTTTATTAATGAATCTATCGTTCATTTATTTTATTCTAAAAAGGAGTATACAGATTTAATGTGGAGAGAATATTTAATTATTTTTTCAATAATTAATTCATTTAAATGTATTTAATGTTATATTTGACGTTATTATTAGTACATTACATGTCACTTGTTAGACGCTTTTATCCAAAGCGACTTACATACTCAATACTGTGGACAATCCCCAGGAGCAATTTGGGGTGAAGTGTCTTGCCCAGGGAAACAACGACATGCTGACTGCAGTGGGGTTTGAACCTGTGACCTCCTGATCCGAACACCAACGCACAACCCACTGCACCACACGCCTCCTTATTATTAGTAGCGAGTACTTACAGTGCTGATGTTCACTTTGATGACAGGAATGAGGGAGCGCCATGATGATGTGTGGTCAGCGCTCTCTGCTTGGATGTCCACACTACACGGGGGCGAGAAGAAGACGTTCATTCTCATGACAATTTTATGTTGCAGTCAGCACAATTCATTGGGCTGTTAGTGTGAAGCGACAGCAGCTCTCCTCAGTGCACACACTTCCCATGCATTTGGTGATAACAGAAAGAAACTGCGGCTCATCAAATCTCCCTCCATAAATCATGTCGGAGGAGAAATCGCTGATTCCTGCTTTTTGCAGGTTTGTTTACAACTTAAGTATAAGGATTATTGTGCTAAAAATAGGCCAGATTTACAGTATGACGTTTTTATAATGCTAAATAAAGACAACAGAAGCAAGACACTGTGAGAAACCGGCAAACAAAAGCTAGCTCTTGTTAAACACCCCTTAATGTGACTTCTACTTAAGCTTCAAATCAGGGTTTGGTGTATAATGTTACCATCATTTCATAACTAAGACCATTTTATAAAAAAGGAGTAGAACATTAAATAGACTGAGAGGGATTGGCATTATATGTTGAACACACTTCAACTAGTTCCAAAAGATGGAAGGAATTCGCATGAAAAATGATAATTACACAATACATTAAAGTGTCCCTATTATGCTAACTTTCATGTTCATATTTGTATTTTGTGCCTCTGCTGTGGCATGTTTCCATGCTTCCAAAAGGTCTTTATTTGTACCTTTCTAGCGTCTTGTTTCTATCCTCTCGTCCCTTCTCGTCTTCTTTTTTGGGTGTTATGAGTGTGGGGTCCAGTCCGAAGGTCTCCTGCAGTCGGGCGTAGAGGTCGGTGCGATTGTAGACATGGAACTCGAAGCCGTTAACGGTCACGTAAAGCCGGGTCTCTGCCTTGGGGTCTGGAGAAAAGAAATAAGAAAGCAATCTTGTGATGACGTTTCCTTTCATGCTATGCTCTAGCTAGTTCATTTTGGGTGGGGAGTCCAGAATTATGCTTCATTCAACAATATCATCATTACACATGATGAAGGCATTTTCTTTTTATAAATCTAAGGACAGCTTATGTAGTCTTAGAGAATTTTTGTTTTGGTTTTAATAATATTTTTATGCACACATATTTTATTTCTCTAGGTTTTGGTTTTGCCAAGAAATAGAGTACATCATCCATCAACCCTAGAAACTGTAAAAGCAGAAATAATCATTTGAATGTATTTATATAAAATATTGTATTACCATGCTGTTTCTGCTTTGGGTTAAACATTTTCCACCACCGAAATATGAGGAAGCCATCCTGTATCCTGTAACACGGGGAGAGAAATATCAAATGTCAGTGAACAACCTTTAAAATGATATTGGAGCAGAGGAGCGGGGACAGTGAACGCAGCACAGGTTACCTGATGGACATGTCCTGGTTGATGTAGTACACGTCTCTGAACATGACTTTCCCCGACAGCACGGAGAAGGAGAAGGAGCCTGTGGAGGAACAAACCCATGTGTTACATCACAAAACAAAGACTGGCAGTGTAATAATTCCATTTCATTTATTGTGATAATATTGTAGTTCAATGTGTACATTTCACTTACTTTTGTGTATGGTTTGTATTAATCAGGGGTTTCTCTAAACCGGGTAACAGGGGCGCCAAAATATATTGGACATTCCTAATTTAACTTGTTGTTTTTATTCAAATATTTTCATTTCTTTTTCAATTACTTATTTTATTTCATTCTTAAATGGAGCAACTGTCACAGAACGAAATTTCCCCCGGGATAAATAAAGTATTCTGATGTGACAACAGTACAGTGAATGTTCGGATTGGATCACAGTGGTGCCAACAAAGCAGCCAATTAAAATGTTAAACAAAAGATATAATTAGTCGGTTGTGCAAGCGCTGCTAAACAAAATATATAAACAGTGGAGAAGTTGCTGGGATATTTAATCACCTTGTCTAGCTTTCTTGCTGAGAAAAAAAAGGATCTTAATGAGGATCTAATTGTTCAACAAAGTAGGTCAGAGTCTGTCACCAAGCAGGAAAAATGAGCAACACAATTTCTCATCATTAATATTAATTTGGCTCATAACATGTCTTTCTCTGTTTCAATTAGTGCAGGCCAAGAGAGAGACATCACCTGAGTGTTGAATCGCCCAGCTGACATCTTGCTGCTATTTCGGACTTTTCCTACTCTGACTGGATTTGTAACTCAGGGGCCCGATCCCAAACTGACCCCTACACCTTCCCACTCTATGATAGATAAGATGAGATGGAACTTTATTTATCCCCGTGGAAAAATGCAGGCGTTTATAGCTGCAACAGGATCAGAGTGAAAAACAGGATTCACACAAGGTCAAACATAAAAATAAAAATAATACAAAAATAAAGTGAACTCCATATATAGTCCTTCTAAGCTAATTGAGGCTCTTCTTCTAAGGTGGAGGGTGTAAATACAGCAGCAAGACCCACTCTCGTCAGAAACAGGAATTCTCGTAAGATTTCGTTTCATTTTCAAAATGGCCGACTTCTTGTTGGGTTTACAGTCCAATAGATATTTAACCCTAACCCCAATTTATTCCCTCCAATCTTCCTACATGCACGAAAATCCTACATATAGGTGCTTCGTTCTAGGTGGCGCTGTTGGGCCATTACACCGTACCAAAAAAGGACGAGCATATTTTTAGAAAATGTTCAGGTACAGAAAACATGAGCTCTGGGATTATTTTTTAAAACTCTACTCGTTATTAAATCTGATGTTTCTGAGCTCCTTGGTTTTGCAACAGTCCCTGTGAATATAAAGCTTTACAATCAAATCCCTCCCAAGCACCCTGGAAGTTAACTGGGATCTGAAGTCAATGTTGTAGTGGCTAAACGGTGGTACTACAACTTCCATGTCAGATCGTGTTGTAATTGGGCCCAAAAATACTTTTCTGATTGACTTACATTGGGGTAAAGATGTCTGTAAATCAGCAGAACTTTCTTTTGCTTTTCACATAAATCAACATGCTAGAACAAACAATTGAATATACCTCGTTCGAATCAGTAGGTCCTACAAGTCAACTGTGCTAACAGTGGAATAGAGTTATTTTCCCTCCATTTATTTGACTGAGTCAATACCGGTAGAAACACAGCAGACAGGAGGCGGGGCTTAAGGAAACGCTGGAAGATCCAGGTCTTTTGTTCTAAAGAATCAGGGGCCTCATTTATAAATGAGGCCCCAGGCCTTTTTGGCTGAGCAACTTTTAAAGGAGTGAACGGGGTCCCGCCTCTAACCCGAACACAGGAATTTACTCAACCCCCGGCAATGACAGGAAGCACCTTGGGGCATGTTCAAACCTGCTTAACACATTTTTTGTTTTAGTTCATGAGGTTAATTTCAAATGGTGTTGTGTGTTAGGAAGGTTTTGCTCTTCTTGTGTGTTGAAAAAGCCACTCCTAGTCAGAGAAGCAATCTAAATTAAAAATAGATTAGCTGGCACACAGATGACTGCTCACTTTGTAGTGACACATGTTGGCAAAAATCTGGTAACCAAGCCATGCCCCCTTCATTACATTTTAATGCTGCTTTGCTTATCGTTCTTCCACACACTCTGATGGGAATTGGTCAAATAAACATTTTTATTACAAAACGTAGGCATCTCTTTGACATGCAATTGCTTTTTTTGGAGGGTAACATTAAGGGTTGCATTTCAGAGTAGATTATTTTACTATTTTTTTGTAAAAAAGTGATGTTTCATAGGAGAATTTAATCAACTGCGAGAAATAAACCAACTTGGATTCATGGGCTTGAGGTTCTGGGTCATTTATATAAAAATAACTAAATCTGGTATCAGTTACAGTTTGCTTTTCAGACAATATGCAGATGATCACTGAGAGAACCCTGCTCATCATCAAATATTCAGCACCCCCCCTCCCTATTCATCGCAGCGCTCCTAATGAACTCACCGATATGAATGTAGCCATCCTTGTAGAGTCTGTTGATGATCAGGGTGAGGATGAGGCCAATGTTGCGGGAGTTGTAATAAGTTAAGTAGATGATCCATCCACAGGACAGAATGGTGGCTGAGAGACACAAATACAACACAGTCAGGTGTGTTAATACAGAATAACACAAATACTTAAAGCTACATTTTTACTTTTTATGTTGTCGGCTGCTTGGACTTCAATTTAATCGATGTTTGAAACCCAACTGTAAAATATTATTTTCAAATATGATCGCTAAAGCTGGTTTAGTTTTTTGTCAAACAAGGGCTCAGAATAAAAGCGAATGTTATCGCAATATGGACTTCTGCAATATTCAAATCGAATAAAGCTTCATATTTGGTAGATTATGTATTATCAAAATATTTGCAGTACTTATCGTTTTCAAATCATGTAGACTTACGTCAAACTGTTTAATTATACATGTGAATGACATTTTGGATGAGAAGTCAACAAACCGTGATTGGTCCATTGAATACAATGTGCCAGATGCTACTTGATAAAGATCCATTAGCAAGGAGAAAGGACTGCAGCATTACAAATTCCATCCAAAAATGTATTATAATATTTTATTTTTGAAGAACTGAGCATTGGAGGGATGTTATTTTGTCGGCCGACCCAGAAGTTTAGTCTCCCTTTACAAAAAGCCGATGGGATTTTTCCATTGGATTTTGTAATGTTGCAGAAAATAAGATCTATGACAACACTTATGTGATTCTTACACATTTTGTTCAGCAGGATAATCTACAGATATTAACACCACTTTTATGATTTTTGAAGCATTAACGCATTCAGCAGAGGTTAAAAGTTAATATTAAGTTATACGTTTTAATCACACATAGAAGCTTCAAACCTTCACCAGCTGGTTATTTATTGACACATCTTATGTCGTAGAACAAAACATGAACATCTCTTAAACTTGTGTTTAACACACATCGTATTTCAGCCCTTTAAAAAAAAAAAACTTTCCCAAAAAACGAGGAAAGAAGTGGTAAAATGCTTATTCTTTGGAGTTTGAGGACTCTTTCCCGCACCACTCTGTATAGCAATGCACAAATACATGTGTGGGTTATACTGCTGCACCTAAGCTTTTTCATATTGGATTTCATGCATGAAGATGTTGCACAGAGAAAAAAGGAGCTGCTTAATATCTGAATTCTACCGAGAGCTGAGCATGAATGGCACACTATCATTTGTCACACTCACACTTTCATTGAATTAAATCTCAATTCAACAATAACAGAGTCGGATGGATTCATTCATTCAAAGCCAATATTAATTAAAATCTTTCATAAAAATTAGATTTTCAAAACACATTAGGAAATATCCGAGGCTTTTATAATACTTTATTCTGTGCGGCTTAAAGCGAATCATTTCTTATGCCACCGCATTACGGAATGGTCCAACTCATTTGCCAAATGAGCCGATTATATAATGAATATTGAATGATATCTTTATCAATAAGTACTAAACTCTAAAAAGGTAATTATGTCTTTGTAGAAAACACTCATATATCATGGACTTAGTTCACCATCAGCAGCCAAACCCTCTTCATTTGCAATTCAACATTAACATGTTATTATTACTAATAAACCACTGCTGTATAAACTGCTATAATACAATTATTATGTTATATCAATTATATCTATTGCAGAACAATGTCCACATTTTATTCAGCTTTATTTGATCTTTTATTGGACATTCTACTACTTCTTATTTCTATAAAATATTTTATTTATTTTTGCTGGTCATGTTCAGTAAGTTTTTTTCCTTTTTCTTTTTTACTGCAAATTCTAACTTTAACTTCCCATGTTTATTTTATTTAACTTTTATTTATTTCACTCTGAAATGGAGCAGAGGTGACAAAACACAGTTGAATTGAGTATTTTGATTCTAGTATAAAGGAGGGGGACTGAAATATTATTATTATTATTATTATATTTGTACCAAAGAGGATACCAGGTTACCAAAACGTATCAGACATTTATGGTGTCAAAAATAAGGTATTTTCATTGTAGTTACCGTGTTCCACAGCAGTTTAGACAAAAGAAAGTGATTGCACATCTTGTAGGAAATGGCTAAGCCACTAAAAGGCAACTTGATCCGGTTCTGACAGGTCTGCACTTTAAATGTGACACTGAACTTCTGAAACACCCATTGATGTTAACATATTCCCACGCTGTAGAGCACTCACCGACGAGGAGCCAGATGAAGTTGGAGTTGTGCTTGGTGAGAAAGTCATCCAGGTCCACGAGGCTGGGGAAAGTGCTTTCATTGTTTTTGGCCACATGCCCATCCATGGCTACAGGCTGTCCGTGTGATACCTAAAACTAAACACAGAAACATATGGATGACTCCCATGGCACAGCAACAGGGAAAGAGGGCATTAGCACCGTAGCAATGAAAGCCAAAAAGACACAGGTTGATCATAAATTGGAGCCTATTATCTTTACTAAAACTGTGGAAGATAGGCTTGTAAAGCAAACAGATAAAATGTATAATGCACAAATGTGTTAACATATAACAACATTTAAAATTATTGAATTATAAAATGGGCTTATACAGATCATTCAAAAATCTATTATTTTTGAAAATGATAGATTTTCTAAATGAACATGATTTACAAAAACAAAGGCTATTCTAATTATATCATATTATATCATAGGATATTCAATCATAAATTAAATTAAAACGTATAAAACATTCAAATAAACACAAATAATTTATATTTGAACCAAATGGACCAATCCGTGGAGCCGTTACGTTACGTCCGCGGAGCCGTTAGGTTAAGGTTAATCGGATTGGTCAATTTGGACCAATCCGTGGACTTCCTCACACACACACACACACTCAATCTTTTCTCAGCTGCAGCTCCGCTGATTTCTCCTCCCTGAGATGGCACGCGGCGAGGCTGTGAGTCTGTATGTGAGCACACACACAAACTCCCAGCCAGGCTGCGGGTGTGTGTGTGAGTTCGGGCTGGGTTTCGCTGTGTCTCGCAGACGGCCACTGGGCTCATAGGGAGGGGGGGGAAGGAGCTCCAACAAGCCGTGTAGGACAAAGAGTGAATACACATACTATACAGAGATGCTGTATGAGAAACCAATGTGAGTTTGGAAAATTGCACAATATAAATCTATTCTAGTAGACCTCAACAATGGAATTATGATCAGTAGAAATGGCCATGACATGGGACCTTTAAGTAATTCAAGTTAAATAGGAAAATAAAATGGGTTGCCAAAATATAATGACAACAGACTTAGTTCAACTATTTTTGTATTCAAATATATATAGAGCACAACGATCATGTTTACATGATGAGGCTGAGGTTTATGCAAACACTGTTCAATATGTAACTACGTTCATAAAGATTGGGTGGATCTGTTTTCCAAATGGTAATTGTCTAAGGGAGAAATAGTCAAAGATGATTTAGATCAGCGGTTTTCAAAGTGTGAGGCGGGCCTCCCCGGGGGGGAGCCAGAGAGCTTCAGGGGAGGCGCAGCGTGAGAAAAAAATAACGAGAAACATTGAAATCTAGCTAGTTAACTTCAGCTAACTTTATGCGAGTGGCAACATGGATAGATTTTTAGTGAAGTTACCTAAAGTGAAAGAGGAGACAGCGTCTGGCAGAAAACGTCAGCTTTGTTTTGAAAGAAAAGTTGTGGCTCATCGGACATTTATGAGAGCAAAATCCCTAATGTCCGAGTGCAAGTGAATGCAGCACAAGACGCGAGCCTTGTAACCCCTCCCCCGGCCCTGGCGCGAGCGAGGAAATGTGATTGGCGGCGATTTCATTTGAACGGGACGGCGCATTCGGACTCAAGTAGACGGAAGGAATGAGGTATTTGCGGTCTACAATGACAGAAAAGAGACTGTCAAGTTTGGCTGTACTCAGCATTGAATCAAAACGCACTAAAGCTTTAGATCTTAATAAGTTTGTGAGGCGTTTTGCTGAACAAAATGGTAATCGCCGCATTCAGCTGTTATAGGCATGCCAACTTGATGCTCTGCTCACGGATGACTCGATGAGCATAACAAACTGTTAAGATGATGACCTTACGTGTGTAAATATATTTTTTTCTTTGTGGGGGTCTGCCCCCAAAAAACAGTTTTAAGTCCTGAGAAAGTCAAATAAGACGGTGTGTAAAAACTACACTGCCCAGCCAAAAAAAAGTAACCACTTTGATTCAACTAGGCCAGTAGGTAAGGACTTTCCACTGGATAATAATACCCCTGCATTATAGCAACAACAACAATAATAATAGTAATAATAGCAATAATAATTGGGAGAGGGGGCGCGGCTGTTCTTATGTTCTCTGAGGGGAGGCTCACCTTCCCACACTTTGAAAACCCCTGATTTAGATGATGAGTTATAGGCTAAACATACGCTCATTTCTTCAAAACCTTTAGCAAACACTGTCAAACGGTTTCAAAGGGGCCCTCTACTGTATTGTGTTCTATAGGTTTTAGTGCAGGTCAATGGTCTGCAAAGCCCCTGAAACTCCTCCATTGGACTTTCTTCTGTAACATAGTGACATCACTATGTAACACTCAGGCTTCTATTGGCTAGGACTCCAACACATTGTACATGATAGGCTACGGGGCGGGACATCTCTAAGCGGTTGAACAATCACAACAGAGCCAGCCAGCTAACCAGTCAGAGCAGACTGGGCTCTGGTTTCAGACAGAGGGTGAAAAGAGGTGCTGCAGCACAGGCAGTATGAGGAAAATAAAGAGCTTTCTGAACATTAAAGCATGGAGACATGTCACAGTAGAGACACTACATACTAATATGAACCTCAAAATGAGCATAACACGGCCTCTTTTAAAAAGTGTAAAGGAATTTAAGCATATCTAAATTCTTTAAAACATTTGTAAAGTACCGTCGCTGTTTAAGAGCTAGGAAAAGCTTTTAAAAGAGAAGGCTTGCTATGCGACATGTGATGATAATAAGCTATATGTGCTCCTACTTTACATGTCAAGAGGACAATGTTGGTTTTTGTGATATGGACTTCTACAGGGAGGATTATTAGGATATAAGTGTGGGTAGGGGGCTGGTGGAGGAAGTGTGTGAGTGGGATCACATTCACCCCGTGCTTAGGATTCAAAAGCTTGAATACTGTTACGCACACAAGCAAAGTCAGACAAACACAAATCCTCATCTAATCCACAAATCACGTTGGCTGTAAAACCACTGAGATGTCACCAAACCCGCTAATCTCTTTTACACAAAGCACTCTTTTTGGACAAATATTTGTAAAAGACAAAAACATGTGATGAATTGTAAAATGTGACGTTGTTTAATTGAACAGAAGATGACTATATATTGTTGACATCAGCTACCTGCCTTAAGATGCTAATCCAGTCTAGCTGTTGGGTTTGTTTACCGTGCTAAATAAGGCAAAAGCTTTATTTAAAAGGCATATACGTCATTTTCTACCACTAGGGATCCCTCAATCGAAAGCATTAATATCATTAATAGCATAAATTAGCATTAATATGTTATTAATATTAAAACACTACCATGTATTGTATAGTTCAATGTGCACAACAGAAGGATACAAACCACTAAAGACACTTAATAAAGAAGTTTCACAGACGGAGAAGATGCAACCTCTAACGTCTACTCAGCTTCTTTCTCTAAAAACTCAACACTCAGACATTTGATGAGTTAAAAACCTGCATGCAGTTCAAATAGACCGTGCATAGTTCAAAAACAAGCATGAACTTCTGCCAGGAAGCAAAAACACACAATGTTTCGGGGGCAAATGAAATAAACTTTTGACGCTTTGAATAAAAGAATCCCACATTTCTCTAGGTCTACAGCAGGGGGGTCAAACTCAATTTCATCACGGGCCACATTCGCATTATGGTTGCATTCAAAGGGCCGGTTGTAACTTGAAGACTATATAAAAATACATATATAAATATTTAATATATATAAAATAATGTATTATATTACATCATTGCCTCTGCATTGGATTATTATCGGATAGGGTAATAACTTCATAATTAACTCGGTCTGAAAGCAGAAGTCTAGGGCAAATAATTGCAAGTCTCTTCAGTGAGAATGTCACAAAATGATTTTTTTTTTAAAAAGCTAAATAAAAAAAAAGTGACATTTTGAAAAAAAAGTCAATTCTGAGAAAAGGGCAAATTCTGAGAAAAAAGGCATATTTAGAAGAAAAGAAAGTCTAATTTGAGATGCATTGTGCTCCATGTATGGGCAACGTGCTTCTGTAAATCGCCATGTAACCGTATAACAAACATATTATATTCTTTGCAAGCTCTTGTGGGGCCACATCAAATGAAGTCGCGGGCCGCATTTGGCCCCCGGGCCTTGAGTTTGACACCCCTGGTCTACAATCTTTGGGGGAAATATTCACACAACTTGACTAAATATATCGGTTGTTTTAAGACATTTCATTGAAAGAAATGTAACATATTATATCTTTACAAGAACTAAAAAAGTGTTTGTTATGAGTTGCACATATATTCCTGTAAGGCAGGTTTACACTTTGAATAACACCCTCCTACATAAGTGATGAGGTATGAGCACAGAGTGTGCTGCCATCTCAGAAAGATCAGCGCTGTGAGTGAGTCATCACAGGTACCTGTAACCTGAGAGTTTTCACTTTGGGTTTATAGGAGATGACTTGAGTACAGCCAGGAGGGGAATTCTCTCAGCTAAAGCAACAACCTACCAACTTGTTCATGGCTACAACAGCAGTTTCACATGTTATCGACTCTCCTAACAAATATAAGACATAACAGACCAAACACTGCACCAACAAGAAACCTAAAGAAGGACCATTTTGAGGAAGTACTTGTAAATAATTGTTATAGACATCTAATATCATTGCAGGGTCACTGTTGTGGTTCTTAACTGAATAAAGAATCATACATTTTCTAGGGAATCTGGCATCAACACACTAACAATCAAACCATGTAGTGATGTTTACACATGTTTACATGTTTCAAAACAACACAGTATAACTAAATGGATGCACTAGTCCAGGGGTTTACCATCAATATAGCAATTTTACGCCCTCTTCCACCAAATAAAATATGTCCAGAGCAACAAAGCATATTTGACAGCACTGCTTATAAAGGTTTATATATAGTTAAACTATAAATATAAAAAACTAGAGTTAAAAGTATGGAACGATAATAAAATAATTGCTGACGTGTTATAAGTATTTGTACCTCTTATACCAAAGGAAAACAGCAAACTCCTAATATAATATATAGCTGCAGTCTAATAGCTTCAAAAGAGTGAACATACTATTGACTAGTTTGTGGCATATCTGCCTAGCCTGTTGGACACTCCTCACGCGAACAACTGCATTAAACAATATGGCCTTTAACTTCAATCTGACCTCTTTTTTCAGCATAATGCATGCTTTGTTAAATGTGACCCGAGAGACCTTTAGGAATGACCACAGAAGCTTATTCTGCATACAAAGCATCACTATTACACAGCAGCAGATTAGCATAATTCAACATTGTTTTATTAAACTAACATGCAGTGCTGTTTGAGTGTTGCTGATTAACGATGAAACAAGAACACATTAAATATGACAATAGAAAAGACAACAGTAACTTATGGTGGGTACTTGTTTGTCTTTTGGTTTTGTTTACATGGTAGAGCTGTCATAGCTAAGGGTTTTTCAATCAGGAAATAACGCTCTGTTTAGCTAAAGTTCAACAAGACTGTTCGTGACTTAATTACCAATTCACTTGACTTCAGATGTAGCCTGAGCCACCTTACACAAACCATACACCTAGCTAGCTAATCCCACATATTTCCTGAGCATTATCCTCAGCACTAGCAACACACACGAACTGTTGCCTAACTTGTAACATGTATTTGCGTTTGTATCGTTTATACAAGAGGCTGCTAACCCGGTAAGTGCAGCCGAAAAGACTGTTGACCAATGACGTTTATTTTATGGATAATGCAGTTATTATGCTAACAGTTATATATCATAACGTTAGCACTGAGGTTAGCTAGCAAGCTAATGACAGCAGGCCGCACCCTATAACTTCTCCTTTTTGAAATTGTGAAAAACAAGTCACTTGGTTAAAGTAACATACCTTAATGTCCTTGGTAAAGCATGTGGTTTCATCTTTGCTCCAGTTATTCAGGAGTTGTCGTCCCTTTGTCGTGTCAGACATGGGCATAGCTAGCATCCTCTGTTGAATATTTACCTGGCAGGCGGCCAGTTAACATCTCTTCCGGTTCTGTCGAGAGCGCTCACATAATTGACCAATAGGGAAAATGACAAGTCAGAGACTGACCAATTAGAGGAAAGCATGAGCGAGGCACCGGCGCACAGTTGACAGACAGTGTTGTCTGCCTATCAACGTGAATGTTTTTATAGTAGTGGGATTTGAGCAGTGCTGTTTTGATGGTGCATTGGAACGATGATGTCCCCATCAGGATCAACAGAATAAATCAATGATTTGTTTGTATTTTTTAAACAGTAAAAACAGAACAATAAGGGTGGTATGTCAACCTATTATTATCAGTTTTCGAAGTTATAAAGCAAAGAGAGTACCATTATAATTGTAAGAATTATTTAAGGTTGTTGTAGAAATCGGGTTTATAGGCTAAATTCAGGTATATGGACAGAAGTGGTCAACCGTCCGTCAGGGCCTTCAGGGTATTCAGAGAATACCCTGAAACACTCGGATAAAACAAACAAAAAATCGAATTAATTATATAAATACAATTTAATAAAATGTAAATAAAATTAATACATGATAATCTTATCTGTGCGGTTGATCTGTAATATTACAGTGTTACGTTGATTTGTTTGTCTTTCTCGGTCCATGCACTACGCATTTGAGTGGTTTTGTGTTAGAAAAAAAATGCAACCAATCAGATATTTTTCTGGGTCTCTGGGTAGAATATCCTTCAACCAAGGTATTCTATAGCCTTGATAGAATGCCCTGGGGCCTCATTTATAAACGGTGCGTACGCTCAAAAGATGGCGTACGCCAGTTTCTACGCAATGTTTGCGATTAATTAAAAAAAAACTTGACGGGAAAATGTGCGGTCCTCCACGCAAACTCTGACCCATGCGTATTGCGTACGCACTACGCACAAAAACGGGAGAGACGAGAAACTGCACTGTTGGCAGAAGGAAGAATGGAGAGAAATAGGCCTATGTGGAAATAATACCATAAATAAAATGTTACCTCTCATTTATCATATGAAGAATTAAAGCCATTCTTAAAATGATTTAACAAACGCCTGTTTGAGACTCCTCAGTGTACACAAAAACATAACTTGGAGAAATAAATAAATACGGAAATGTTATTGATCACCCCTCGATTATGTTCTCTTGTTAAGAAATCTATTCTCATAAATGATGTGGTAAACAGAAGGACAGTCTTACTTTAAACTGACGCCGTTTTGCATTTATAAAGGTTGTATAGATAGCATGGTTTATAGCCTATCATGTTTAATCATGTTTTATGCCGTTCGCCAATACTTGATAAGTCGCTCGTAAAACACAGGAGGTATGGAAACTAAGAACACCATATGTGGTAAATTGTACAGCTAATATAACACAACACATTAGTTTTATTTCCTTTAACTGGTGGATTATGGATAATAGGTTGCTGCCGGGGGGGGGGGGGGGGGGGTTGAGATGCACAGGCTGCAGTGGAGACGCTGCGCACAGATTGACAGCTGGAACACAAACCACCAAATACAAAAAAATAATTCAGATCCAGTCGTCATGACTCCACTCCGGAGGGATTCCCCGATCATTTCTTACAGTTTATTATAAAGGGGGTGTCTCCTGTCCCCGGTACAAACCCACTGACACACTGCCTGAGGAAGGTTAGGCTATGTGTATTTTTTTTGTCATTAACCTTTTTCGGACCACATCGGACAATATGATTTATCTCGACCTCCCCAAAATAACCAAAATCTGACACGGAATTAAGGCTTCTCGATTCTCTAATTTCCCCTCCTCGACTCCTATCCTCGTGTCTTAGTCCCGCCCACAGGAGATGCGAGCGGAGGAGTCGAGGAGGGGAACCGAGGAGAGAGGAGGGGAAGCAGCAGGCGGTTAGAGAAATTAGAAATCCTCTCCTCTGAGCGGTAATTTTAAAGAGACGTCCATTAATGATGACAGGAGGCACAGCAGCCCTCTGTCTGATGGACAGATGTGTTCATGATGACTTATATATTTACTTTGAATTCATTCACAGTGCGGTATAATGAGACAATAACAGGCTACAGATGCGGACATGTAGGCCTATATAAATATATACACTTTCAGAATCAAACAAGTATGAGAGCACTCTCATAATAACGTATAGGGCTAATCAGAGACTGGATATATCATCCACGGAGGAGCCGTGGAGGAGCGATAACGGAGGAGCGATCATCGAAACTACCCCAGTGGCCTTATTTGTGCCGGAGGAGCGAGGAGCGAGGAGCGAGGAGCGATAACGGAGGAGCGATAATCGAGGAACTACCAGACCATCCTCCTGTGAAATCCTCAGACACTGGCCCCGCCCCCTTACTGTGTATCGCTCACTGATTGGACGATGCAGCGCATGCACTGATCTGTTGCTTCTTGACATGAGAGCAGTTTCAGCGGAGTGAAGAAAACACATGAACCTCACGGGAGTCATTCCAGTCCTGATGGACTCGGCTGACGTGGCCCCCAGTGGAATTGGCTCTTCATCCAGTGGAGCTGGGGCCGCTCCTTGTGGCCAGGCAATTGAGGAAGAGGAGGATCCTGGGCAGCCTGGCACAAGTAGCAGCACCACTACACTGGATGAAGAGCCATCCACCTCTCTCAGTCCCCCGCCTGCCAAGAAGAACAGGGCAAGTAGGGGGGCCCTCCTAGAATTTCTAAAAGAGGAGGCCAAACGAGAGCAGGAGCGTTTTGAGGCCACTCAGGCTCACACCAAAAGGTTTTTAGATTTATTTGAGCAATTTATAAATAAATTATTTTCTTTCTAAGTGTTTGCAACGTTTTTATTGTTCCATTTTCATACACTTTGTCAAAACAGTTCATTTATTTGTTAAATTAAAAACATGTTGTCACAATAAACAGCGAATGAAGGCACACAGCTTTTCACACAGTGTGGTGCCCAAGGCCTTCGTGTCCCCAAGTCCTACAAATAGTCATGTTCTTGCAGTTCGACTGGGTGCACACGTGGAGCAGAGAGCAGCCCTGCCAGTTGGTCTCGCTGGCCATGTCTGCCTCGATCCCCCCTCACCTGACGTGGTGGAACCACACCAATGTCCCCAACATCCTCTGCAGGCTCCAGGATGTCCCCCGCTGTGAGGCAGATGTTGTGCAGCACTGCACAGGCGGTGATGAGTGAGGGGACAAAGGTGTGGTGGACCTCCAGAGCCTTGAAGAACAGCGATCTCCACCTAGTTTTCATCATGCCAAAGGCCCGCTCTATGATGGAGCGAGCCCTGGCATGATGCTGGTTGAAGCGGCTCTGCACCCCCCCTTGCAGTGGTTCTCTATATGGGGTGAGGATGGCCACAGGTCCTTCTATGCAGGGGTAGCCACCATCAGCCACAAGGAAGAATCCTAAAAAGAGAGAGAAAATCTTTAGTATATTAACAGTCATTGATGGATTTTGATGTATTAAAGTATTAAAGTTTGAGAAACCGGCTCGAGATACACTTTTTGTTAAATTCCATGGAATGCTCTTAACATCCCGATAGCAATGAATATCTTAAGTGCTTTGACAAAAAATCCATAACAAAATGTCATCTGTGGAAGCCGTAATACTGTAAAAAGTACGACCAATCATTTTAGCCGGCCCGGCTAAAATAACTGGATGGCCTACCTGCCTGTCAGTCTTCCATCTGTGCACAAACTTATCTCGTGCCCTCATTGGTCATGTGCGCGTTTGTGTGTGTTGGAGGAGGGGCTCTGTAAGGAAGTGGCAGTTTGATGACCTCCTGGCGAAGGGCTGCAATATTTTGTACTCCAGTGTGCACCAGTCTGCAGACGGTAGACCTGGGGACATCAAAGGCCCGGGACACCACATGGTACGACAAGCTGTGTGCCAACCAATACATTGTCATTAAAATATTGACCTCATGTGACCAGCCTTGTGTGCTCTTTGATGGCAGGATCCTCAATAGGGCCTCCAGCGCATGGCGCCCCAGTCTGTAGTCCTGCATGAGGTCCTTCTGGCCATCAAAGAACACAGCAAGGACTGGCACATGAGGATTCAAATGGCTTGGATGGGATCGACCTCCATCTGCAAAATAAAGATATCTGTTACCTTCAGCACCTAGCTTTTACTAAACTCCGACAATTAATTGATCTTACATTAAATTGCTGTTGTTGGTGAAACCATTCATACTGCACCAGACTAATGTGATGCTTACCTCCATGAAACAAATAGCCTGTTGTAATCGTGCCCGACGGCGCCTGGACTGCTCCTGCAAGAGCAGTAATACATACTATGGCATCCTTAGACATCTTGTCTTTGGAAAGGTTGAACCTCTTTCTATCCGAAACTTATATAGGCCTGGTACCTTCTTCCTAAATGACCTTCATGGGTTTCAGCTGGTAGTTTGTCACTGACCTGATTAGCTTTTAATTCAGCTGCAAACCGCAGTCATTAAGTACTATTTAAAATGTTAATTTTCTACATATCCACACAAACAAACAAAGTGTGCAATCCAATGAATGTTAATCTAACTGGGTTTTGATAGATAACATATCTCTTTTTCTTCTCTGAATTATTTTATTTCTATTGTGCACTCTAATCAATATTAATCAAACTATTGTTCGTTTATACATTTTAAGAATGGCGTTTATCTTTTTTGAGAATGAGTTCTTATTTTATTTAATGTATTTGGGTCTACAACAGATGATACAAATGTTTGTGTCAGTAAATGTGTATTAACAGAGGCGGGGGTGTTTGTGAAAATAACGGGGACAGAGCTGCTGTCAGACGAACAGCTGTGCGGCGTCATCACAAACGGAGGTCGCTTCACGTGACGCTCCGGAGGAAAGGACGTCCCATTGCTCTTAAAACTCATTTCCCTGCTTCTCGTGGTTTCCTTGCGTCTCTCCGTGCTTCCCTGGTGGGAGGGACTAAACGCAGGGAAACGACGCAAGTGAGGGACGCAAGGATTTAATTTAACCGAAGTGAGACGCACCCTGAATGAGAGCGTACGTTTGGATTGACAGTTTGATCAACTAATCATATATTGATTTGTAGCCAATGGGCGTATTCTTTCAGAGTTTCCCACGGTTCCAGGGTAGGCCTACTCTAGATTCTAGAAGACCCGTTAGTTCACTGGCTCGAGACAGAGGATCCAGTGTAAGACCCGCATTTTTGAATCCGGGGGGGTTGTCTACAGAAGGTCCAGTTGTGATAGACACGGTTCGCCACTGATGGACAGTAATAAAAGTATAAATACACTTTAACTTGATACTGTAAAGATTGTGCTTTGATTATTATGATTCATCTTCTGAGACCCATGAATGTGCAACATTTTCCCGATATTTGAGATATTTCGCAAGATTTTAGTGATAACTACCAAAGTGTGAGTAGGATTCATCCTCTAGGGACAATGAATGCATGTGCAAAACTTGATGGCAACCCATATAATAGCTGTGAGATATTTTAAACTGGACCAAAGTGAAGGATCAACAAACCAACCAAACATTGAAAATCTACAAATTCTTATCTGCTTTCATTGGATGCATTCCTAAATTCTCAAATAAGTAAATGGAGGGCTTTGAATCTCAAAGTATGACACATTTTTTCCTTGGGAGCCGAAAGGAAAGATCAATGAAAGGCCATTTGATTTGCTGTTTTATTCCTACTGTATCTTCCTGTGCTAAAAACTATTTAAAGTCAGAGGACCAGAACCAGTTGAGTTTACGACATCAACTTCTGTTTTATCTCTCTAAGAATTACCAGAACTCTAGGGTACTATTTAATGTAAGAGGCTGTTGTCATGCCCTCCTCCAGTAACAATAACAAAGACTCTCTAAAGCCCACATAGGAGTCGTTTTACGGAAAAGGTGCCAAACATCAGCCTCGGAGCTTTTCCCTGCCAACCAAGCCTTCCCCCAAAGACTTATTTTGGCAATAGTTTCCAAAGAAACCATCCTCACAAGTCATTTGTTTTCCCGTTTTGTGAATGTTATTTTAACTGTATTCCTGAAGGAAGTCTTTGATACGGTTGCTATTGATAATCTATTTGTAATTAACACCATATTACCCTCCTGCTTTAAATATGCAACAGTTCAAGGCCCTCTAGAGGACACCTTATTATAATTGTCTTGCTTGAGGCAATTATAGATGGACTGCAATCTTCAAACTGCCTTTTTTTCATCTAGCAGTTTTAGAAGCAGTTTCCTCACATGTATCATTTATGGATAACCACATATCAGGGAAACTGCAGAGAGGTTGTAAAGGACTGGACAGTTCTTCAGAGGTCTCAAAGTACTTTCCACCTCCCTGCGTGTAATACTGTCTGAACCCCAAAGACCAATGCTATTATCATGTAATTTAATGTTATGCAGAAATATCTTCAAAAGCTGATTAGCTAACTCCCAAATGGGCCCAATGGTGTGAGTCTGATTGATTGATTTGATTCATAATGGGCTCTCAGGGTTAATTTAAGCCCAATGCTGCTTTTATTGCATCTGAGAAGTCTACTTCCACCATGACTCACACAACACTTTGCCAGATCTTATAACTTAACTTCATTCGTGAACTTCTTTACATAAAGACGTCAACAACTGAAACTTTCTGCAGTTAAGGGAATAACATAAAGGACATTTGGCACACTCAGTTCCATTAACCTTGACAAGTACAGTCTTAGTTGTTGGTCAGCCAAAATTGAGCTTGCCAGAAGGAATCAGAAAGTTGTGTTTGCCTTAGAGTTGCATCAGCAGTGCGGTAAAAGTAGGGAGTTATTCTAAGAGGGTACTGCCAGAGAGGACGGTTACAGGGAGCTAGAATTCATACTGTATAATGAGTCTGTCCCTGAAGGCACATATCAGCATATTGATTATGAGTCAAATGATGAAAGGATTGCATTATCAACGGTAAAATGGCTAGTGAAAAGGAATTTAGACACAATAGTTTTCTAGCAAAAACTGATTTTAAGAACAATTTTGAGCAAAGATTCTGAACAGGTGATGCAAAGTAGGATTGGTAGGGGCTCATTGCGATGATGGGCAGGGAACATAAATGTGGATACTGCACACTGTGGTAAACGGGTTAATGATCTGAACATCTACTGGGGAACATATGATGTGAAAGATCAAAGAAAAGGCTGCGGAGAGGTATTAACCTATCCGAATATCTGAGAAAAAAAAGTCCTGTATCTCTCCAAAACCATACACAGCCTTCTCCCCAGCTGAGATGGGCTGTTACTTACTACAGATTCTGCTAAATAGTTGTATCTTCCCAAACTTGTGAAAAATTCCCCAATAACAATCGGGCTTGTAGGAAATCAACTCTGCCCTCTTCAAATACCAACAAATAGCATAAGGGGACAGAGGACAAACTCTCAATATGGTGGACCAAATTGCTATACGGCTACAAGAACCAAAACATTTGCTGGTGTGTTTTAAAACGCAGGAGCTCCAACAAGGCGTGTAGGACAGAGAGTGAATACACATACTATACAGAGATGCTGTATGAGAAAACAATGTGAGTTTGGAACATTGAACAATGTAAATATATTCTAGTATACCTCAACAATGGAGTTATGATCAGTAGAAATGGCCATGACATGGGACCTTTAATGTTGGTCTCATGTAGTCGTTCAAACGCTTTCTAACAGATAGTCTTCATAGAGTTTTAATGAATAGGGTCTGCTCAGGTGAGGTTATTGTTAAAACTGGGGCACCGAAAGGCTGCGTATTGTCACCACTTCTGTTTCCTATTTACACAAATTAGATGACCATCCAGAGCAGTATTGTCAAGCTGCTCATATATGCTGACGATATGGTTTTTTTTGTCTTCTGCTGAAAGACAATATCATTTATGAGGAAGCTTATTTCAGAAAGGTCACTGTACTTCAGGACTTGGGTCAGCAAAATCAGCAGGAAATAAACGTTGCAAAAACAACCAAAAACATATATCACAGTCAGAAACCAAGTGGGACAAGATACACCATCCCTGTCATACTAATTATCCAGGCTTTAGAAATTGCGAAATATTTTATGAACATTTATTATTCAGACACTAACTTCCATCCATCCGTCCACAATCCCTCTCCATCCATCCATCGCCCATCCAACCATCCATCAATCCATCCACCAATCCAACCATCCATCAATACATGCATCGATTAATCCCTTAATCTATCTATCTATCTATCTATCTATCCTTCAGTCCATTCATCCTTCTCCAACACCCCATACATCCATCCATCCACCACTCCAACCATCCATAAATCCATAAATCCATCATCCATCATCCGTCATCCATCCAGCCATCCATCCATGTTTATAACCACCACTGTAAAAACTATTCAGAATGTGTAATGGTTAATTTACCCAATTTTTCTCAGGATAAAAAAAGTATTCTGACTCTAAAAAAACCAATATAACTTTGCTAGTATGTTTCTCTCGACTGTAACCTTACTTTATTCTATGTGTCATTTCTAGCCAGGGAAACATATGTACTTATTCTCTTTTGCCTACAAACCCACCCACTGGTGAAAGCATTCAATTATTCAGAAGTATATTTCAATAATCCTTTATCCAAGCAATGTGGCCCTGCTCTCTAGATGTGCTTTGTGGAAAGAGAAAATGTAAACAACACAGTGGCTGTGTATAACTCTACTTGAATACATTCTATGTTTTCTCCCGGGGGAAAGTTCTTGTTTACCCAAGATCTCCAAGAAAGCATTTGCCCTAACCCTAACCCTATATTTCAGCTGCAAGGGATATCCAGTGTAATAGGAAACAACAAGGTAAACCTGAATACGGAAAGCTGGTTAAGTTAATGCCAGAGAGTGGCATTTAAGTTAATGATAGCTAACCATCATAATATGTCAACCGTGAAAAATAATATTTCCTTGTCTGGAATCGAATGTTGTCTTTTAAAAAAAGTAAACCTTTCATAGGAGCCAAATCGCCTACTTTTCATGAATTGATTCCCCCTTCAGATATATATTTCATGTTTAAGCAAACAGAAAATGCTCCGTTTGGGTTTATTACACACAGTTAAATTACTTACACTATTTTATGGCTCAGTCAGTAGGGACTCGGACTGTGAGCCGTAAGGTCGCCGGTTCAAGTCCCCGAACAGACCCACATATGGAGTGTGGACTGCTAATTGGAGAGGTCCCATCACCTCCTGGGCCCTGCTGTGGTGCCCTTGAGCAAGGCACCGGACACCTTATTTTAAGTATGAGCCTACAAAATAGTAGTTTACAGAGAAGAGATACAATCTGATCCTTTACAACAAACACTACTGTATATGCTCTTTTTGGTGTTTAACTAACATTGCAGTCCTGCTAGTAATCCTACATTTTTTTAAATGTAACAGTAATCTGATTGCGTCTTTATGTAACTGTAAGGAAATTCAGTTACCTTTTTTGTATCCTCATTACTTAATCCCGTTACACTTACATGTATTCCGTTACTCCCCAAGTCTGTCAATAAAGTAAAGTATATTTGATCGGATCTATAGCTGCATCATCAGGTCAAAAACAAACACCTGCAAAACATTCTGATCATCCTCAGTTTCAATTTCTGTTAGCTTATTCAAAAAATATGTATGCTAACATGCTAAGCTAAAACATTGAACAAAGTTAGATCATACCATCACAACATCACCAACATAAGGCTATTGGAGATTCTAGCATGGCTCTGGACTGTCACTCATGTCAGCTATAAAGCAAATAATACATCGCAATACAGATTTTACATTAATAGAGTCTTTATTGTTCATCGCTCTTTCTGCACAAGTAGACAAAAGTTCACATTTGAAACAAGATCGATAAAGTAAAAGGGAAGGAAGCAAAGAGATTATAGAAGGGAAGAGAAAATGTCTGTTATTTGATGCATTTGTGATAAACATAGTTGGACTGTCTCTGGTGCAAATGTTACACATTGAAATGATATGTAAATGTAGGGAAACTGGACAACATTATCAACTCACCATATAACAATGTCAGAAACATTTGCATTTTTGGAAGCGATACTTAAACTACATTGCTTGATTTCATTTTATGACTGTCAGCTACACACAGCTCTGCTGTTACAGTGCTTCATCTTTTTCTTTAATAAAATCCTATGATTACTCTGAACCTTTTTATGATGATTCGCACCATTCACAGTCAACACAGAGACTCACTAATTGAAAAACAAAAAAACAAAAAATCGACAGTTCAAAAGGTTATATATTACACAGGCAGTGAAGAAACTAATACGTTTTAATAAATATCATTTTAAATTAAATTGCAAATGTCCTGGTGGGCAGCCAATTTTAACGCCATATATTAATACAGACTCTCTATTAACAGAAGGCATAGAACGCATGAATAATTCATCAACTAGAGAATTATTGAAGTCCTCCCAAAACATTCAACTCACATTATGCTAACGGTCGATCAAGGTACTATATAAAAAAATAAAAAACGTACAGTGCAATGGCTCATTACAGCAGTATAGACTTTGAAGCCTTGAACTGATCAGGACACACATTTTTTTTCTTCATTCCAGCAAAGCACAAACAAATATTCAGGCGTGCATGCATTGATGTAACACATAAGAAAACAAAGACATCTGCTTTCATTAAGCGTCCGATACATAAAAGTGCCGGAGGAGGAATAAGTCAGAAGGTCATGAGAACGTCTCGCTCTTGCATGCTGGTGTAGAACGGCTTGCTGAACACGAACGAGTGCAGTCCCGCCCTCAGCTTCTCGGCGAAGGCCATTACGATGTGCAGGTCCCCCTCCACCGTCAGATCCAGGTCTGTCTTTAGGTTGCGCAGGGATCGAAACGGCTTCTTCCCTTTCTGCCTGTGAACAGAGAGGAGAGGCTTTGTTGTGTAACTGCTAACAAGCCACAGCACTCGGGGGTCAGAGGATTTGCATCTCGTTGGGCTGCAGCTGGAACGCCACGCCACCATGAATTATGTATGTCGCTGACGGCAACTGTGCATAACCAATCTTGTCGAGGCACCTGTAATATAGCATGCCCCTTGACCTCAGGCTGTTAGCAGCACCATAAACAAAGGATGCTTTTTTTCCCTTTCGCAGTTAAGGTAGTCCCCGGAGTGAGATATGTTCAGGCATTTACTCGGATTTCCATTTACTTCCGTTAGATTCTTACGTGTTGCATTAAGATTCAAAAGTCCAAAGAGTTGTGTAAATATGTGGAGATTATGCGGCTGAACAAATGTATTGCATTGCATTGGCCAAAAATTGTTATTGTTTATTTTTTGCAATATTCCAAAATCCAATGGAAAGATCCCATTGATTTTGTTGAGGAAGCCCTTTTAATAATGATGTCATCCCTGCACCACTAGACTATTAAACTATATAAATATACAATAGTAAAAAAACACAATGATGGAGAAATAATCATTCTAAATACATAGGTTGAAAATGTATACAATTAATAAAACTATATTATATTTATTATTATTATGTATTCCCATAGTGAAACACCTTACTCTGTTATCAAAGAACAAAGGTTATGTTAAGTAAACCAAAGTTTAATCCACTCTTAATCCTGTTATATTTTAAGAATGTTGCTTGTTTTTTTAATTCGTTTTTCAGAGCAAGATAGCTAAGCATTTTCTTTATAAAAATGTGACTCTTTTTAAATTAGAACAACTAGGGATTAACCGTACTAACCCTGCCGCTTGTTGGACACACAGGGAAATACCATAGGTTACGTAAATATGATCGAAATAACAAAACACTTATTTTCCAACTTCTCTTAGGGTAATAATGTCATAAAATATGAGAACAGATATTTGAGGCTTTGTTTGAAAATTGCCTAAAAACTGTGAGTGTAAAAAGAACAAAAACGACGACATTCAGTAGAGATGACGGTTGCGGTCCTTCAATCCAATATGATAAGCTGACACGAAGGTAATGCTCTGTAGATCTAGGTGATAATTCCCTCTGGGTTCATCACTACAAATGACCCCTTTCACATTACATACAGTTGTGTGATTCATTGTTAATAAAGAATATTCATTAGTGCAGCTTTAGCATTTTTAATATGGTGCCGCCAAATGAAAGTGCAGCTTCAAAATACCAAGGGACAAACACTAAGGAGCCATGGTGTGTGTCATTTTGAGTGTATAGGCCATTTGTGTGCACACAGGCTTGATTGATTTACAGATACAACAATTCAATCTCTCTCCCAGAATAACATGTACTGCCGTGTCAACCAATGTTCACTAAACATTGTTAGATTTAACTGACTTTCTACTGTAAATGGTGTAAATGTAATCAACATTACGACAAAGCGGAATGAAGAAGTGCCAGAAGCAGAAGTTACAAATATCCTGGCTTGCACGATAAAGAACCATTTGCTCAAGAGTCCTCAAATGTCTTTGGTAAACAAGAGAATAGCCAAATCATGTAGAAGTAGAAAAACAGACGGGGGAGTGACTGCTGTCCTAAAGGAGTGGGAAGGGCAGTCCACTGTCGGGGAGCACAGAAGGAGATGAGTCATGCCCAGATGGAGCGATGACCAGGGTGCCACAGGGAGGGGGGCGCGGAGCAGAATTTCAGGAAAGATTAACCCGCGGTGTCTCAGAAGAATTGTCGGGGTTAAGAAGGTGCTTACTGTAAAACTGATGGGACTGGAGTGTGACTAGAGAGACAATTATCTAGTTCTTGTACTAGGATCTGAACAAGTTTCCCAGAGAGGAGGATAATCACATGGAGGGTAAAGCTATAGTACTGGTTTAAGGTTGGGCCATCGAACAAGGGCATGGTCCATCGCGATAACAGAAACTTTACCAATGGTACTCACATGTTGCAAATACTATTGAACGTGAACACAACATGTGTCAATCCCAAAACAATTACAGTGATCGGTTTGGATAGTGTCATTGCCTATTTCTCCTGACAGAATGTTTCCAAAGGAGTGTGTTGGCTACACAAAGCGCTACTGCTACTAATTACATTTACAGTCTAGGGAAGGCATTTCTTTCTAGCGAAATAACGTTTTTCACCAGTTGTTTTGTCCAAATCTTGGATAGAACTCAAAACAAAAGTCTGCCTTATGTTATGCTCCAACGCTGCTCTGGTCTTACATTTACATACTCTATTTTACAGTCTTGTTTTCTGTATTACTTATATTTTAAGAAAAAGGATTAGCACGTGCAATTTTTGTTATTATAGAAAAAACATATATTGGGATCCCCGAATCAAATAACTACCTGACAAACGAATAAACAAATAGTAAAAAATGTGGGTCCATCCTAACTTTTGTTAAATTCAAGCCCTGAACATGGAAAAGCTCCCTGTATTCTGCAGTTTCACAAAGTTGTGGTGTCTGCCATTTTAGGCACGTTTCATCGCTGGCCCACGTAGGCTTTCAGATAAACTCGATGTATCTCTATGCCTTCCAGGAGCTCAATCTTCACGTCTTCCCATACTGCTTTGCCGCCACTACGGTCCCTCCCGTATGGTACTCAAACAACTTTATTATCAATCCTGAATTTGAACACCATGATCGTAACAGTTTGCTTAGTTAAAATTATAGAACCTTTATCGTGGTATTATAAACCCACCATTGTTGGTATCATCATCCATTGCGATATTTCCCTGTGGACATCGTCATATGCCAATCGGTCACCAAACCCTTGTTTATCCTTCAGTTAATGTTGTGTTAACTGCCTAAATGGCACGACACATTAATGCAAAGCCTGATGAGAGGCACTCATAAGCTATCGGGTCACCTTGCAACCTGCCATACAGTCTCATTTACGCGCCTCAGGAGGGGCAGAGAAGTGAGAGTCTCTTGTCAGTGATCAAATGAGGATCATAAAAACTCTGATGATGCTGATAATGATGAGGGTCTCTCAGATGTTGAGCGGTGGGGACTGGGAAGGCTATGGCATGTGCTTTGCATCACTTTCTTTCCCTGCACATTATTCACCTTGTGCTATTTGGATGGGGAAGCTGTCACTCTGGGATTATGTTGAGGATTTATCACACTGCGTAGCCAGACAACCAGCTGCCTATTCTTCTAGTTTCCCCCAGCACCAATCACCTCATACCAGTCCTGTGAGCATGACTCACCAAAGGTACTTCATGTCATTTAGGGTAACGATGAGGCTGCAACTAACGAGTAATAACATATATACATTTAGTCGATAACATTAGGATTCCAAGTCCAAAACCCATAGATATTTTAAAATGATAATGAAATAAATAAAAACTCTTGCACCAAGCCTATTTCTCAAACACATCCATTGATAGCAACTTGAAACCAATTGATATTCAGTCTAATATTATGGTTTGATTTGGTTTGAAGTGCTCTCAACTACTAAAGGTCTGAAATGACGGACATGTCTTCTTACTGTGTTTCAATCAAAGAATATAGTTTCATCAGGCAGGAAACCTTTTCTTTTTACCTCTGGTTGTGTGTGATGTTTAACAATCAGATAAAGTATGCCATAACTCCTGCGTATGAGAGCTGCTATCCTGGTGTTACAGGAAGACATAGGGCAATCATAAATATAGATTGCCTGTTGATCTTACGTTTAAATAAAAGATGTACAGTATGATGTCTATGTCTTTTCAACCTCATGCAGGGGACACGAAGTGAACAGCAGACTTTTACATTGAAGTTTACATCAAACCTTTCGGGACTGAGGATTTAGACAAAGACTGTGTTGGTGTGTGTCGGAACAGGGTGAAGGATGACTCAAGGTTTTTTTTCTCTACTGCTCTAATGCAGTGTTCTTTACACTTTTTCTTCTGCAAAAAGTAGCCTGCTATTACTGTTGTGGTTTAGAAATCTGAGGGCTTGTGTTCAGCCCGCACTAATGTTTTCCTCTTTTGTCGACTGTAAAAAAAAACATAGTAGACAAACCCTAACCCCCCCTAACCCGTGGTGACGTGTTTTTGTAGACCAGCTTGGAAGTAAGCTCCGCAAGGGCGCTCTCTACAAAAATGGTACGTTCCCATTCGATCTTTGGTTTAAGCAGAAAATAAGCTCTGTTGGAAACAATCGGTTTACTTTTATGATTTTTGAAGCGTAAATGCAATCACCAGAAACAAAAAGCTAACGTAAGGCTATCAACAAACTAGTTCACGGTCATATGGTTGCATGTCGCCAACGCTAAGCTAAAGGTGGCTAATGTTTGACGTGATGACATTTTGTGATCTCCTTTAGTTTAATGATGTAGACCAAAACAACATTTAATCTCGAAAGCTTCTGTTCACCACAGACCTAATTTAAGATATCTTACTAAAAACAGGGTCACTGTTTACTTCGATTCAAGATAATCGGAAGCGGTAAAATGGTAACTCATTTCTGTTTTTAGGAGTCATTCCTGTACTACCTCTATGTTGTTGGTTTCAGCTGGGTCCCCACACAGGATAACAATTTGACATATTTTTACTCAGAACGGGGGGACGTGTTACATCAGACCTCACAAGGCTTTTGATTTGTATCCTGTGGCTAACAGTGACTTTCAGCGCAGGGTCAGTGGCTGCAGTGCAAAGTCAAAGAACTGAATTAAAAAAATGTATTCTACAATACATCCAGGGAATTGTATTATCTCAAGATATGTGGATGGTGACATACTGTATCTTGTTGTTTTTCATTTTCGGTACAACAAATATTTAATCTGAATTAAATGATCATGTTTTAATACCACTTTTGATACTCACGGTGAGTTTTTTCAGGGTGAAAATGCTAAACAGTAGGTTTTAGGTTTAAAACAATTTTTCTCTTTATTTATTTCAATCCTAAACTCTCTTGCTTCAAATTATTTTAAAAAGGCAACAGGTTCTCAGAATATTACAGAAACCCCATATAATTGATATTTTTTAATATCCTTAGTTTTCTTTCTTACGTCTTTAATTATGTTTTAAATATTATATCTATTTTATTTTCAACCATATATTTATAATAATTTTTTATCCATAATTGCAATGTTTTATTTTCAACCATTAATAATGATTGGATGCTAAATACATTTGATAAAAAATGGTAGACAAAAAGAGCATCATCATGTATTTAGCCTTTTCTGTCTTGTCTTTCTGTGTGAGTGCGATGGTCTATTGCCAAACGACAGTCCTCTGGGTTATTTGGATGAAAGTGTTATTGGTTACAGCTCTTACGTTTCGTCCTCGATGTACTTGAGCAATGTGAGGGCCTTCCTGTGGAGCAGCAGCAGGAACTGGGCCAGATAGGTGCTCCGCAGGGACAGGCCCGGCTTCAGCATGAACACCTGGGGACGACACAGGATGTCAATTAGTAGTCCGGCCTACTGCTCGCTGTAAAAGGCTGGAATAATGCACTCCGGCTCCTTTGTGCTAACCTTGGGAGAGAAACATGTTGCTGTTGTCGTGAGACAAACTTGTAAACCCAAACTCTGGGAGCAGAGTGGTGGGAGCATCCCAATCAAGGGTTTGATACAAAGCCTGGTCAGTGTTCAATTGCACTGCACCCCAGACAAAATATCAATACAATGTTACAAATGGGTATAACATGGATGTGTGGATGTATCATTGGTGTTTCGTCGTTGTCACATGGGTGCAATATGTGGGTGTAATGTGGGTGTAAAGTGAGTAAATCGTGGGTGTTACATGGTTGTAACATGGATGGGATGTCGATGTAACATGGGTGTGACGTTTGTGTTACTTGGGTGTGACATGGATTTAACAAGGGTGTAACATGGATGAAATGTTGGTGTGACGTGGGTGTAAGATAGGTGTTATAACGTGGTTGTATCATCAGTCTAGAATGGGCGTATCATTGGCGTAACATAGATGTAATATAGGTGTATCATGGGTGTAACATATAAGTAATATGGTTGAATTATTGGTCTAATATGAGTGTAGCATAGGTGAAACTTGGGTGTATCATGGGCTGCACATTGGTGTAATATGGGCATAACGTGTACAATTTATCTTGGGAGATACAGAGTGTACATTTGAAAATTAGAAAATAGCAATTAATCACTTTTTCCATGATACACTCTCGCTCCATTGTGCTAACCTTGAGAGAGAAACATATTGCTGTTGTCATGAGGAAAAAATGGTAACCCCCACTCTGGGAGCACTTTCACAGGAACAGATGATGGGTTTGGACCCTTGGGAATACATTTGACTGTTTTTGTGTCTATGAGCTCTAGGGACTGTATCAGTGAGGTGTCATTCAAGTGTGTGTTGCTGCCTGATAAAAATCCAGGTCTGTGTTAAGAAGCACTGTACTGCAGAATAAGTAAAAATGGATCAGACACTTTTTTTGTCTTAGTGACACTGTTCTTTTTTTGCTCTTTCAGATACATACCTCTCACAGAACTCAGCAGGAATACAGAACAAAGCAATGTATATATTCCTTACAAACAGATTCATATTGGTGGTTAAAAAAAAAAGGGTATGTCTGCTATTTCATTTAAAATGTAAATAGTGCTTTTTATCCAGTGCTTTACCATTTCTCAAATTTTCACTCTAAATGATAATAATGGGAATAATAAAAGTTTGCTGAAATGTTGTATTTGATGTCATTATTTCTTTCAATATTCTGAAGGCTTTACTAATTCCTTTTTATTTCTCTCTTTATGTTGGGATTGTTTTTTATTAAATACAAAATGATATAAAAATATATAATACAATATAAATAAAAAATATTCTTACCTCGTCTATAAACGACTTCACCAAAGTGTCTTTATGCATGACGTCTTGAAATATATTCCTTGGGGAAAAATACGTATTGTGGTTAAAATATGAAATAGCATATTTTTGGGTAACAGTGTTAAAAGGTGCAAATATAACACTGTATTCAAAATGCAGAAAATGCAGTGTGTGTGTGTGTGTGTGTGTGTGGCTCACAGGTCAGGCGTGAAGGTCTCGTCGGTGTGAATGACTGTTTCGGGGGGGATGTCGTCCTCACTGTCCGTCTTCCAGAGCGCGCTGAGCTCGGAGCGCATGTAGCGCCGCTGGTTGTATGTGTGCTCGTGGCACGGCGGCATCTGCTTCACCGTGTTGATGTCCACGTCGATGTGCGTGGTGGGATACGGGGAGTAGAGCACCTGGCGGAAGGGCAGGACGAAGCTGCCCGTGGAGTCCTGGGGATAAAACATTAAAGAAGGGGGGAAACCCAGTCATTTAGCTTTCATCCAGAGCGACTTATAGACACTACAACACCGTAGACCTATGTGAGCAATTTGGGGTTAAGTATCTTTCCCAAGTATCTTGTGTGTGTGTGTGTGTGTGTGTGTGTGTGTGTGTGTGTGTGTGTGTGTGTGTGTGTGTGTGTGTGTGTGTGTGTGTGTGTGTGTGAGAGACAATGGGAGACAGGAAAGGAGAAAGGAACTAGATCAGGGGTCGGCAACCTTTTTGATATGAAGTGCCATTCTAAAAAAAAATGTTTATCAGCGTGCCGACGATCGTGAATTATCAACGGGGGGGTGGGGGGGGGGTGTTGAAGAGCTCGACGAAAACACTCGTGAAAAGTGATGTTTAAAACTCAGTTAATGGGGCTCATTCACTGGCGCTTCCACAAACAACAACCAACATAATTGTTACATTCAAATGAAGTAGCCTACATTATTCAAGTTTACATTAACTTTGGATAATAACACGGGAGAAATGAGCGGGAGCGCTCTCTTTTCCTCTCTCCCCCTCTCTCTCTCTCTCTGTCCTGACAGCCTGCCAGTATCTCAAGCAGCTCACTGATCCAGTAATGAGTGACAGTGAAGAATAAATATATTTATAACTAGTTCCAGAGGTAGATCAAATAGCTAAGTGTGTTAGGTCTAACTCTTGTGTGTTCTGCTCCGCTCACCGGTCCGTCACAGCGGGTGGAGCTGCAGGATTTCTGCTTCACACACGCTGCATACCGCTATTTTATTGTCTTTTTCGGACACCTTAAAATACTGCCAGACTGGTGAAGCGATTTTGGCGAGCTTGTTTTGCCGCACACAGAGAAAAGTGTCATGTATGTTACGTCTCGCAATCGGCCTTTTTGAGTGGGGCTGCGTTGCGTGCATGGCTTCCTTCTGCAGGTAACGGGGAGACGCGCTCTGGCGGCGGTCTCGTTCAGGATCCGAAAATAAAATTAATATTTTGTACACTTATTCCACTTATTCCTAGTGTGCCACTGGTTACGGTGCCGCGTGCCACCAACGGCACGCGTGCCAGGGGTTGCCGACCCCTGAACTAGATTATCTGAAAGATTACTTATTTTTGTTTAAACCAACAGTGTGGGGGCACCTGCCAGATACATAGTCACAGGGACTGACCATAAAACAGGAAAGGGATATAAAAGAAGGGGGAGGGTCTGGAGGGGGAGGTGTTTTGACTCTGGGCCCTAGGGTGGGGGAAAGGAAGAGGTAGATGATTCATTTGAAAGATCTGACTTGATTGTTGTGATGGTTGAAGGAAGAGACACGGGCGAGGAAGAAGCAGAAAAATAACTTGTTTGTAAAAAGGACAGCACGTCTTTTTTTCTCAAATGTATGTCAGTTTCAAGAAAGATGAGAGGTTTTATGCATGACGTGCTAAATATTAAAGTTATCAAAACTGCATTGTTTCACCGAAACAGTGTTAAAATCACAAACTTTCAATTTAGAGTTTGATTCTTTAAGAAACTCAATTCATTACAAATTAATTCATATTTTACCAAGTTGTAAAGTTTTGCATCCATTAAAGTGTAACTATAAGTATCTTTGTAGGAGAAAAAAATCCTTTAAGTTATTTCCAGAAAACTGCGTTGTTTCACCGAAACAGTGTTAAAATCAAAGTTTCAAAGTCACATTCTTAAAGAAAATCTGTTCAGAAAAAGTACTTAACTTTCTACCAGTTGTAAAGTTGTCATACATAAAACTGTATCCAAAAGTAAGAGAAAGACAACGAGAGAAAAATAGCTAAATCTGCCTAGTGTCAGTAAAAAAAAAAGTGTTAAAATCACAAACTTGCCTTTTAGAGTCACAGTCTTTAAGAAAATACATTTGTTACAAAGTAATTGACAATCTACCAGTTGTAAAATGTTCCTACATAAAAGTGTATCAAAAAAGTATCTTGGTAGCAGATAATGACTAAAATATGTAAGGTTATCAGAAAAAAAACCTACATTGTTTAAATAAAAAAAAAAACGGCCATTAAAAGAAACCCGATTCCTTACAAAGTACTTCCTATTCTACCAGTTGTTAAGTGTTGCATACATCAAAGTATATCTAAAAGTATCTTAGTAACACAAGAAAATAGAAAAAAGCATTGATGTTAACACTGAAATAGCGTTAAAATCAAAGTGCCTTTAAAGAAAATCTATTCAGACAAAGTATTGTATTTTCTAGTTTTTAAGGTTTTGCATACATAAAAGTGTATCTTACAGTTCCTCTGTGAGAGAATTACACACAAATCTGCCGAGTGTCAGTACAAAAAAAAGTGTTAAAAATCACAAACTTGCCTTTTACAGTCACAGTCTTTAAGAAAATAAATGTGTTACAAAGTGATCAAAATAGTCACATTCTTAAATAACATCTATTTAGACAAAGTATTTCATTTTTCTAGTTTGAACTTTTTGCATACATAAATGTGTATCTTACATTTCCTTTGTGAGAGAATTACGCACAAATCTGTCATCTGTCATATATATGTTGCACTGTTGGAGGAGCCTGTGACCTACGTTTTTCATTGACATATCTACACTGTAGCTAATGGGCAGGTTACAATAAAGGCTTGAAACTTGAAACTTGAAATTATCAAAACTGCATTGTCTCACTGAAACAGCCCTAAAAATCACAAACTGCCTTTAAAAGAAACCCAATTTCTTACTAAGTACTTCATATTCTACCAAGAAACCGAATTCCTTACAAAGTACTTCATATTCTACCAGTTGTAAAGTGTTGCACACTTCAACGTGTATCTAAAAGTATCTTAGTAACACAAACAAAAGCAAAAAAGCATTAATGTTAACCAAACTGGATTGTCTTACTAAAATCACAAAAGTGCCTTTAAGAATCACAGTCTTAAAGAAAATCTATTTAGACAAAGTATTTAATTTTTCCAGTTTTAACTTTTTGCATACATAAAAGTGTGTCTTACAGTACCTTGGTGAGAGAAAAAAGCAAAATCTGTTTTATTTGTTCTATGTCCTCTATATATATATATATATATATATATATATATATATATGTTGCACTGTTGGAGGAGCCTGTGACCTATGTTTTTCATTGCCATATCGACACTGTAGCTAATGTGCAGATGACAATAAAAGCCTTGAAACTTGAACTTGTCTCACTGAACCAGCCCTAAAAATCACAAACTGCCTATAAAGAAACCCAATTCCTTACAAAGTACTTAATATTCTACCAGTTGTAAAAGTGTTGCACACTTCAAAGTGTATCTAAAAGTATCTTAGTAACACAAATAAATCAAAAAGCATAATGTTAACAAAAGCCTCAAATGGCTGACTCCTGAACTCCGTAATGTCCCCCTAACATGGCACTTCGACTATTTACATCATCCAAGGAAACACACCAGTAAATACACCTCTCTTTGTCCGCTCTTCAAGCCTCAAAGGGCGGACTCCTGAACTCCGTAATGTCCCCCTAACATGGCACTTAGACTATTTACATCATCCAAGGAAACACACCAGTAAATACACCTCTCTTTGTCCGCTCTTCAAGTCCCAAAGGGCGGACTCATGAGCTCCGTAATGTCCCCCTAACATGGCACTTAGACTATTTTCATCATCCAGGGATCAAGACCAGTAAATACACCTCTCTTTGTCCGCTCTTCAAGCCTCAAAGGGCGGACTCCTGAACTCCGTAATGTCCCCCTAACATGGCACTTCGACTATTTACATCATCCAAGGAAACACACCAGTAAATACACCTCTCTTTGTTCGCTCTTCAAGTCCCAAAGGGCGGACTCATGAGCTCCGTAATGTCCCCCTAACATGGCACTTAGACTATTTTCATCATCCAGGGATCAAGACTAGTAAATACACTTCTCTTTGTCCGCTCTTTAAGTCTCAAAGGGCGGACTCATGAGCTCCGTAATGTCCCCCTAACACGGAGCTCGCTTTAAGGGTGCCGTGTCGTGCCCGTTTTTGGTTGCGCTTCCACTAGGCCTAGTTCCGGCCCGGCCCGGCCCGGGGCCACTTTTTCACGTCTTTTCTGGCCCGAGAAAATTGTGGTTCTATCGAGGCCAACAAACAGGGCTGAGTCGGGCTGAGTATGCTAAACTAGAGAGAGGAGCGCTGGCAACAGGGCTACAACTACAACAAGATGGACATATTTGACCGTGATTTAATTGTAATACACGTTTCAAAATGATGCTGAAGTAACAACATACTGATACCGGTTAGTAAAAACCATGAATTAATGCTTTGTCAAGTCTGCAGACAGACGGCAGGCGAAAAACCTTTTAAAATACGTGTTTTTCTAGATGGAGATTGGCTAAGCTAACGCAGTATATGCTCCGACCGTCCACACTCACAACAACGGCCTATACAGACATAAATAAAGCAGCGACTGTATTCACCATGACACAGGCAGTCTGTGGTGTGTACTTGTTTAACTTTTGTCGAGTTTCTAAACATATATAAGGAGCTGTGAGCTCTGAGTGCTAACAGCTAACGGCTGTGTTGTGTTTCTGGAGTTCTCATTGAAGATGACGTCACGGCTCCGCTTACACTGCGTTACTATAGTAACTACCCCAGTTCCTAAACTGTAATGGAAGCGCAGCATGAAGTGAGTCGGCCCTGTTAAGGCCAAGCCGTACCGAGCATGGCCGAGGCCGACCGTGTAGTGGAAATGTGCCATTAGACTATTTTCATCATCCAGGGATCAAGACCAGTAAATACACCTCTCTTTGTCCGCTCCAAGAGCCTCAAAGGGCAGACTCCTGAGCTCCGTGATGTCCCCCTAACATGGCACTTAGACTATTTACATCATCCAGGGAAACACACCATTAAATACACCTCTCTTTGTCCGCTCCAAGAGCCTTAAATGGCGGACTCATGAGCTCTGTAATGTCCCCCTAACATGGCACTTATGTCGCGTTTCCACTACACGGCCTCGCTCGGCCCCGCTCGGTATGGCTGGGCCTCGTTAGGACTGGCTCACTTTATGGCGCATTTCCATTACAGTTTAGGAACTGGGGCAGTATCTATAGTAACGCAGTGTAGGCGGAGCCGTGACGTGATCTTCAGAGGACCCCAGAAAAACAACACAGCCGTTAGCTGTTAGCACTCAGAGCTCACAGCTCCTCATATATGTTCAGAAACTAGACAAAACTTAAACAAGTACAAACCACAGACTGCCTGTGTCATGGTGAATACAGTCGCTGCTTTATTTATGTCTGTATAGGCCGTTGTTGTGAGTGTGGACGGTCGGGGCATATACTGCGTTAGCTTAGCCAATCTCCATTTAGAAAACAAGCATTTTAAAAGGTTTTTCCCCTGCCGTCTGTCTGCAGACTTGACAAAGCATTAATTCATGGTTTTTACTAACCGGTATCAGTATGTTGTTACTTCGGCATCATTTTGAAACGTGTATTACAATTAAATCACGGTCAAATATGTCCATCTTGTTGTAGTTGTTGCCCCCTTGCCAGCGACGCTCTCTCTAGTTTAGCATACTCAGCCCGACTCAGCCTCGTTGCCTCTGGCCCTGGCCCCACGATTTTATGAGGCCAGAAAAACTGTGAATTAGGACCCGCCGGCCGGTACTAGGCCAAGTGGAAACGCAACCAAAGACGGGCCGCTGACGTCACAGCCCTCTTAAACCGGGCTGCGGGCTGTAGTGGAAACGCGCCATTAGACTATTTCCATCATCCAGGGAAACACAACTTCAAAGGGGCTTCCTTATAGTTAATAAAGTAATTAAACAATACAAATGTCATATAACCTTATATTACCACAAAAGAGTCAATAAGTCATATTAACCCACTATTATAGAACATTACCTTATAGAGGGCATTACAACCACAACAGGTGACTGAAACAAGTCATACTATCATCATTAACTATATCTGGTTTTATCATTGACAATAATGACCTACTAAGGACACTATAACAGGTTTCACATCAAAGGGGCAGTAAAGTCTTATCACCCCACTATTGAGCAACATCCTTTATGAGGGGGCAATAAAACAATAAACATACAAGTCATAAAAGATAAAAGGGTCAAAGGTCAGATATGTAAAGTCTTATCACACCCCCTATTGTGCAACATCCTTTATGAGGGGGCAATAAAACAATGTACAAACAAGTCAAAAAAGATGAAAGGGTCAAAGGTCAGGGATGTCAGAGTGACAGGTGCCACATCAAAGGGATTTGGAGGCGGGACTAAGGTTTATGAGGGTCATAAATCACTCTCTTATCAGGTACTTAATCTCATTCTGACACATAGTACTGTCTCATAACTAGGGTTGGGAACCGAAACTCGGTTCCAGATGAGAACCGATAAGAAAATGCCGGGTACCGGGTACCCATACAAAATACACAATTTCGGTTCTGCTTAACGGTTCCTAAACGCGGTAGACCCTGTATTCCACTGGGTCCGTCTGCGCCGCGGTGACCCGGTGGAATACAGAGTAAGGGCGGACTGGCCATCTGTGTGTTCTGGAGAATCACATAACGGCCGGTCGTCAGCGGGTCGGTTCGCTGACGACCGGCACCGCCCTTCATTTTTTAAACGGCATCATGTAAAAATAAAGCACAGCTATTGTGCAATACATTTGTATTGCATGTATATTTTTTATTTGTAAAAATGTCAGTTAAAGATTAAAAGAATAAAGATATTTTTGTTATCTAAACGTTTGACCTCTTTCTTTTACAATTTTGGAATCGAAAGAATAAGAACCGGAATCGTTAAGCAGAACCGGAATCGGAATCGATACATTTCAAACGATACCCATCCCTACTCATAACTACTAATGAGTCCTAATGCTGCGTTCACACCGGACGCGATGCGAATATTCGCTTCGCTCTAATCGCTCCTATCGCATCGCTCTAAACGCTCGAGTTTCACCGCGGCTGCCAGCTGTGTTTACTCGCATCATTCAAACAAGACGCGCTGGCTCGGGAGCTACAACTACAACAACATGAACATATTTGACCGTGATTACATTGTAATACACGTTTCTAAATGATACCGACAACAACATACTGATACCGGTTAGTAAAAACCATGAATTAATGCTTGACAAGTCTGCAGACAATTCGCGCCGCGTCCACCGCTTCATGCGCGCCGTCGGAGCGAATTCGCGTCTGTCCGCGTCTCTGCATTGACTTTACATGTAATCGCGCCGCCCCCAAACATCGCATCGCGTCCGGTGTGAACGCAGCATTACACCCGCAAATTAGTTAGCATTTTACAACTTCCAGGCTCTGTGGTTTTGAAATCAATGTTTTTTTGAATGACTTTTGGTTAGATGCCTGACATGCTGTAAGTGGTTAATAAAAAAATAAAATATATATTTATATATATATATATATACAAGATTTCGAGATTTTTGCCATGATCTTTAAACAAGTCAACGTTTGAACATGTTTAAAAGCTCTAGGTCAATAAATATGACACATCTTTAAAGAGTCCATGTTGTTGACACACGTTGACTTAAAGCTCATGAAGACAACACAATTGGAAGAACCACTTTCCAACTTGAAAAATGGGACCATACAAGGAGCATGTGCATGCACCATAGGCCTCTGTGGTTGTCTGCACTCCCCAATTGACGTTATAGTTATTTTATGCGATTTCTGAGAAAAGGTTTTTATTATTCTGCTTAGCGTGTGGGAAGTCTGTTCTCTCAACCACATTCTGTCCCAATTTAAAGAGCACACAGCACAGAGCACACTTTGCTTCGAGGAAACAACAACAATAGAAAGCATCTCGCTCACAAAAAGAGAAATGATTTATTAGAAATTCTGACCTGCATATACACAGGGTAGATCCATCACAACATCTTATATCTATGTCATATATGCACAGAGAAGCTCTAATAAATAAATTCAATTTTTTGCGAGCTAGAAACTTCCAATTTCCTTTTTTGTTGTTTCTCCCAGAGCCAGTTTCTCTCGTTCCCTGCTGATCTTTATGTAGAAATCCATGAGGTGATCCTGCAGGAGCTCCACAACACAGCCGACGTGCACAACACTGACTCTTTATGACTGAACTAACAAGCACCTGCAGCTTTCCTGCTGCCACTTGTCCTGGTTTTATTCTGCTCGTGTTGAGCTACCTGCCTGTGTAACACTCAGCCCTCTTGGCTCACAAAACAGCAGTAAATAATATGGAAACTTCTCTCCTTTTCTGATGTTCAGAATACTCCTTAGGTCTGCACTTGACCCGAAAGATTTTGTAATGAAGGAGACATTATGTGAGTAGAATAACAGTTATATGGGTATCATGTAGGTGTAAAAACGGTGTAATATGGGAGTGACATGGGTTTAATAGTGTAACGATGCAATATGGGTGCAACATTGGTAAATAACTGTAATAATGCAATATGGATGTTATATGGGTTGAACATGGGCGTAACATGGGCATAATATAAGTGTAATAACACTGTAATAACAATGTTATACGAGTGTAAAATACATGTAATATTGGTGTATTAATAGTGAAACAACAATTTAACAACAATCTAATAGGGGTGTTTTATGGCTGTGGAAAAGGGATAGGAGTAATAACGGTGTCATAACAATGTAATATGTATGTGATATTAGTGTAATATGGATGTAATATGGATGTAACATGGGTGTATCATGGGTATATCATACATTTAACATGTCTGTAATATGAGTTTAATATTTTCAAAATTGTATACATTCAATGGGCAATGTATCTCTGGAAATACACATTGTAATTTGGAAAATTAAGTTCATTTTTTGAAAAAAACTAAACGTGAATTTTAGCCTAGATACATTAGAAAATAGCAAATAATTAATTTTCCATATTATTTATATGTGCTTGCCCCTTAAGAGTTCAGAAAAACATGTAGTTATGCAATAGACAAAATGTTAATTTGCACATTGTATTTCAATGATAATACAAAAAGCTGCGTGCATGAAAAACATCTGAATCTCATGCAGTGCACTAATAAAAATATCCCATTGCAACAAGTCGGAAAGAGAAATTAGGTCAGGACAACAGACTGGGCAACATCAAACAGGCAGGCAGAACAGAACAATGAGCAGGCTCTAATTCAGATCACATTGTGCTGTATAATGAGAGTGAGGTGGTAGCTACCTTGAGCAGACCCTGAACAAAAAGGCCTGTGTCATATTTGAAAGAAGAGTCAGCCTTGCAGAGGCGGGAGCACTTCCTCTCTGCTGGGGTGAGGAAGAGGCAGAGAGTCCGCACAATCTGCAAAAATTAAAGCAAGATTAAAATACTCAAGTAAAGTACAAGTACCTCAAAATTGTAATTAAGTACAGTACTTCAGTAAATGTACTCCACTACATTACACCACTGGTGTTAGGTTTCACTTTCTAAAACATAGATAGAAATAAAAAGCCCATTTGTTTCCTCCTTGATTTTTCTGGTTGTTCTGCACAATTATTCAAGAAGCTTCATCAGCACAAAATGTACTGAAGCAGCCCGATTTTAGCTAAAGACCCCAACTGACATTAAGCTTGAGGCTAGGTAATAATATAATAAATAATTGAGGAAAGTCTTGATTTAATTGGTACTCAGTTCGGGCCTGGGGTCAATAAAAACCTACAAATTAAGGCTGGGTAGCCCTTTGATATTCATTGGACAAACTCTTAGTGGCTCTTTTCTTCTAAAAGATATCTTAAACAAACACCTTATGGTGTGCAATATCAGTTTTCCTTCTCGGTTAGCATGTCCCACTTTTATCCGTTTGATTCCAATATCTGCCCATATGGAGCAGCTTCCAGTATATGCTTTCTCATATAACTTTTATAATTTTGTAAACAGTTGCTGCAGTAGCGGAGCTGCAAAAGCCCAGACGGAGAATCAAAACATCAAATCAAGCAGTAACAGAGACTGAGGGGCTCATTAAACTTTTAAAACCTCCTCCATTACATTTAAACTCATGTAGATACATTGCCGATTTGTATATGCGCAAATTCATTTACCTTATTTACTTTCTCCGGGTTGCTTCCGACTACTATTGAACAGCCGCAAGTCTGCAGATGAGAGCTGACGGCTCTAAAACACAGAGACAAAGACGTGCAAATTAGAGCCAATTAGTTAAATTAGCATGTCTGTAATCATTAATGACAGCTTTCAGTAATAATGATTGAGACGGAGGGATCTGAAAAACATTCACGCAGCTTTACATAGAGAAGGAATTAAGATTAATGCAACTGGCGCTGGGCCAGTGGAGATGGATTACTAGTTAATATCATTATGTTTACATGTCTCCTCATGTAGTTTGGCTCCTATTCTGGCCTTTTGAATATATTCTTAGGTATTAAATAGTCCTTTTTAAAAGGATAGTCAAGATGTTTTAAAGTGGGGAAACAGGCAGGAGTACAAGCATTGGAGAAGAGCAATGTTCTGTTCACGAAGGGGGCAACAGGGTTAGTTGGTTTGTGTGACTGGGTAGTGAAATAAAATTAAAATGTCAATGAATTCTGGTGACTGTTAAGAAAGTATAGATAAGGACTTCAGTTCCCCGTGGGAAACGGCTGTCTGACAGCAATGTAAGGTAGTCAAAATAGTCAAGCACTAAAACTGCTTTTAATTTATTTAGGTGTATAATACATTTAGCTGCTTCTCCGTCAAGGCGGGGCTTAAGAAAAACTTAAGTGTGCATGCTCTGTTGGCTCAACAATGTGGACGATTGCCGGTAGATCCAAGGAAGATCCAGCGGAGATCCAAGGAACATCCGGGTAAGATCCAAGGAACATCCAGGGAAGATCCAAGTAATATCCACAGAAGAGGATCCAAGGAAGATCCAAGGAATCCAAGGTATTTTTGTTCTCAAGATTAAGGCCATTTTGGCTTTATGTGCCACTGCGAAGAATTCCACTTAAAACATTCTAAATATCCCTTTAAGTCCTCGTTTGTTGGTCAAAATATAACTTTTGCCTGATTAGTTTACAATAAACCATACATTGCCCCACTCACACACCTAGTCTGTTTTTCTCTTATTAAGCATCTTCATCAGCTATAAAATCCTGAAGATGCAACTAACTCAATTCCAGTGTACAGATGATTTTTCATCACCACAGGATGCTGAGTTAATTCTGTTCCACTGTGAGCGATTGCCTGCAACGGACTTTCCGGTCTCTCAACCCTAACAGCGATTTAGCTTTCGCCCCTTCTCCGGAGGCAACTTCGGCTAAGTGGAGGGCTATTACTCATCATTGGAAGGTTGACGGGTGTTAAATGGACGATGTTCATCATCTGTCTCCATTTGCCTGAACCGGAGAGTGCTTACTTGTGGAGGAAATCCTCGTGGCAGCTGTCCCCGATGTCATCATCATTTAGCACCGTGTCTTTTATCTACTCAGTGGGACAGAAAGAAATGAGTCATTTTAAAAATTGGTCTCAACAAAGATGAAAGTGCTGATGGGGACATTTGCAGGCACAGCTATGAAAAATAAGATGCACAAGTGTGTAACAAAGCAGGAATCCACCAGAAAGATTCCAGGCAGTCTCTTTGTGCTGCTGCTTTTTCTGTCGCATTTGCATATCATAAGTGAGAAAATGTGTTGAATCGCACTGGGTGGTAATCTAGGCAGAGAACCTGGATCATTTAAACCTCTTGGAAATAGCAACTATTTGAACAAGAGTGTGTGTGTGTGTGTGTGTGTGTGTGTGTGTGTGTGTGTGTGTGTGTGTTGCTCACGTCTATATCTTCTGGCACATGGTGAGACTTCATAGAGGCCAACAGCTCCATGATAGGGATGATCTCCAAGCTCAGCACCGAGATGATGTTGTAGCCCTAAAGTTGAAGGAAAGTTGAAAAAGTTCAATCAAGCACAGCATAAATACCCATGTAAATTAACTGAGTGGATTGGATATATTCATTATTGGGAGGGAATTAAGAAAGTGTAAAAATGATGATAACCATTGACTTTCATACCATGGAAAGCTGTGATACTGTTCCAACCTAAGTTAACTTAAAACTGTTATTTTCGTGTTGCACTGAAATTCTTGATTAAATTAGAAAATATGGATTACAATTTAATTGACACAGGAATATTCAACAATAGGCTTTGCCATAGGGTCTATTTATTAATTAAATTACAAGAAAAAACATGCTATTTTATGATAGATCAGTATAGAGATATGAAATGACCTTTTTCAAAATAGAAGTCCCTGTCCACATTCAAGAGTATAGGCTTAAGAGTGTTGATAAAGCTTAAGGGCTTAGTTAGTTAGGGCTGGCCCAGGCTTCACATGAACATCCATTTGTTTTATTTTATAAATGTTATCACACATTATCATTATTGTCATCTGGGTTGTCTATGTTGTCATTTTAATGTTTTTTAATCTCTAATTTATGTTTTGTTGATTGTAAAGCCCTGTGAGACAAATGTATAATTTGTGATATTGGGCAATATGAAGAATTAAGAAGAAAAAAGATGCGTGCCAGATGTCAGGTTTTTCTGACTGGATGTACAATACCAACCTTTAGTACTTGACAGTTTTTGACACATAATGAGGCCAGTAATGAGTATCTTTCAGCAATGAGGACTAAGAATTCAAAATTCAAAACTTACTAAAATATGTAATATCTCAGGGTGTACAGTCTGACAAAGAGAAACTCAATTCAATATGTAAAGCTAACAAACGTTAGCAGAACTTGAGTAATGCATTAATAGACACAATGCTGGTGGACATTTAATCAAATTGATGAAGTTACAGCAGTGTGTGTATTTTCAGTGCGTGAAGTTATTTTCCATGCTCCCATTATTACCTCCTCACTAGCCTTCTCAGTAGGAGCTCTCAGAGCTAATTATCTCATTTAGTCCTCTGTGTTTGGAGACTACAACATTATTGTTCTGCCAATGTTGTTGCAATCCCAAATGGGAGAAACCGAGGTGATAGATGACTTCATACCCAGTTCAACTAAGAACTTTGGGATGGATCGGGTTTTAAAGTAGGTTTATGAAGGGTAATAATTTGCCTCATTAGTCAAGGGATAAGCAAGAGTACCTTCTGCATCCAAATGCGTCCCTTGCGGATAACGTGCTTTAGCCTCTCCACGCAGATGGTGTGCAGAGGAAGGTAGAAGGCCAGCTCTGTTTGAGGCAGGATAATGGACAAGGCACATGTGTTCTTATCCCCCTTCAGCTCGCCATCGAAGATAAGAGACACAATGATGACGCCCTTCTCCGCCAGGACAAAGAACTTCACGTCCACGGCGCCACACTCAGCGCTTCGCAGGATCTCCCCGTTTAGTGTATGATTGGCCAAAAATGTGACCTCTCCATCGCTGAGGAACATCAGCTGCTCTCCCTTTGGTGTCCAGATGTGGCGCACCCGTGGACCCAGGATGTTGTCCCAGTAGGCGAAGGTTGCCGCCAGCAGCGGGCATTCTCCCTCTACTGCTACCTCAGACTTAGCCACAGCTGGTGACTGGGGGGGACAGCCGGAGGACATGAGAGAGGGTTGGAAAGGTCCTCCCAAAGTCAGAGTGGATGATAATAAACCTACGGAGAAAAGTAAAAAAAATTTTTTTAATTTTGAATTTAATTAAAAACACAGCCTCTGATGTGACAAAAGGAATTGCAGAATGATAAATATTAAGCTAACATAATATATTGGGTTTGATCAGCCTAAGTCTTTAAGTGGAAATGAAAGTGATTTGTTTGGAATGTGTTGTAAGTCAGCTGATACTTTTCAGAAACAGAAACTACTTCTCTTTTTCTGACGTTGTCCTGTCTTGTTTGACAAATATATGCAAGAAAACACACACTAATAATAAAGCTAATAAATGTCATTCTTTATGGACATCTCTGTAATTCCACATTTATACACTTTATATTAAAAACATTCTCGCACTAGCAGCTGGAAACGTAAGGGATACGCCGATATCATACACACAGCATTACGGAACACAATAAATAAGGATTATAACATCTATTTGATTGATAAAAAATATGCCGAATTGACCAGGCACACTTCTGATAATAATGTATTTGTTACTAATTTGTTGCCAGGCAGCTATGTGTATCCACAGGAAGCAATACTGTTTAATATTGACCGTTTTTACAACAGAGTCTGGTGTCATTTAACGTAACACTCAAATGTACGTATTTTAATCTTACGTAACAATGTATGGGGTAGTTTAAAGCTAAATGGCAGTATCGGTAAATACAAAAGTAACCTCACTTTAGTGTTTAACCGGTTAATATTCTGTAGCAGGCACATTTTAACTCAATGTTGTGTAAGGCTAGCTAACTAGCCTTAGCCAAACTAGCACTGATAGAGTAGTAAAGGAATGACATCGCCATGACTTACTTTTTGGTGGTAATTCGTCACAAAGAAGCTTCCTATTAGAGGAATAATTCTATATGTTGCTGAAATGGCATCATAACAATTGTTCTGTATCCATAGTATGTAACTTGTAAATGATGAAGCTGCAGTGTTGTTGTGTTGAACACACTTCCTAGTACGTCAGTCCTACGTCACTCATTGTTGGAGATGCACAGCGTCCTCTAGTGCACGAGGCATGGCAGTGGAGTGAGTGGACTGTTAATGAATGATGTCATATTTATTTCAGTCGTCCATCTGCAGATAAATAACTTATTTTAATTCATTTAGATGAAGCCCGGTCATACGAATGGATTCATCCATGGGCAAAACTCTTTTTACTTGCCTTTTTATTTTATCCTTTGAGGACTTGTCTTGAGCCACCCTTATAATACCTAGTGCTTTTTTTCTGCTCTCTCCAATCAAACCACTGAAAATTGCAATCACGACATCTCCCATGAGGTCTTGGGTGAAGAACTCCTCCACTCAACACAGGAGTGTGCTATTTTCCTTGACGATATATTTGATATAATTTATACATTTACAGGAATACAAAAAAACAGTCCTTCTTTACCTAAAAGACAATTAGGAATTCCCTTCTGTGACACATCTTCAGAGAAGAGCATATTTAGGTAAGGCAAAGGCTGAAATGGCTCCTCAGAGTGAATACTCCAGCAAACAGCAAGCCTGCATTATGTGACACTAATAAACAGAGAGTAACCCTCCAAATAACTTTTGGTGGTGTCCAGTCATTTCAAATGCTTGTGGCATCCTCACAAAGACACTGCCCCTGGCTATGAACGAGTCCAGCACTGAGCCCTCTTTAGAAAGCACAGACCTTTTCACATATTAACTGTTGAGGGGATGAGGGGAGTAAATAAACCCAGTGAAAAAGAATCAAAGAGAACAGAAGAATGAAACAGAAAGAAATCACATTACACACAACACCATGGCACATAACATTAACCAATGAAAGATGTTACGTTATAAGCTTTCACTATTTATGCTAACCTAAGCTTACAAGGTGCTGCTTGTGAACATCAATGTATTGCCAGCCTAGCTTTTGACCTTCACCATCTTTGTTTTTTGGAACCAGGAGTGACACGAGACAAAGAAATCTCGCAAAGCCTAACATTCAACTAAAAATTGTAAGTGTAATTTTTAATGAAGAAGTAATACTTTGTCAAAGGGTTAAAGTCCTAAAAAGGAAAACAAGGGCAACACCCAAACCAGTAATCACTGTGGTAGCAACCTGTCGATTGAAAGCCACACCCTAAAGCACGCCAAGCTTTATTATCTATGTTGGGGAAATATCTTCCTAGGCCCATAACTTTGACCCAGTTTATCAGTTTGTACTGACCTCACTGAGCTCAGGCACCTACAGCCTTGGCTGCTGTGCTCAGTGTTTTGTCTCCCTGTTCCTGCCTGTTGGCGTCAGCTGATAGAGGTGTTATAGTGCATGCATTGCCTGTTTTATCTTGTTATGCAGCATGTTGATTATTCTCTCAGAACCAGCTAAATACATGGGTCTGGGGTAGAGATCTTCAGAATTGGTTTGGCATCTACTGTGTCAACTCGTGGCACACGACATGTCTTGTGAATTCTCCGGCCAAAGCTCCAAATAAACCATCAGTGTTTGCCATCAAAGTTCCTGCTCTCCTCATGTCTCTCTGATTCCTGTCTGCATTGCTTCAGAAGTTTCCATCACAATCTATTTTCATATCATAAACGTATTAGAATTTTTTTACCTAGGTGATAATTGAAGTAAAAAGTAGGGACATTTTCTTTTGATTTCTATACAATCTGACTTTTTTTTTGCAATCAGAAGAGTTGTGCTTTACAGGCTATTTGAATGAATGTAGGTTTTAGCCACTTCCACATTGGCTTTGCTTTTAAAAACTGGGTTGGCGCCTGCATGTAGCTTCATATCTGACAGACAGAGTGGTTCAAATCTACTCATCCAATTTTTGACCAGAAAGAGAACAAACAAACTATTCCTTTAAATAGTTTGTGTTACCATTCATGGGCATCACTTTGTTAGAAAAAGTGTGGGGGGGGGGGGGGGGGGGGACAACAACACTTTTTTCAGATTTAAAAAAACACTTTTAGCGCCCCTTGCAAACAATACATACATACTATACATACATATACATACATACATGCATACATACATACATATGCTTAAAAAGGTTTTTTGACAACTAGTGCAGTAACTATGCTACACTGATGCAAAGCCAGAGCAGCAATTGCTTTACTATTCTCTATTCAGTTATAACTGATATGTAACGTGTCACAGGCCAAATTGCACAACTTTAGTGACCAGATATACACCCAAAAAGTGTGAACAGTCCTTAAGATTGTGCAAATAAACCTCAAAGTCGGTTTATTCTCAAAGTGTAAAATTCTTTGTGTACTCTATTCTACTACTCAGAACATTTTCAACATTTTATCCTGATGGAAAGTGGTGGGGACAAAATTGGCCATTTCCAAAAGTGGTTGGGACATGTCCCCAGTGGCCCGCCTATGTTACCATTTATGGTTGGTAGTTATTGCCCAACTTTTTCTGGGTCCTATCAAAGTGTTTGCTTCATTGACTAGCCTATTACTGATTTTCTATGAGGCAGAACACAATGCTTTTCAATACAAGATACTTTTTCTTTCTTCAGAGCTCAGCTAAAGTGAACTTGTGTGTACGGTCAGATAGCAAGTCAGCTGAAAAAAGTTGGCTCCTTAATTTGGAGTTAACAGCCACTCCAAATTGTGTACCTGCTGGCCGCCCTACTGATGTGATTTCACTCTGTGAAGAGCATTGCAGCCTTACTACTGCGACAGAGGTGAGAGGCTTCCCAAGAACTCTCTTAAAAATCAGCTATGGCGTATTTGTGGATTCATGTTTGATATCATTGTGACATGTTATTTGGTCCTCTTTTTTGGCGGGAATTTACTCTTGGTGGATTTTCTCTAATACAAATTCCTGGCCCTATTATGCTTTTTGGGGCTTTCCCCTACCTGTAGTGTGTTATATAGGTGTTTGTGCATGTTAATGGTCTACAAAGGCTAACATTTCATCCACATACCCCCCTGCCTGAAATGCCTCCGTTGGACTCCTTTATTTACTTCAGTAACATGGTGACATCACTTTGTAACACTCACACTTCTATCGTCTAGCGCTCTGACACAATTTACATGATGGCTAAGGGGTGGGACATCTCTAAGCAGATGACCAATGACCAGCACAGACAGTATGAGAAAAATAAAGACCTTTTTGAACATAAAGCATGGAAACATGTCACAGTACGAGCATAAAATACAAATATGAACCTGAAAAAGAGCAAACATAGGGCTCCTTTAAGGCAACAGTGTTAGGTTTTCATCTTAAGCCATAGCTACGCCAGATTAAAAGGATTTCAATGTACCTAATGACCTTACTTTACATAATAGTGCCCTCTAGATGTTCTCCTTCCCGCTTATTATTCTTTTCATCTTCAAAAGCAACGTCAGGTTCTTGGATAAGGAATTGATTGGGCGGTTGGCTTTTGTATCCATTTGGAATTATAACAAAGGCCATTTAAAAACAATTGCCTTCATTGTTTAGTCTATGGACACAATTAGAATATTTCTTCACCACTGTATGCTGGTATGATGGTGTTGATACAATAGCAACCATTCTTTACCCGTCAAATGTACTTTTTCAGGAACTTTATGCCACAAAGAAGAAATCCGCGTTTATCCACCCACAGTAAGAACAGACCCCACCATAACCAACTTACTGGCAGAGTTAGCACACTGTAATTGTGTTACTTTGTTCCTTGCAGGTTTTCTCACAACAGGACCAAGGCTTGGATAAACATTTATGTCGCCCACAATATTTTAGTCACTAAGTTTCACTTTTGGAAGTCTGTTACTTCCCACCTGCTTCAGTTGGTGCCAAGCACAGTCTTATATTCACACTTTTTACGATTGTTATCATACCAAAAGAACTCTTTGCCTTCACAATATCTTGATAGGAAATGTACTGAAAGACAGTTTTCTCTTCAATTGTAGTTAATCTCATTAAGCCTACTTTCAGGGATGGTTTGAAAGGATATATCATTGTTGAAAATACCATTTTCTGCTTTCTTGCCCAGAGTAAAATGAGAAGTTTGAAGTCCTGGTTTGACTCCTCTGTCCGTTTTGGTTAGAAATGCCTCTATCTTCACTCTGTTCTCCTTGACAGCAGAAAGGCTTTATTTTAAATTTGCATGACTCCAGTTTCATCCTAGCTTGTCCTTTAACTTTGTGAGCAGACTTTTATGCATTAGTAGGCCTTCTGTTTCCTTCACCTTCCTTTGCATCTCTACATGTGCCCCCAAATGACATTCAATGTTTTACATTCACAATGAGTGTGACAAAGATCACTTGTTATTGATCTGACCTTAGGCATCGTTTGCTCCCAATCATAAATGTTTTGTCATGATCATCATTTGCTAAACGAAACCCTCTATTTCACAGTTTCATAAGCGGTAGCCTCGAGTTATGAATCCAAAAGCTTCCATTGCTCTGAATTGCACAGTCAATGAATCTAAGAAATACACTAAACATAGCATTGACTGTACATTTCTGTGGTTGACCTCTTACATAAATGGAGAGTGTGTGGGTTATAAATGTACTCAAAGATGAAGGAACCATTGTAAGGAACATCATAAACATGGCTAGTGGACAGCTTTCTTACACATGCAGTTGCACAACTTTATGAAGGGCAACTAAGGTCTGTTGGTTGCTTAGTTCAGACTAATCTCATCAACTGATGTTGGCTGGCCTTTGAACTTTGTGGAGACATTCATGGTCTCCAGATAAATCATCTTAAGTAACCCACTGATTCTCCAGTTTCCTTTAGTGCACCAAATTCCTATTTGTAGTTCTGAGTTAAATTTGTCGACAGCTTTTTGCCATGAAATTTGCTATGCTACAGAAGTCCTTGGGATAATTTGTAATTGTAATAATTATTCCCTTAGCCTTTTCTCTATTACCACCATCAGGTCAAAACACACGCTAATACTTTGGTTTTTTGATCACATGTCTACAAAACGAATCACATTCCTATCAGCCCTCAGCCGTAGCATATGTCTGTTGCTAAGTAGATAATGTTAGTATGTTAACATGCTAAACTAAAGGTTAATGTTTTGCATGCTAAGGTTAGCA